TTTTGAGCTAGAGCAGATTGAAGATGGTCAGAGTAGAGAAAAATTGGTTGTGTTGGCACTTTAGCCGTTTCCCCGAATCGGAAGCTGGAATCGGAAGCTAACTTCAGCCTCGTAGGGAACAAGGGGTGTAGACTCTGGACCAGGGGTGTCAAACTAATTTTAGCTCAAGGGCAACATTGCGAGAAATCTAGTCCCAAGTGGGCCGGACCGGTAAATTAAAAACAACTTCAGATGGTTTTCTTTGTTTTAATACAATCAATATAAAACAAGGCTGGAGCCTGAGGACAGTGTATCCAAAATAGTACAAGTACAACACCTGAAGTGTACTTGAAAATTTGAAAAAAATAAAAAAATCAATAAATAGAAAAAACATTCCTTATTGATTCAAAGAGCTTACAGATCACATGGCTAGATCAGTTTCATGCAGCACTTAAAGTATATTTGACTCATTTTACTTTACATCTTTTAGCTTTCACCAGCACATCAATATCAGAAGTCACATCCTGAGTGGCAGCCAACTTCAGGATGTGATTCAAGTTCTTGTGTGAGCCTTGAGCACAGCTTTGTTTTATTTACACTCATTACAGAGAAAACTTGCTCACAAATATACGTTTATTTTCACTCTACATTGTAAAGTATGAAGATAAAGTTTACACAACCATCTTGCGGGCCGGATTTAACCCGCTTGCGGGCCGGATCCGGCCCGTGGGCCGCATATTTGACACCCCTGCTCTGGACCGTTCTGGGACCTGGTCATCAGCGAGGAGGGCATGGGCTGCCCGCAGATAAACTGAGACAGAAGTGACACCAAGGATATCGGCGTCGCTCTGAGGAAGGCTACAGAGTTAGCCAAAACTCGTCCGTAAAAAAAGGTAAACAAATCTTTACGCAGTGTGCGGAAAAGAACAAAATGATGGAATTTGATCTATACCTTGGTAGAAGTGTTTGAAAAAAATCGTTTTTGGCGCTGTTTCTTGTCTTTCGTGTGACAGGCCAAACCATAAAAAATCTCTTCATTTTCTGGGACACCCGGCTACGTGTGCACTCGGCCTATATGATACAAACATTTAGTCCAATACTTCTGTTTCAAATGTTTGGTTCTTGGTCCAAAATCGTGGAATCAACCCCCGTTATTGGTCAGACAAACTCCTTCGATTGAGATATTTTTATTCTTTAGCTTTTTCATGTTTTGGAGTGAGATCTGCTTTTACCTGCTTGGTTAAACCTATTTAACGGTTGCTGTTTTATTCTCAGGAACAGTTTCTTTTTCCTTTATATCATTCAGTTAACAGTTTTAACCTTTAATTATCTTATTTATCTGTATGTCGTGTTTCCACATTGTTTTTTATGTATATTTTATTATGTAGTGTACACTAGAGTATCACTGGGCATCTACCAACCGGGAACGTATTCATAAATAAATAAATATAAATGTGATGATGATATTCACTGCAACCACCTTGTTGCTGTGAGTGTGTGTGTGCGTGCATGTGTGTGTGTGTGTGTGAGAACTCCATCGCTGCAGGGTTGAAGCTGAATAATACCACTGACATGACAACATGAAGGGCAAACTCATCATCCTGAGTGCTCCTGAGTGTTTGCAAGTGCTTTGAACTTAAAAGTCACACAAAAAGTAAATTGCAAGCTTCTGGACAAAAACAGAATTGCTTAGTGATAAAATGCCATGGGTTTAGGTGAGAATGCTTCAAGTTAATTTGTGAGTAAAGGACCGGTTGTTTGGCTGCTTCGAATGTTTTCTTTTTTGTTCTCGGAGCACATTTCTAGAACAAAGCAACTTCAATAACTTATCTGTTATTGACACTTGGAAACAATGAGCTTTGTTCATACCCTCATACCTTCAAAAGACTTCATTGAGATTCACAAAGCAAAGCACAAACTGGTATTTTGTCAGACAATGATTTGATTACGATTTAGGTGTTCATGAGCTGCAATCCAATCACCATTTAAAACTTGATGTGTTGCCTGAGAACACGGGCAAACAGAAGTAACAGCTGTAACGCGAAAGCTAAAGTACTATTCAGTAATCTGGTTACTTCACATGCTGCTGTGACTGGATGAAACTGGATGACTGGGTCCAGTTACAGGCTTGACCCTCTCGTCTCCATGGTGACCTCTTGTCTTACCAACATTAGGATATCAGGCTGAGGCGACAGAGATTCACGTTCTGTTTCCTCCCATATTCTGACTAAAAAAGCTGATTTGGTTTTTTTGTTTTTCCATCTGACGTTTAGAATTTCTAAACTGTTACTGAAGTCATTTTCACTTCTCATCCAAGGAGCGTTCTCAGGACCATGATTAGATTTTTATAAAACCAACAAACAGAGTTGCTGTATGCATAAAACACCAATAAGCATCTCCTTTAATGACTGATGGAAACTGACTAAAGCTCTGTGGGTAGCGTACAATACATAATCCAAGTTCTCCTCAATGACAAATCCACCGAGAACAACAACAGAAACTGGTGCCATCTGATGATTCACTCAGATGATTTGAGTCCAGACGGGCTAAACATAGCAGGACTGACGATGAGCAGGTAGCCGCTGTGCCGACTGTTAGAACAAATCCATCATGTCTGTCCCTAACAGGAGCCGCTTCTTCCTGTCACTTCTGGAGCTCATCATGGAGCTTCGCTCACACTTAAGCAATAAGCACCATGTTTTCTTCAAAGAACAGGTAAGTGCTGGGTGAAGAAAGAAAAAACTTTAATATTAAAAGAAAAATCTGTATGTTTTAGGATCATCAGCATATTTTATTCTAACTGAAATCTGGATGGAGGTTGTGCCAATTAACCCACCACTTCATGAATTTACCTGCATTTGGCCTTGTGGCGGGTTGGCATGGCAACACTCACCTCCTCGCTGCTCGTTGATGCTCCTGACAAAGAGCTGGAGGCAGACTCCAGAAAACCAACAACCAATGAAAAAGCTGTTCACAGTCTCATCATTTGTTTCACCTTGTTGCTGCTTTTAACCAAATCCATAAGTGAGCCATCTGGAAACGTCACCACCAGCTGGTTTTTACAGATCATGGTTATGTGATTGGATATCAATAAATAAAATAGCGCATTAAAAACAGCGAGGACTTTAAATCTTGTGATCTGTGTGGATGAACGGTCTCCCTGCTCTGATCCTTGGCAGAAACTGCGGCTCTGATTTTAATAACTCTAGTGAACTGATGGCTTTTGCTGCAGCGTGCAAGCACAAAACACCTCGTTATCAGCGTCAGTGGAACTCAAAGAGTCGGTCATCATGACACCTTAATGCGGTCACGTTGTGCTCAATTCCTGCACCACATGTAATCAAATTACAGGCAACTCATTTCTCACATTATCATAATTGAGTAAAATATGGAGGCCAGCAATGAACATTAATGAATGAATGGATCAAACTATGCTCGCTGAATAAAAAGTCTAAAATCATGAGGAAATGTAAATCAGAAGCAACTTCTACATCATTTCTAGTCTGGATTTTTAGTTGTTACACAGAAAAAAAAAGGTTTAATTTTTGGTCTCCGATGGCACCATCTAGTGGCTGACAAGCATATCATAAAAATAATCTCTGGGTCCGCTTTTATAACCCCCCCCCCCCTTGTCTTCATGGGTGACCCTGCAAAGAATGGTCAACTTTCTTTGCGGGGTCACCCGTGAAAACAGTGGGAGGGTTAAGATAGCAACTTCGCGGTTTTTATTTATAAATGTGCTTCTGTAGATGACAAACAGAGTTAAACATGTTGTTTTACAACTATTATTCTCATTTCATGTTGTGTTTTCATTTATTTATATTTTAAAAACGTGCTTGTCCGTGAAAAGCTTATCAACTGCATCAGCCAAGGTACTTCCTTAAATTTGAAGCAGGTAAGCGGTACTTTAACGCTACTGGTTAGTTCTGGTCGGTGCTCAGTTTCCTATTGCACGGAGCTCTGAGGGGCAGGGGGCGTGCTCAGCAAAAAGCACAAAGAGGGGGCATGCGGGCCGCCTATTGAGTACCGCTACTGTAAAGGGTCATTTTAGCACATACTGGCCTAAGAAAATGACTTAAAAAATATGAAAAAATTGCAAAGTATCCCTTTTAATGTAAAAAGAGTGAGACTATTTTAACAGCTGATTACACACAAAACTATTTTTTGTTTAACTTTTATTCTGAATCAATCAGATCTTCTTTCTTCACAATAAGTTACATGTTTCTGATTCAGGGAGGACAAACACAAAAAGCGTGTTCAAATATTAAAAAAGTAACAAAGACATTTTTCTAATTATTTTGTCATCATTTAAGTTTCACAAGGAGGTAAATCAACCTGCTTCAGTTTTAAATTGAAAACAATTGTGTTATGATCTGAAACAACAGTTACTCTGTAGATGATGACTTGTTCTCACTGGGAAGTAGAAGTAACGGCTCCTGTGGTACGACATAAATGCTGGTTGCTAAGTGAACTCCTCACATGTTTACAAACATGTTCTCTTAAAAATGAAACACTAAACATCTTTTCTTTCTGAAAAGCTGTTGAGAGGAGATAAGACAGCTCTAAGGTTAAACACTGCCACCTGTTGGCCAAAGAGAAAAATAATCAAAACAGCACCTGTTTGAGTCACGGTGCATTGAACTAACATATCTGATGTACAGTACAACCATTAAATTATACCAAGTTTCATACTAAAAGCAGCTTTGAATACAAACAGCTTTTTTATTTGCAAATTTCTGCAAATTGTATCTCTACAAGGACACAAAAACAGAAAAACTGATTTATGGCTGAAATAATAAAAGCTGGCTAACACAACAAAAACAGTGTAAAGGAGCTGTAGGGTTATTTTGGGAGGTGGTTTGATATCAAGAAGTGTTTAAAATTTAAGCTAAGCTTATAAAAAAAACTAAGAGAATTTTGTTAATTAAAACTAAACTGAACTTTCAAGGTTGTTCTGCCTCCTTAATGCTCGTATTTTGGTGTTTGTCATCAGTTACATTTGAAAGACCATACAGGCTCACCTGAGGAACAGGTAATCACAGGATACGTCCCATTCAGAATCATCAAACATCAGCACCTGGAAGTCACAAGATGTGCATCTCAGCTGGTCACATGACCTGTAGACACACACTGCTGCTAGTCAGTCCTAGCCATCGACATCCTAGCATCCCATACAGTTGCTTACAGCTCAGGATTCTTCAAAAGTGAACATTCTGATCATCAAAATGGAAAGAAGAGATATAAACTGTGAACACTTGATAAATTCAGAAGAGCCATAATGTAAGCAGCCTGAATTTTTTTTTCCGCACCTCTTGGATGTGGCTGTTCCGACGCCATTTGTGACTGAGCTCCCGCCAATGAAAACAGGACAGCACCTGGATGTAGAACAGACAGTACAGATCGTCTCCCGGCTTTAGAAAAAAGTGGTTGAACATCGAAAATCACACTGTACCAAGAATATTTGTTTGATTAGTTGATGATGGTTTGAATTTTAAATATTCAGATAAAGAGAAGTACCGGTACACTTCTTTGCTTGGTATAATAACATCTTTGAAAGAAGAAATGCAGGCTATATCATTTGAAATCAAACCAACACAAACTTTCTTAAAAAAATGTCTGGAAATGTTTCTAGAACAACAAAAACAGAATGCATCATAAAAATGACATAATGGCTGAGAGCATTTCTGTCCTTTTGATTAAAATCTGATTAATATACACATGCAAGTTTGGTTTGGAATGTGAGAATAAACTAGGTGACTCACTTTCTTCCTCCAGAATGAGACCAGAGCAGCTTCTCTGTTTTTGGTCCTTTGGGAAATGGTTCCGTCTGAAATGGGTGGTTGGGCGAGAGAAAACACAAAGAAAAACAGAATTGAAACTTAATTCAACACTAGCGGCTCATCTGTGTGCCTCGTCTATAAAGTAGCATTTCATTCGCTATATATGACAGACATAGAAAACAAAGTTGTCTGTAAGGAGATCAGACAGATTCTGGGCTAGGTCTGTTTATTCAAAGTTTTTCAGCTCTGTTGGCTTGGTTTGACACTTTTGACATGGTTACCTTTGGCTGAGGGGAATTGCTGTAGTCATCCTCCAGTAATTCTTCCAGAAGAGCATCGATATCCTCAGAGACGCTTATCGGCTGCTCAGGTTTGGCGGCACTGATTCAGAACACAACAAAAATAGTTTATTTGCCTTGCTTTAGTAATTTATGAGAAAATAGCAATCAAGGTGAACTCTGACGGCAAACTCTGACGTAACACATGTTGCAAAATCTGAATATTGCAGGTTTAAATCAACATGAGGCAATTTCTGAAGATCATTATTAAATTAATCCCAAATTCTTGTGGCCTAAGGAGGATCTTTAAGATCCGGTGGCAACAGCATGTTTCCAATAAGACAGTGCTAGAGATGGCACAGACAGAGAGGATCAGCGATGAGGTGAGGAGGAGGAGATGGAACTGGATCGGCCATGTGCTGCGAAAGGAGGAGACGAGCGACTGCGCTGTGGCACTAGGTTGGGCGCCTGAAGGTCGAAGGAAAAGAGGCCGACCTAAAACAACTTGGCTGCAAGTGGCTGAAGCAGAGAGAAACAGAGCAGGATGGTGTTCATGGAACTCAACAAGAAGTGCAGCTGGAAATCGATCCCTGTGGAAAAATGATGTCCTTGCCTTATGTGCCTCCTGGCACAAAGAGAAATGATGAAATTCTTGTGGCAACTCTTTGTGAGGAGTAAAAATGCTGATTTACTAGACCTTTCGGTTTGTCTGAAAGGTAGTTTGGGCATAAACTTGCATTAATTTAATTAAATGGCAAATATAAAAATAACTCTTAATTTAATTCCAAATGAATGATACTCCTGATGCTCTACTAGCTTCAGCTTCTTCTTGCCATAAACACGTTGTTTTTATGTTGTAGAGCACGGTTATGGGATCTCATTTGGACAGTGACACAAGCAGTATTAAGTTACTCATTAAACGTAATCAACGATAGGAACCATGACGTTTTAGCTGAAAGCTAACATTTGGTTTGTTTACCTGTGTTTTCTCTGCTCGTTTTTGTCGTTGCTGCATTTTTCACTCTCGCGACTTGAACATGCCACAGAAACGTCACGACCAAACTTTTTTTCAACTTCATCCAGAAGTTTATCGAGGTCATCATAGTCCATGTTTAACTGATGATTATGGATCCTCACCTAGCTTTGGAGCTAACTAGCAAACATGGCAGCTTCCATTACTGCTAAAGAGCGTTTCCGTTACTAGGTAACAAAACGGAAACGAAGCGAAGTCCGAGTTCAAAATAAAAGTTATTGTTTCGGGTTACGTTTGATACACTTATTACAGGTGATCTAAATGTGTTTGCATTGTAGTATTTTGCATGTTGTTATATTTAATCTAAAATTTATTCTTAAGCGCCAGGAATGCTAAACGGCTTGCGCGGCCAAAACACTGTTGATTTTATTTTGAAAAGGAAAAGTTCATTCATTTTTTAACGTTTTATGACCTTAGATCAACAGCTATTATATATCGATGATCAACATTGTGGCTAAAAGTAGACAACTGTGTTGGACAGTCAAGCTAACGACAGCGCGATCGCTTTACCAAAGATTTTTATGAATTGAAAATAATTAATACGTTGTCGGCAGGATTCGAACCTGCGCGGGGAGACCCCAATGGATTTCTAGTCCATCGCCTTAACCACTCGGCCACGACAACCGATGTCCAATGCTGACGTCGAAAACTTTAACATAGATAAACATTCAAACGCGTGATTCGTATATTTTGTCTGGTTATTTTTCTCTTCATCACTTTTCCTTAGCACCAGGACTAACTAACTGACAACTGGGCAAAAATACAGACGTATAGCAACATTTCAAAACCGTCTGAGCTTTTCGTAACAATTCCAAATCCACTAGGGGGCGCGGTTGTCAAGTTTTGAGTTCGCCAGCTGCGTAACAACGTTAGCTCGCAGACTCGCCACTAAACATGAATTTACATTGACATACCTGCCATGAAGACCTCAAGTGAAAAATAAGTAATTTATAGACTACATTGTAAAAAATAATACTTGTGACATTTTCTTGCAGTCATCACAAAGTAGTTTAAATTGTCTGGGAAGAAAATATTTTACAAGTATTTTTTGTGGAAAATATAGCCTACCAGAATGTAGTTGCCACACTGTTCATCCAGTTAAAGTGAATTTGGTCGTCATCATTGTGTTCTTTATCTCGTTTCAGCGAAAGAACGCATTGAAACGTTTACTAGCATATAGGCTAGGCGACCCACAACATGTCCGCCACAGTCCGAAAGCACGTCATGCCTCTGCAAAGGCCCTTGCTTAGTTAGATGTTTTTAGTCCCGCTCACTTTTATTTAAAGCTTGATTGGCTGATCATTCTGCTGAACCTTTGACCCAGAGAGTATTAAAATCTTAACCAATGAGAAAGCACGCGCAAACGTTTTTTTTTCTACCAAAAATGTGAAAAAGGGAAATGCGATTTTTTAACCCCAAATTTCTTGTTGCATTGCAGATTAGTTTACAGAAAAAAGCTTTAAATCAAACTAATGAAAGTTTAAATAAACGTTAAATACAAAAACAAAATATGGCCTTCCATAATTTTGTATTAATTTGCCCTTCATTATTTTCTTTAATGTTTATTTACTCCTTGTTTTATTCTACTGTCTGCTGTTTATGATTGACAATCACATTTTTACATTAAATCGGTTGTCTTTGTGCAAGTCTCAGGCCAAAAAAGCTAAATGCAACTATTCTGAAAAGTTGTATGACTATTTGAAAAATATTGGATTGCATTAAAATATATATAAACCTGCTAATGTAAAAAGGGAGGAAATGAGTACTAGGATATGATTGTCATTAAATGCCCTTTTTGGTTCACATAAAGATATTTTAGATGATTTTAACAAATCAATTATGGCTTTACAACGTGTATACAAGACTGGTGCATTGCCAAAAATCTGTGGCATCTGTGTGGGGATCGGTGGCGACTGTGCTTGGAAAGCCTCGCCTCTGTCAGTGCGCCCCAGGGCAGCTGTGGCTCAATGTAGCTCATCACCACCAGGGTGTAAATGTGTGTGTGAATACATGAATGAAACATAAACATAATCTTACTGTTGCCTAACAGTTTTTATTGCATCACTAAAAAGTGTTTCACAGAATTTAGAAACAAAAAGTGAATATTTATTTTTAGGAGTGATGAACAAGACACAAAACACATGTAAAAAACATGTAATTGGTTTGTTATAACTTATATTAACATTAAAGAGCAAATTCACCCCCAAATCAACTATTTTTTGCTGATAAACTATACAAATGAGTATCTCGTGCTTTAGACATGTGTAGTCAATAATTTGGCGCTTTGGTGCATCTTAGTTCAAATTTAAATAGTGTGCCTAAAACTGTCAGCGTTGTACCATCTTCAGGTAAAAACTCTGCACTGCATTTGAATTTAAATCTTCAATCACTATTGGTGAGGTACACTATGACGTTAGCTGGTACATTGTGATGTCACAATGTTGTTGTGAGGCTGTGTGTGTGTATTTGTTAGCGACTCCGTGCTCTCGGTCTGCGAGGCAACAACATTTGTTGCCTTTTTCAAACAAAAAGTGGGAGTGGAGTAAGACTCTGGTAGGGGGTGACTCGCGGTTCAAAAAACATATTTCAGTTTTCAGAATACATGTACAAACAGCTTTCTCTAACAGAACTTTGACGTTTTACCAGACTTCTTGTTTTTGCAAACAGACTTTCTTTTTTATGCTTCACCTAAACATCTAATTTTTCCTCTTTTTTTATTGCCTCAAGTCTGCTTAATCTCTGAAGTTTTGAAGCTTCATCTACTTTATAAATCAGGATGTAAAACATGGTTTTGGTTCCTCACTGGGACATGTGATATGAAAGCTGATATTTATTTTTAAAAAAGGTGAAGACATGAAATGCCCCAAGGAGAAATTTGCAGCACCCACAACTTTCGTTAAATAGGAATAACGAGTTAGCTTAATTCTTTTTCACTTCCTGGTTTCATAGAGCATGCTGGTTCACGTTTCCACCCACACAGGACGCACCAGGTTATCATTTGTAAGAGCCAAACAGTAATAGAATCCATCCCTAAAACCGAACCATTGTTGACATTAGTGTCAGCAACATTAAGATTAAACTAAATTTGCACTTTTTTGTAAATTTGTTTTAGTGTAAACTAGGTTTCACAAATAAGCTAAAGCCAAAACAAACAACACTTCTAAAAATAAGTGTTTCGATTCAGTTAATTATTTAATAAATAAAATGAAAGCATACAAAACTTTGAGATAAAAAAGAAAAGAAAATTCCTGGTTTTCAATTATTCAATAGCCTCATGTGATGGCTCAGTCATCAGCTTTTAGCAATAATTAACTCAACTTACAAAAAAGGCATTAAACCATTGGAACATCTTAAAGTAAAAAGATGCAGCAGCGGCAGAAAGCGCAGAAACAAGGGACTAGTGTGATTTGTTAATGTTGTTGCAGCATGTCTGCTTTTTCACAAAAAAAGCAGACATGCTGCAATTTATTCATACATTCATACATTTATGTATGAAGTCATGAACAAGTGTAACTGCACTGAGAACTTTAACATGTGGTCATTGTAAACAGGAAGATCCATTAGTAACAGAAGCTGCTGATGTAGCTCTTTAGAAAAGGACTTTTCTGCCTTCAGGTTTTGCGGTGACAGCGATCGCCCAATCCTTTCTTGCCATTTGCTCCCAAGGCACCTTCACAGCCAGGAGGTCAACATGCAGGCCGGACCTGCGTTATCTCGTCGGCCCTTCGCGCTAGAGCACTTCCTGTTCTCAGACCGAGCATCGTAGAGTCTCCTAATGAGGGATTCTTTATCGTGTCTTAATCCTGAGACGATTTTCACACACAGACGTGCTGTATTTTGGGTGTTTTTGGACCCAAAGTATAAATCAGCATTAGGTCCTTCGTCTCCAGGGGTTTGAGAGGAGCGTCCAATAAGATTTCCTTTTTCACAATCTTGCCTTTTTCTCTGAGGGTATGCTTCAAGCAGTTCTGTGGTGGAGAAAAGGAAGATGCATTTAAATTTAAGCCACAAAAGCGACATAGAGAAGAATGGAAATGACTGTTATTTGAAAAAATTCAATATTTATTACTTACATAGCTTATTAGGAAAATGACAAATGCTGCTATCAGCATTGCTGCAGCAGACATGAGCAGCCAAGTGTCTGTAATCTTGTAATCTGGAGAGTCGACAGGCTTTTCTGTGAGGTCAGTATCAGTAAGTAAATCCAATGGTTGAACGGGACAATCTGGAAACAGAAAGAGCAAAAACAAACGTGATTGGACATGCAACCTGAATGAAATGCCTCACAGGCAGAGTCAACATGGTTGTAACCTATTTAGATGAAATCTTTATGCTCAAGAAGGGGAAACCCCACAAACACACTGCCTGATGCAAATGTCAGGTTATTGGTCAGAGTTCAAATTTCTTCAGAATATTTAAATGATTTATGCAAACTGATATATTTAAAGTTTCTATTTAATGTAATTTGTTTTGTCAGAAGCTGCCTCTTCATTTGACTTTCATTTGGTAACTAAACCATATTATTTTAGTTTATGGTAATTTCCGTCATTGACAGCACAGTAATTGAATAGACTGCCATATTCTGTATTTTAATTCATAATCCCCAAAGGATTTAACCAAATGAAATTCCCTAATTGTGGATTTTGTGTAAATTTTCATATGTATAGTGGCTAGGAATATGTTTTTTTTTTTAATTAAAGAACACGACGGCTCCACAAATCAATCTTTTGAGGCAAAGAATACAACAAGAACAGGTTAAGGTTTGTGAATCTAATTCAACACACTACAGGGACTTGGGGAAACTTGGCCACTGATCTGGATCTGTGATGTAAAACCCAGTCTCACCTCAGATGAACCTTTTCTCTTACCTGAGAGATTGAGGACAATCTTCCCCTCCCGGTTCTGCTCTCCCACAGGTGCAGCCAGGTAACATTTGAAAACGCCGCTGTCGCTGCACGTCACATTAGGCAGGACGATATCACGCGAATCACCATGCAGCTTCACGTTCGTGTCAGCACCAGAGTACCACCTCGTGGGCCCATCGGGGAGATTTCTTGTCAGCAAGCCGCTCTCCTGAGATGATGGGTGTTCGAGCTGCAAAAACATCCACACACAAGTTAGACGACTGATGGATCTGACACTCTTTTAAGTTTAGGCAATTTGTCTCAAAAATTCCCACATTTATTTATGTTTTATTTGTCTTGAGGCCATAAGATGCTTAAAGATGCTCACCACATCTATAACATCACTCTCACAGACTCCTCCAAGAAACATTGAGTTACATTTATAAGAAGTAAAATTTAAAAATGTGTCATCATGTCTTCCTGGTACAGAAATCTCTTTTGCCAAACTGGGACCTACATTAACAAAGTAATCATTAAATTTGTTGACTATACTCTCAATATTCTTAATCGCTACATTACCTTCTTTTACAATACATGTTGGAAAACATTTATTATTCTGATTTTTTATTATCTTATCAAGTACACTCCAGGTAGCCTTTATATTATTTTTAGATTTTTGAAGCAACTTTACTTAATAACTTTTCTTTTCATATCGCAAAATGGTTGTTAATCTGTTTCTATATTTCTTATATTTGTCTTCATTTTCCTTAGTTCTATTTGTCAAAAAAATCTTATATATCTTATTTTTCCTTTTACAGGCTCTTTCCAGACCTTTTGTCAACCATGGTTTTTTCTTTTTGAGATTTTCAGAAAACTTTTTTAGTGGACAATGGCTGTCATAGATTGACAAAAATATGTCTAGAAATGTATTATATGCATCATTAGTGTCTTCCACATAAACCTTTTTCCAGTCATAATTTTCTAATTCTCTTTTAAAAACTGCAATGTGTTCTGGTGTTTTTATTCTACCAATGTAATCAATCTTTTCCTCTCGAATATTAAATTGATTATTCATTTCAAGCACTGAAAAGACAGGCAAGTGATCACTTCATCTGTGACTAACAGTCCACTGCGTATTTTACCATCTTATTTAAAAAATGTTGTCAATCAAAGTGGCACTACCCATCTTTATTCTGCTGGGCTTTAGAACCAACGGATAGAACCCAAAACTAAACATTGTATCAGTAAATTTAGAAGTCTTATTGTGATCATTTGCCTTCAATAGATCAATATTAAAATCACCACAAAATAAAGTAATCTTTTCTTTGTGTTTTCCCAGTATTACAGAAATTCCTCTCATAAACTGATCTATGCACGATGCAGGTGTACGATAAATACAGCTAATTAATATGTTTTTAGATCTTTCAACTTGAATTTTGACAGTTAAACATTCCGTCAAGTTATCCACCACAGCAGTCATATTGTTAACAATTTTACATTTAAGACACGATATAACAAATGTAGCGACACCTCCTCCTCTTCTATTCCTATTTTGCCAAAACATTTCATAACCCTCTAGTCCATCCTGCAGTCCTCTGTCATCATTCAACCATGTTTCTGAAATTGCCACCACAGCAAACTTATTTTGAAATTGATCAAGATACTCTTTGATTTAGAAAAAAATACTGTAAAGACTCCTACTGTTAAAGTGAATTAACGAGAAACCTTTTATCTTGGGATCTAACTCTTCCCCACTATAATAATCACATGCCATATAAACATTGTGATAAAGGTGGATATCTGGATCAATATTAACTCATGAAATGTTCCACACATTTACATACATAGCTAATTTTCTCACACTTATCAGATATTGTCCCATCACAGTCAACTTCTATTTCTCCATTGAATTATATGATCTTCTATCACAGACAGACTTCGGAAACAAATAGGAACGTGAATGAAGTGAAGATTTTTATAGCTTCAGGACTGCTGCAGTAAGCAGTTTAGTCTAACAGTTCTCCAAAACAGAAAGTGAAAACAGGATCCATCAGCAGCATTAACGGTCATGCAGTTTAAAATGTCCTCCTTGAGCTTTCATTTTTTTTAAAAAGCGCGGTTCCTACCTTGTACCACCTGACTGCGGTGTACTGGACCCCATCTTTGGGCTCAGCGGTGCAGCGCAGGGTGCAGTTCTGACCTGAGGGGCAGGTGACCTCCACGTGGTTCTCTCTGATGGTTCTGCCCAACGCCAGGCACAAACCTGGGAAAATAATAATAATAATGAAACCCATCAGGTTAACTTCTCAGGATAGAAACAGGGCATCATGTGCAATGAAACCGATAAAAAAAAACTTTTGATGATTGAAATGAAAAACAGATTTAATAAAGTTTTCTTACCTAGAGACAGCAGCAAAGACAGACCCAGTGGATAAGTAGTCATGTTGGTTCCGTAAAGCTGAAATGAGCGCAGACACAGATCACCACGACTGGTTATATAGTAGCTTTGTTAGGGATTATTTATGTCGATGGCTTTCACTTTCACTCTAGAAGAACGTCACATGACGAGATGGGCGTGGCTTCGACGACGTACTACACATCTATCTTATCTAGCATTTTCGGTGTACTGATCCACTGATGCAGCATCAGGAAGCCTTCAATTGTCCTTGGAATCATAAGTGAGTAAACAATGATAAAAGTTCAAGTTTTTTAATACTTGTAAACCTTTTCGCCGTTCTTGTTGCATGTGGCATGTTTTATTAACGCACGAATGTTGAATGAAAAAAATCAATCGATCAAATAAGTAGGCGAATCCACGTGAAATCAATTCATTTTAACGGATTAAACATATATATAAGTAGGAAATTGGTTGTTTGTTTTCCCACTTATGAACTGAGATGAAGTGAAAGCTCTTCAGGGATTCCCCCGAACTTTCCAACTGTCTTTTTTAACTGGTTAGGAAAGCCCCCGCCCCCAGAGTCACGTCATTTATTCAGCACCTGGGTGGAAATACCATGTTTATATGTCTATGGGAAATACCACACACACGCACGCGCGCACGCGCGCGCGCACACACACACACACACACACACACACACGAACTGAGACTTTAACTATTGATCTTAATATTTAAATCAGGTGAACAAAACAAACAAAGAAATCAACAACTAAGCTAGCACATATTATTATTATTATTATTATTATTATTATTATTATTATTATTATTATTATTAATAATAATAATAATAGAGATATTTTATCTCTGGAGTAAAAGCAACTTTTTAAATTGATTGTTTTATGTATTTACAGTTCAGCTGGGTCAGACGCATGTCTCCAGTTAACAAACAAAAAGTAACAATGCAAACAACTATTCACTTTAAAATTACAGTCAGAAAACATAAAAACAAAGTATTCAGCAGGAACAAAGAAATAAAACTTTGTTTCTAGTGTTCTGTTTCATTAGTAAACTTTCATTAACAGACTACTTTTATATAATAATATGGTATATTGCAGATGTTGTATATTCTCAGTCAGATTAGAGAGAAAGACAGAGAAAATTACAAATTTGTGTTCCCAATCTCTCCTGTCCAAGGGCATAAAGTTACAAATCAACAGACATTCAAAGATAAGCATATTGATGCTGATGCATTTTTTCTTCTTTTCTTAATTTCTCTGTAGTTCTTGTGGCATCAGTGTGTGGCCACTCGCAGGTACACAAGACCACCTTACATTACTCCTGCTGCAACCGGACGTTAAGGTTCAATAGATCCTGTGAAAACATTTGGAGCGCGAAGGGCCAGGTAAAGCTCAGTGGATGATTTTATCTTCCTGTTTCGTTGCAGCATGAAGTGTAGAGTTTAAACAACTGAATGGATTCACTCTTCATTTGTGGAATTCATACAAACTGCTTAATGTTGGAACAAATTAATCCAGAGTTAATTTGAATGTGTTTAAGACCAATGATGAGGCTGTTATAACGAGCTGTCATGTTAATTTGTGTTTTTCTTCTGTTCTTACAGACTTTTGCTCGAGTTGAAGGCAATGTGAAAGAATGTGATTTTCCATGCAAGACAATCGAAGATGAACGTATGACACTGGGTGATTGTGTGAATATCACACAAGCTGCTATCTGCACTGACGTATGTTTTTCCATTTAATTACTTCAATAAAAAGCCAAAGTTACGAACATGTTGATGCAGAGATTTTTGGGTTCATACAAACTTATTCTTGTTTACAGGCGGTGGGATTAAGCACAGAGACACGAATATACTACCTCAGCCAAGCCTGCACTCTCCATGTTTCCTTCAGGGCGACTGGAAATCGGGGTGAGCCATTTTCAACCTTATCTCTGTCATTAGTTTCATTAAAATATACTGAAATATCTTGAGACAGTGTGTAGTTTTTACCATTAATATCTGGAAAATATCCATCAAAATGTTTTTGAAAATGAATGAAATTATGCCCAGTTGTTGAAAAATACTGGCTGCTTCAAAACAAATAACCATAAAAATTGGGTCTAAAATACACAGAAGCTGGTAGAAGTCTCTAAGTGACGTCGTATTAGATGCGATGTTTTCATCTACATGAGCCCGTGAGGACAAAACGCATTTACAGTTACAAAGCTTTCGCCATTCATAAATGTTGTTTTAAACATTTACCTCTTCACCCATTGCCAGTGATGAAAAGGGGTCTGATGTGCTTGTCATTTTGCCAGAGGTTGAATGGTATCACGAAGTACTCATTCAAAAATTGCACTCCCAGGGATTTATACAGTTTTTGCCCATTGCTTGAACACATTTAGCAAAACTTGGCTCATTGTGCCAAAACTCTACACACAAGTAAAACACAACACTGGGAAATTTACCATTCACATCTGTGTCAAATTGAAATTCGACTGTCAAAACCTAAACTCAGCAATCAAAACTTAACATTCCTTTGTCAAAATGAAACTCTGACAACAAAATGATACACACTTGCATCATGTGAATACACTTTCAGATTGGAAGCAACACACTAGAGCAGTGGTTCCCAAACTTATTTAGCCGCGCACCCCCTTCTATGTCCCGACCATGTCGACGCACCCCCCAGCCCCCACATCAGAGCATGGATATATATATATATATATATATATATATATATATATATATATATATATATATATATATATATATATATATATATATATATATATCAATCAGACGTCAAGCTAAACAGACAGGGTTAAAAAAATATGATCGACCTTTTTCCCCATCACTTTCATTTTTTAAATAGTAATTAAAAAACATTCAATGCCATTACAATTTCCTTTGATTTAATTTTAAATAAATATTTAGAGTGCCCAGGTAGCACATAAACAATGCAATTTGACGGTTTTCTTAAAGTAGGAACGTTTAACTTGTGCGGCCAGAGCGCTCTCCTTCCTTCTGTTCTGCGTGAACCTGAGCTGATTACCTACTTGTGCGTAATCAAATGTCTATAGGGGAAAATATGGAAAAGATATTTTCCCTCAGACCGACTTATTGCTGTTTTATGGTGTGGCTGAATCTGCGATCCGCTGCCACGCGGACTGGAATAACAAATGCTGCAGTAACATGAGATGTGGTCAGGTTCGGAGTCACTGGCTGGAGCGGACCCGACTTTAATACGTCATCCCAAAATTGAAGATAATATCTTAATTTTACCTTGAATGAAAAATGTTATATAACCTCTTAAAAGTTTTTATCACAGAGGAGGCAGCGCTCATTTCTGTCTTCAGTCTGACGGCGCGCCGGAGTTTGCGCAGCGTGCGCGCTTATTGAATCTGTGTGTGTGTGTGTGTGTTTGAGTGTGTGTGCGCGCGCGGCACAGCTCCATGAGCCGCTCAAGTCACCGCGTCTCGTTATTGGCGCTATTTAAACCAATGTTGTAAAATTACTTTTGCCCAGCCCAGATATGCTCACTTGTGCACCCGTGAGCTGTGGTTCTGCTGGAACACGTCTGACCTCTGACAGACGCACTCTGAACTTCAGATCTTCAGCGCGCTGTCAATAGCCTGAATGGGAATCATTTCTTGTTATTTTGTTACATCCATAATGTTCTGTGTGTGAGGTTTACAATGTCAGAACACCTGCATGAGACAGGTGTTAATTACAATCTGCCAGAATGACTCACCACCTTCAGATTCCTCCAACACCGTTAAAAATGATCAAATACGAAACATATCGGCGTGCGCAGGCCAGAGTGCTGAAGCTCGGCGCATTGTTATTATGAAGCTAGGGCACATGTGGAGGGCACACGCGCAAAAATATACTTGTTTTCAGTTACATTTATTGTGCCCACTTACTTTTTCTTAGGCCCACCCACAAATGAGTTTCTGGCTACGCTAATGGTGACTTTTGACAGACTTCTCTGAGCTCCGCAGCCATTACACTTTTCACCTCGCGCACCCCCGGGGGTGCGCGCACCACACTTTGGGAATCCCTGCACTAGAGTACTTTATATAAAACAATGCAGTCTTTCATTCTCACTGTTTTTATTCCGTTCATCAGTTAGCTTTCTGTGAATCTCAATAGAACACTGTTTTTGTTCACAACAAAGGTTTCCCCAACAATCAAAAATGAACGTACTGAAAGGTTACAAACAATATCAACTCAATACTGCACATCACAGTACTACAGCATACTTTACGGTACAGTACTGCACATGCAGTAACAAAAAAAACACTACTGTAAATAAAGGAAAAACTAGGCAATTGTGCGTGAGTGGGATTATGGATCCCGCCGTCTGTTTGGGTCTGGCCACACGATCTCGTCAACATCACAACCGATATTTTCTCCTGCTTAGCAACGGAGAAAATATCTCCTTGTGTGGCGAATCCATCCATGGATTGACATTACCTCAATGTCTCCGCATGCCTCTTCCATTGCCTGACGAAGAGGCATGCGGGCATGTGGTTGGCGGCCATACACGCGCCATCTCCAAGCGGAAAAAAATTTCTCAATTGGGTTTAGAAATGGCGAGTAAGTAAACAACTTCAAATTGATCATGGTTGGTGAACCAGTTCTGGACCAGAGCTGCCCGGTGGAAACTAACATTATCCCAGACAACAATGGGCTCCTCTGGACTGGCCTGTTCAACTGCATCATGAAGTGTATCTAGAAATGTATTTGTTGGGTATTGTGGGGTCCTAGATTGGCATGATGGTGTAGTAGCCCTCGAAGGCTTATGGCGGCATACAATGGGATGTTTTCCCCGCACTGCCCCAGGACATGCACAATTGCCCTTTGGCCAATTATATCACGACCTCGTCGTCTATTGTTAGTGAGGTTGAAGCCAGCCTCATCAATATAAATCAATTCATGAGACTGTGCAGCTTCATCCATGTCCAAGATTGTCCACAACACAAAAAAAAATACATAGAATGGATGGCTGGCATTTCCCAAAACACACAACTACAGTACTACACGTGCAGAATCCCCCCGCCCCCATCTCACACACACACACACACACACACACACACACACACACACACACACACACACACACACACACACACACACACACACACACACACACACACACACACACACACACAAGCACATGTCTGTATCTATGTGATACTGATACAATGGCATAGCTATTACTGTACTGAATTTAGTGGTGGGCATAGATTAATTTTTTTAATCTAGATTAATCTCACTGTAATCTTGGAATTAATCTAGATTAATCTAGATTAAAATGGCACATTCAAATTCTGCCAAAGGCATATGTGTGTGCTACCTAGATAATGAATAAAAGCAAGTCGTTGAGAATGGAGGCGTATTTCTTGTTTCAGTAATGCATCACAGACTGATAAAGCAGTTTTACTACGATAACTGATGATGAAAATAAATAATGATCAATAAGTATTTGTGTTTAATAGCTGTTTATTCAGTTCAACAAATTCTGCACTGTAGGTCAACAGAATAGGTCATGATTAACTATTTACAGTCAGTAGCATTTGGTCAATCAGTCCAAGCTCTATTTCTCCTTCTTCCACCAGTCACTCAAGCAGACCAGCTTGTTCACATTGTCTGGTGACAAACTAGTTCTTCTCTTCTACACAATATGGCCTGCTAAAGAAAAAAGTATATACAGTAGATACACACACACACACATACATACATACATACAGACATACATACATACACACACACACAGAGAAACTATCTGGCCTGGGGAGGGGGTTAAATTTCTGGGGTGCCCTTCCAATGCCCCCCTTTAGTTTGCATGTAGGATCGCCTCTGGTGAATAGGAGCGAGAGCTGGAAATGATGCCACAGCTCACCTGTATGAGCAGAAGCCAACTGTTGCTGTTGTTGCCTCTGAAAATGGCAAGGGGAGTTATCCTAGCTCAACTTTTCTAAATAAATATAAGAATTTATGAGTAAAACGTTTATTATTACAGGTGAATTTGAGTCGAAGCCACATGAACAACGACCTGTAGAAACACTTTATCACAATAAACAGCCGCTAAAAGAGCTAAACTTAGTTGGAAACCGCACCTGTCTGAGAAAGTCGTCTCGGTTTTCTCACATCCGAGCGCTGCTTCGGCCGCGGACGGTGAAGTGTGGCCCGGGGAAAGCCCGGCTGGAAATGTCGGAGGTAAACAAAACAAAATAAAAAGAATGAAAGTCGGATTTATGGATTAAACTCTGGTTAAAGTACATAAATTATTTACTTGTCCCGCGCTATGAGATGGGAGAAGCGCTGCTGGTGGCGACGGTGCGACTGTTCGGCTGCATGGGGAACATTAAACTCCGCGAGCCTGGCGTCCGTCCATACCTACGATGATCCGCGCTGAGTGCACATCCGCGCCAACCAGGTATCCATCCGCGCAATGTGAAAGTCATCATAGTTTACTTAGTATAGACCCAGATCCCAACCCAACTTTGAGAATAGATTAACGGCGTCATTATTTTTATCGCGCGATAAGAGTCTGGCTTTGCCGCAGCGCGTTAACGCCGATAACGGCCCACCCCTAACTGAATTACATAAATACTGTATTATAAATGTACAGTAATGGACTGCAAAACTTACTTGTACATATTCTTGTCGACATATTACGACCCTGATACCGTTCCTCTCAAATGGGACCCAGTACAACTGCTTCATTGTGATTTGATGCTTTGCCAAGACACATCCGATCGTGGTAATGCTTACTCGATTGATTTATGAATACTTGCTTATCTGCATGTATTTGTTGCCGAAGCTGGTGGAGACGAATAGCATTGTTTGCACGGACTATTTCCACAATGGCAAGTTCCTGCTATTGGGTGAACAGGCATTGCCGACCACCTCGAGATGGTCTTCTAGTCATTTTGTAGGAAAAAGCAACCACAAATTACATTTGGTTTAGTTCTTTTTTACAGTACTGTATACCGTACACAGTAATGTGACATCTCAATGGTACAGTACCATGCACTATACTGTATGTTTCACAAAACTACCATTTTTGTTTCAAAAGGATCACTAGCCAAGTTACAATACAGTATATGTGATATGGTAATGTGATACAGTAAAGTACTGTAAATACTGTAGATACAGTCTGGAGGAGAGAGTTGAAGACATACCTGTTTTCCAGTCTAAAGGTCCTTCTAATGGAAGCAACTGTGAACCGGCTGGTGTGGGTGGACTCTCTGCCCAGCTACCCTCATTGTCAGGCCATGATTGATTACATGATCCACCAAAGTTGCTCTAATGTCATCGGAAATATTGTTCCGTACATGACCTCTTCGACCACGTCCACGTCCTCCTCCTCCTCCTGATCTGAGGCACATGGAGGTAAGATGGAAGAATGGCACAAAAAGGTGGACAGAAGATGAGCAGAATAGAGAAACAATGGGAATGAGATCAGATATGGGGGACAAAGATCACGATCAGCTTTGAAAGTGCAAGACATTGATTTATGACCCTAATGCTCATCCGTTGGTTACTCGAACACAAAAATATTGCTTGTTTGCAATGATTAAGGTATCTACTGCCCCCTATCGCCAGGGAAAATACACACCGTCTCTCTAAAGCGTTAATTTTTAAGTAAAGGTGGCTGCCACAGCTAATTAACGTTAAACCTTATAAATGAAAGATCAGTCAATGAATTTGACAGATGTTGACCTAAAAAATAAGTTAGCTGTAGTAAATAGTCATCACATTTAGAAAAGTGTTACAGCATTTATACATTGTTGTTCTTTCCCCTTCAGGCTCTGCTGTCTGGATGCTGCTAACTTTTGGATGCATTCTCCTTTGCATCATCTAGGAGCTAACTTCACTGACACGGTACTCCTCTCCTTTGATCCTTGTCTTCTGCACTTTATTTCCATGCTCTTCCCTCAGGGCTAAACCATTCTTTTTATTTAAAGTTTCTTCAGGCACACATTTTCAGTAAAGTCCGAGCAGCGACAAATGAGGAATTATATATTTATTTTTATTTTTTTTTTACTTGTCAGGAATATTGTTAAATATCTTGTGGGAGCAGAGTGAGAATAAATGTTGAGAATTAGTCCCAGAAGTGTTTTTACCTGCCTAAAACTAATCATAAAGAACTGAATATGTCATGATTTCACAGAAAAATAACAAGCCACTTTAGCAATATTTATGGGTTTTAGTTTTTAGTTTAGTTTAATTAAAAAAAATTAAAATGTTAATGTTTCAAATATCACCAGTAAACTAATCTATACTCTGAATGTTGAAGGAAAAAGAAATACTGTATTGGAGCAAGAGAAAGCATAATCAACATTTTCATTAGCTCACCAGCAAAATTTTACAATTTCAGATCAAGCATTTTTAACAACTGATGTTTGTTTGACTGTTGATGGATTTTGTTCTCAGTATTTCTCTTGATGTTCTCAATTAACGCAGAATAGCTTGTCAATAAATTAATTCAAAGAATAACATGAAAAAACTATTTTTAAATCTGCTCTTTTTATATTTCTCTCAAGAAAGTGTGACAGCTTAAGTTTTTCCGACTTTATGTAGACAAACGTTTAAAGATTTAATCAAGAAAATATAAACTGATGCAGTATGGATATTACCGGGATGTATTTATTCAGCTACAACCCTATCTCCCCAAAAAAGAAATAGCAAAAAACAAAAAGTTACAATTATATCCCAAAAAAGATGTGCAGCCATGTTTTCTTTCATTCATTCAAGTTTATTTATAAGCGCCAAATCACAAGAGTCGTCTGAAGAAAAGTTAAATATAGTTAAGTTCATTAATCCAATCAGTATAAAGTTTCATATATAATGAACCCAGCAAATTGCATCAAGTCACTGAAAGGCGTCACCGTCTTTACTGCAATCCTGTAGCTCTATCTGTCATTTCCACCGGACGACCACACTATCTCAGCACGAATATCAAACTGTCTCTCTGACATCTCAAAATGGATGAAATCCCACCATCTTCAACTCAACCTCTCTAAAACTGAACTGCTTGTCATCCCAGCAAAACCATCCATACAGCACAATATCTCAATCCAGAATGACTTCCTATCTCTGGCTCCTCCAAAGACAGTTTGAAATCTGGGTGTTGTGATTGATGAACACCTGGCCTTTAAAGATCATGTTGCCTCTGTTGCTCGTTCATGCCGCTTTGCGCTGTACAACATACGTAAGATCAGACCATACCTAACACAACATGCCACCCAGCTCCTGGTGCAATCTACTGTCATCTCCCGCCTCGACTACTGCAATGCTCTTCTAACTGCTCTTCCAGCCTGTACTGTGAGACCTCTTCAAATGGTCCAGAACGCAGCGGCGCGTCTGGTCTTCAATCAGCCAAAAAGAGCACACGTCACCCCTCTGTTCATTGAGCTCCACTGGCTACCGCTAGCAGCACGCATCAAATTCAAATTGCTAACACTAGCATACAAAGTCCGAGACGGTACGGCTCCCATCTACCTGAATCCTCTTGCAAAGGCTTACGTCTCGGCCCGGCCGCTCCGGTCATCACAGGTTCGTCGACTAGCAGTGCCTACACCACACTCAGGACAATCCAGACTTTTCTCATGCATCATTCCACAAATGTGGAATGACCTTCCTAACACTACCAGAACTGCGGCTTCCTTTTCTATTTTCAAGAAACTCCTGAAGACCCTGCTCTTCAGAGAGCATCTTCTTAACTAGCACCTTGCCTGCACCCGTCCCCCCTCTCTACTGTCCACTCCTTGTTCCCTCCTCTCCATGACTGATGTCAATTTGTTGTTGTTACTATTGTTGTTAGCCTCAAGGGCAAAATGTCGATTATCACTTGTAAGTCGCTTTGGACAAAAGCGTCTGCTAAATACATAAACATAAACATAAATCCTCGTACTAAGCAATAATGTAGTAACAGTAGAGAGGAAAACTCCCTTTAATCAGAGGACCTCCAGACGATCCTGGCTCAGTATAAGCAGCCATCCACCATGACTCACTGGGGATTGAGAAGACAGAGTAGACACACACACACACACACACACACACACACACACACACACACACACACACACACACACACACACACACACACACACACACTGACACACACACAACATATACCAAGTAGTATTTCTAAAGTCCCATAGTCATCATCACACACTGGTGAAATTCATCTCTGCATTTGAGCTATTCCCGTGGGGAGTCGTGAGCTGCAGCTGTGGCTGTGCTCGGGAACATTTGGTGGTTTAACCCTCCAATCCAAGCCCTGAAACCTGAGTGTCAAGCAGGGAGGCCTTGGGTCCCTTGGTTATGACCCAACTGGAATTTGAAACCCGATCTCTCAGTCCCAGGGATGACACTCAACCTCTAGGCCACTGAGCTGGCTACATTGTGATTTCTTAGTAGATATTCTATTTAGTAAGAGATTAACTTTATTGTCTTTATTATAGTGAATCTATAATTAATTGAACTGGTGAACTAGTAGTAGCACATTACATGTCAAAGAAAGAGAAATGTTATTATCAGGAGAGGGAGCGTGTTGAGTGGTTAGCAGCAGTGTGCCAACTCATGGCACCCTCCATGAGGCCACCACAGCTCAGCAGAACACCATTTTAGTTTCTTCTGAGGGGAACCCTTAGAGAGAAAATAAAGTTAACACCTGAAATAGCAAGAAATAATGCAATTAGAGAGAAGTGGTATAGAAGAAAGTAGTAGTGTGGAAAGTGGTCAGTATGTGTTCCAGCAGTCTAAGCCTATAGCAGCATAACTATATAAATAACTGGATAACCTAGCCTTTTAGATGGAGGCAGAGCCAGGGAGAGCCGTCTTTATTAACTGTATTCCCATGTGTTAGCATGCTTTCTTTAGCAAATAAAACTTAAGTCACACATCACAAATCAAGATTTACTTGTTTCTAAGAAACTAAATATGCAGCATTAATTAACCAGTGAGATTGCTTAAAATAATAATGTTCTAATTTGTTTTCCATTGTAATTAATAACCAAGTATTTTCAAACTGTTTTACATTAAACCTATGTAATGATCTGAAGTTGTATATTTATACACTGTAATTAGATAATGTAATGATCTGATTTTGTATATTTATACACTGTAATTAGATCTAAGTAATTAATCAGAAGTGGTCGTTTTTATCATCAGGGAGTTTACTCAAACACTCTGTATTGACTGAGAGACAAGAAAAGAGAGAGTTGGGATCGTTTAAGAATCTTTAATTTCTATAATTATAAATTCTTACAATCTACCAGGACTATCTCAATGATGAATGCATATGGATTTGGATGTTTCGTGTTGGTGTGTGTGTGTTTTGTTCAGAATCTCTAGGCTGACGTAGCGAATCTGGTTGTTATGACTAGGCTACCACGAGGCTTCAGAAGCTGATGACATGATCCGCCATTTTGCCGTATTTACGTACCCAGTGGAGCCTCCCGTGTTAGATCAGGAATTGCCAGGTCCTCGGACCTTCAGATGTACTGGAGCTGGTTGAAACAGCGGTCGCAGCACACAACGTCCGTCTGAAGGGTCGACTCAGGTAGCATCGGCAGGCGTCAACAAGTTCACTCTTATTTTGAAGGAACGTCATCTTGTTGGTTCAAACGACGGAAATCTCCAGCTTGACAGTTCTCAGCTTAAAGTAGAAAGTACAGCTGGCCAGCCTGTAACTTTCTTAATGATGACGATGGAAATCCTTAGGACCTCCAACTGAACAGAACTGAGGTTAACATGGAACTGAATATAAAATGGCGTTGCCTTATTTTATATCCCCTAATTGTTTACAAATCTTAGTAAAGCGGATTGGACGACTTTCATTAAACAACCCAGATTCTGCCCTACCACAGACGAAAGTTCTGATTGGTTGAGAATAATGTGTCATGCGTTTCCATGGTAATGTAGATCAGTCTGTCTGGTGCAGTCCTGTTTATTCATTAAACACATAACTCATGACATCTTTATTTCACAGATCATTCACCTGACTATTAATGATCAACATATGCTCTGATTAGCTTTATCACGAATAAAGTACTTTAATTAAAGGAAAGCGTTCTTCTTCTCTTCTTCTGTCTCTTCTCCTGGAATGTAAACATACTGAACCAAGCGTCCGACCTTGGTGATGTTACTGTGTGAAGGGGCAGCTGTTAAGGGCAGACCATTATAAGCTTCATAACGCTACACCTACTACCACTACTACTGCCTTACAGTAATAATAATAAAATAATACTAATGGTTAACATTCTCTGAGCTATATGCAAATGATTTCAAAACCAGTATGAAGCTCAAACTTGTTCTTCAACATTTATTTTTGATGTTCTCAGGGTCCAAAAGCAGCAGTTCAAACATTAACGATGCTTTTTCTTGCTCCATGACCTCTCAGGTTAATTTTAAAAAAGGCATTAAGCTAGGATGTGGCTAATGTTTACTGATCAAAGATATATGAAAAGCCTGACATAAACTTAAAAGGGACAAACATGAGCACAAAGTGTACTGTGCAATATTTTTTAAATTACATTTTTTTTAATTGAAGAACATATTTCTGTTTTTTATGTTTATTTATTTGTGTGGTTTCCCAGTTCATGATAAATTAGCCAAATGTGAATGAATGTGATTGTAAAACAAAGCAGGGAAAAAAACTTGAGCTGAGCACATTATACCTGTGCACTTTAATCATTCATCATGTTTCACGGATGTATTCCATAAGACATCCTCCGTCTGATGCTGTTTACTCTAACTGTGATAATGTGAAGAAGCACCTGTTTTCATGTTTTCTGTTTTAAAAGTATTTTCTCAACTTTGACCTACTTTGGTGCCAATTTAAAAAAAACACTCTCATCACTGCTGAGTTTTGCATGAAATTTATGTTGTTCATATGTACAAATATTTAACAATATGATGTGTGTTAACATAAAGGATGAGTTATATATTTAACGTTTACAATATTTAACTATGATGTCGACATACAAGCTGAGTTAAATATTTCTTGTTTACTGTATGTAACTATGATGTCCGTTAACATTAAAGAGGAGTTAAATATATTCTGCTTCTTGTGCATTTAAAAAAAATCTTATCTGGATTAAAATTCCTGCAGTATTGGTTTGAATCTTCATGCTAATCAAGTCTATGTTAGGCTGTATGTTACTGTTAGAAAATTAGAATAAAAATCCTTTTGGTTTAGCTTCAATCATTAAAATTGTTTAAAAAACAAACAAAAATGTCTCTTCTTGGACATAATTTTTTAAAACAGTAATGTTTTTTTAACAGTAATCAAAATGTAAAAAAAAAATAAAAAAAAAAATTACAAATTGAAAAAGTATCCCTTCATGGACATAACTATAATAAAATAAACACTTATGAAAAACTAGCCTAGAAATGAGTCTGATAAAAACCAATAAAATTAAATATTATTAGTTTGGGTAGATCAGAACCTTTCATTCAAAATGAAGAAACAATAATTAAAAAAAGGACAACTGACACTTGAAACTGTTTAAAAAACATCAGACTGTTTATCAGAAAAAAAAAACACAGTACTTATGATTCTTTACATATTAATATTTACATTTAATATTTTTATTTGTTCTTTTTTATTGTGAGGAAAAACTACAGAGGAAGAATAAGTGGAAAATTTACTTTTGTGTCAAATCAGAAGAGAAATGTCTCCTGGGACGTGTTATTATGATTCATTATAGGATCTGTTCAGCATCTTCTGGCTTTTCTGCCCAACGTGCTCCATTTAATCCCAGCTGTCAGACTAAGTACTGCCATAAATGCACAAGAAGAATGAACTGTTCAAATCATGCCTGCAGTAAACATCTCCTGTCCCTCTGGAGGTGTTTGACTTCAGGTTCAGATTTTTGAACTTGCAGGTCTTTTCACCAGGCCCTGCTCTTTGCGCATCACTGGTGCATGAATACTACAATCCCTCGCTTCGCAAAATCCCGGCACGCCTGGGAGTCCCACCATGCCGATTGGACCCATGGGACCAGGGAAGCCACGAGGACCGCGGGGACCATCCATCCCATTTTTAGGTTCTGCTGGGTCACCTGGTGAACCTGGAAAGGTCATGGAAATAAAGAAAATTACTACTTTAAAGGATATATTGAGTAATTAAGGATGTGTGTTTTGTTCACATCCAAAAAAAGGACCTAAAATCCCAACAATAGGAGAAGTTCTGCTTATATCACCTCTGAGTCCCTGAGGTCCATCCAGTCCCGGCAGTCCTTTGCCCGGATCACCTCCCATGCCTTTAGATCCCTTCTGACCTGTTCGTGAAAACACATGAAGTTTGAAGGAAAAAGTTGGACACACACTGCAAATTTAAAATTCAGGGACAAACTCAAGGATTTTGTTTTCCAAATTGTGATTTTTGAGTTCAATGGTCGTATATTTTACATTCATCCATTTTCATCCGTTTGTCTGGAGTCGGGTCGCGGGGCAGCAGCCCAGACTTTCTTCTCCCCAGCCATTTGGGCCGAGCCTGGCAAGCCAGACTAAATAAATGTATTATTTAGTATTACTTTCAAATGATCTCCACATTCCACTGGACAAAGAATGTGACATGCTCTTGTTTCACTCTGTTGCATCATCCCACCCACCAGGCATATAGAGTGCCCTGATTGGCCCACAAAGCGGATAAAGCTCTGTGATTTGTTCACTAAGCAGATAGAGCACTATGATTGACCCACCATTATGGACCAATCACAGCTCTTTATGTGTTTGAAACCCCTCTAGAGAGCTGTGATTGGCCAGCCATAATGCTGTTGGGGCTGCAGAGGTTCCAGTGGAGCGTTCCTAGACCAAACTTTGCAAAGCAAGAATTTGGTGTAGTTCACTAGGCTAACTTGAGCCAGCTCTTCCCGGGAAATCCCAAGGCATTCCCTGCCAGGCAAGAAACACAGTCTTTCCAACGTGTCCTGGGTCTTCCTTTGGGTCTTGTCCCAGTTGGACGTGCCTGGAAAACCTCACCAGGGAGGTGTCTAGGAGGCATCCTTACCAGATACCTGAACCACCTCAACTGGTTTGTCTCAGGTAGTTCTATTTTATTGCCCCTAGATTACTAAAGTTGCTTAATTCTTCCGTAAAATGTCTTAAAATAAAAAATGTTTTATTTTTAGGCCGTTGCACCCCTGGAGGAGAGTTCGGACACAAAAACTTTACCTCGTTCCCCCTCAGCTCCTTTCTGTCCCTCCAGTCCTCTGTCTCCTTGAACACCTCTGGCTCCTTTTGTTCCAGCTTTTCCTGCTTTACCCTGACAGATGGAAGCACACATCTTATCGAGCCATTTGCAAGCAGTTCAGCATCTCCATAATTAATAAATACAACAATGATTTCCATCCTGGTACATGTAACAAAAGAAAATATATAAACAGAGAAGACTGAAATTCCCGTACAGCTTTGCCCGGTTGTCCCAATGGTCCTTGAACTCCTGGTGGCCCAATTAGTGTTCTGTTGTTGATGGGACAGCCCTGGGCACATTTGGCTCGGATTGAAGCGGCGTACTGGGAGATCTGGGCCTTCACAACATCAGTACAGAGCTGCAAGACCTGCTGATCACTCAGACCAGGACCCTGAAGGACCAAAAACAAGCTATGAAGACAGTTTGTCGTCATTAGAAACCTGTGACGATCACACGTTTGTTTGACAACTGATGAACAGAAATGCTTGACATCTGTTTGACTAAGAACATAAAGAATCGGATGATCAGATCCTGAAGATGTAACTCACAGATGGACCTGGAACTCCTTTTGGTCCTGCTTGACCTTTAACACCCAGGTCACCGATGACACCACGGTCACCGCGGGTGCCGGGGATGCCAGGTGGTCCTACAGGGCCCGGGATGCCGGAACGACCTACTGCACCTTTTGGTCCTCGCTTGGAGAAAGATACCGTCAGGTCCATAAATATTGGGACATCGACACAATGCTAACATTTTTGGCTCTATACACCACCACAATGGATATCAAATGAAACAAACAAGATGTGCGTTAACTGCAGACTGTCAGGTTTTAAATCAAATCAAATCAAATCAACTTTATTTATATAGCACTTTTCATACAAAAAATGCAACTCAAAGTGCTTTACAGATTAAAATGGCCCCATAGATCCCACATTCCCATCCCAGCCCCCCTCCCCAAGTATAAAACAATTAAAAATTACAGTTCCCCTCCCGCACCCAACTTCCAAAGTGGACATACAATCACCCACACACACACACACACTCGTGAACACCAGAGGAAACAATAGGCTGAGTTCAGATGGGTCAGGTAATGAACGACACATCATCAGCGGAGCCATCTGCCTTGGCAGCAACAGATCAACGGCATCAGCCAATACACCGGCCCATGACGCCCAGTGGCGTAGGGCAGAAACCCCCACCAGTGCCCGGGCACTACCTGGGGAGCGCCCCGGCCGCCGCCGCCCCTGACCACCGGCCCCAAGGCAGAGGGCTCCGCAGAGGAAACACTGGAGGATTTAAGATATATAACATATAAAATAATAAAAGCTAATAATGATAAAAAGTAACTGATAAAAAGTGATTATAAAGATAGTAAAAGAAAACATAATCATATAAAAACACTAAGATGTATATAAAATGATAAAAATAATAAAAGAGATAAATATGTATTTATAGATAAATAGTAATCAGTTAAAAGCTAAGCTAAAAAGGTGGGTCTTGAGCCTATTCTTAAAAGCCTGGATGTTCCCTTCGGACCTGAGGTCCTCCGGCAGCCCGTTCCAAAGGCGAGGGCCGTAATACTTGAAGGACGCCTCGCCGTGGGTGTGAGTCTTAACTTTAGGGAAAACTAGGAGACGGCTGCCAGAGGAGCGCAGAGACCGCGAGGGTTTATACAGTAAAAGCAGTTCTGAAAGATAAGAAGGCCCAAGACCATTAAGACACTTAAAAACCATTAAAAGAACCTTAAAATCAATCCTGAAACATACGGGGAGCCAGTGCAGTGATTTTAAAACCGGAGTGATGTGCTCCCGCTTCCTGGTCTTCATCAGGACACGTGCTGCTGAGTTTTGTAAGAGTTGTAAACCTGAGATGCTCTTTTTGGGAAGACCAGAAAGCAGGGCATTGCAGTAATCAATTCTACTGGTTACAAAATCATGCACTAGCGTCTCCGTATTGGCCCGAGAGAGAATGGGGCGGACTCTGGCGATATTCTTAAGATGGTAAAAACCTATTTTTGTGATGTTTTTAATATGGGGGATAAAAGTCAGCTCAGAGTCAAAAATAACACCCAGATTCTTCACTTGTAGTGATGGATAAAAAGACATTGATTGTAGTTTAGGTAAAAGTTTCTCTCTCTGGGCCTCAGGACCGATGACTAAAACTTCAGTTTTGCCCTGGTTGAGCTGGAGAAAGTTTTCAGTCATCCATGATTTAATATCTAAAATGCAATTAAAAAGTGTTTCCATTGGCTGAGAGTCATCAGGAGACACGGAGATGTACAACTGTGTATCATCAGCGTAACTGTGGAAATCCACCCCATGTCTCCTGATGACGCTGCCCAGAGGGAGCATATAGAGGTTAAAAAGTACTGGGCCTAGAATTGATCCCTGAGGCACCCCGCATGTGATGCTGTGGACCCCAGAGGAACAGGTATCCAGACTCACCATAAAAGTCCTGTCTGTGAGGTAGGAAGTAAACCAACTGTGAACAACACCAGAGAGGCCGATCTGTTTTAAACGGGTTAAAAGAATAGTGTGGTCTACTGTATCAAAGGCAGCGCTTAGATCCAGCAGAACCAACACTGTTGCCCTCCGAGCATCATAATTTGTTCTAAAATTTATTTGAGGGTATTTACATCCAAATCAGGTGAACGGTGTAGGAATTACAACAGTTTGCATATGTGCCTCCCACTTGTTAAGGGACCAAAAGTTATGGGACAGAATAAGAACCATAAATCAAACTTATACATTTCAATACTTGGTTGCAAATCCTTTGCAGTCAATTACAGCCTGAAGTCTGGAACACATCAACATCACCAGACGTTGGGTTTCATCCCTGGTGATGCTCTGCCAGGCCTCTACTGCAACAGTCCTCAGTTCCTGCTTGTTCCAGGGGCATTTTCCCTTCAATTTTGTCTTCAGCAAGTGAAATGCATGCTCAATCGGATTCAGGTCAGGGGATTGACTTGACCATTGCAAAACAGTCCACTTCTTTCCCTTCAAAAACTTTTTGGTTGCATTTGCAGTATGCTTCGGGTCATTGTCCATCTGCACTGTGAGGCCCAATGAGTTCTGAGGCATTTGGCTGAATAGGACTATATTATATTGCCTGAAACACGTCAGAATTCATCGTGCTGCTTTTGTCAGCAGTCACATCATCAATAAATACAAGAGAACCAGTTCCACTGGCAGCCATACATGCCCACGCCATGACACTTCCAGCACCATGCTTCACTGATGAGGTGGTATGCTTAGGATCATGAGCAGTTCCTTTCCGTCTCCAGACTCTTCTCTTCCCATCACTCTGGTACAAGTTGATCTTGGTCTCATCTGTCCATAGGATGTTGTTCCAGAACTTTGAAGGCTTTTTTAGATGTTGTTTGGCAAACTTTAATCGGGCCTTCCTGTTTTTGGGGCTCACCAATGGATTACATCTTGTGGTGTAATCCATCTCAGCGCTTTGGGCTTCCTGACAGGGTTGCGGAAGGCGCTTTATAAATAAAGCTTTGATTGATTGATTGATTGATTGGTGAACCCTCTGTATTCACACTGGTGGAGTCTTCTCTTGATTGTTGACTTTGACACCTCCTGGAGAGCGTTCTTGATCTGACCAACTGTTGTGAAGGGTGTTTTCTTCACCAGGGAAAGGGTTCTTCGGTCATCCACCACAGTTGTTTTCCGTGGTCTTCCGGGTCTTTTGATGTTGCTGAGCTCACCGGTGCATTCCTTCTTTTTGAGAATGTTCCAAACTGTTGTTTTGGCCATGCCTAATGTTTTCGCTATCTCTCTGATAGGTTTCTTTTGTTTTTCAGCCTAATGATGGCTTGCTTCACTGATATGACAGCTCTTTGGATCTCATCTTGACAGTTGACAGCAACAGATTCCAAATGCAAATAGCATACTTGAAATGAACTCTGGACCTTTTATCTGCTCATTGTAATTGGGATAATGAGGGAATAACACACACCTGGCCATGGAACAGCTGAGAAGCCAGTTGTCCCATTACTTTTGGTCCCTTAACAAGTGGGAGGCACATATGCAAACTGTTGTAATTCCTACACGTTCACCTGATTTGGATGTAAATACCTCAAATAAAAGCTGACAGTCTGCAGTTAAAGCACATCTTGTTCGTTTCATTTGATATCCATTGTGGTGGTGTATAGAGCCAAAAATGTTAGCATTGTGTTGATGTCCCAATATTTATGGACCTGACTGTAAAAGATGTAAGAGGATCACATACACGTAATTATGTATTTTATTTACACATGAAAACCGTTGATCATTAGACTACATGAACCTTCTCAGTGGTCTAGTGGTAGAGTTTCCACCCTGGGACTGGGAGTTTGGGGTTCAAGTCCCAGTCAGGTCATACCAAAGACTTTAAAAATGGGACCTAATGCCTCCCTGCTAGAAATTCTGCTTTAAGGGGTTGGATTGGGGGTTTAACCACCAAATAGTTCCCGAGCTGCAGCCGCTCTGCACGTGGACGGGCCAAATGCTCTAATTTCCCTCTGGGATTAATAAAGTATCTTTGATTGATTTGATTTGAGATGTAATTTCACCAGTGTGCGATGATGACTAATGGGACTTTACATAATCAGTAATGCTTCTAATTTACTGTTTGCATCATCGTGATTTTTCATTAAATACACAGGTGACACATTTTGGGGAAAACATCATTGGGTTAGATTAATGCTCCAGAAACTCCATGTCTACAGTATCTATGATGTAATGAAAAATAATGATGTAATCACCTGTCCTTTGTCTCCACCATCACCTCTGCCTCCCTACGAGGTAAAGAGGAAAAAGGCACAAATACATCATTACTGAATTCCAGGAGTTGTGAAAAGGGGACAGTACCTGACTGACATCACCTCAAGGCACATTTTAGCCTCCTGCATATTTACCTTTTGTCCTTTTTCCCCTTTGATGCCTTTCCGCCCTGCTGCACCCTAAGAAAAAGGAGTAATGGGAAGAGGAAGTAGTTATGAGTCAGAAGTTTCACTGAAACTGCAGCTGATGAGCCAGACTATCAAAGCTTAAAAAGGAGGAAGAACAAATGTCAGATAATAACTGGGGAAATGCCTGTTTTTATATGTCAGTGTCACTTTTGGAATACTGTGTTTTATAGCTAAATTCATCACTAAGTACAAAAACGTTTGTACCTTTTTAGTCTTTTAAATCTGCATCAAAGTTTGGAGATAAAAGTCACAGCATTGAAAATATCCTGAGTTTAGTACCTTCATACCAACAGGACAACAACACGACAGCGTTTGATCGTTTTCAGTGTTAAAGACTTACCTTCTCACCGTCTTCTCCGGTTTCTCCTTTGGCCCCCTGGATGAGAAAGTTTAACTGATTATACGTGGGAATTTTAAAGGCTTACATTCTCCCAGAGTAATGAATGTTGGTTGTTTGTGATATTTGTTACTGAAATAAAAATAAAAACACATCATTATGGTAGTCAGTATGTGTGTTGTATGTCAAAAACATAGAATTTAATTCCGCAGATCTTTACTAAGGGCTCATTTATTATGTTTTCTTTTTTGTTGGTGTTCGTGGTAAAATGTATATTTCTTAATCAAAATTCACGTGCACATTATTTGGACTTGTGTGTACTCACTGTCTGGCCCTGGAGACCCTTTGCTCCTGGTTTTCCATGAGTCCCAGCATCTCCAGCTTCTCCTTGAGCTCCCTGTTTAAAAAAAAGAATACAGCTTTGCATAAGTAATAAAGCGTGAAGTAAAAATCATGAAAAATTTAACAAAATCAGCTTTACTTTGTAAGTTTTAAACTAAAGGCAAAAATTATCATAAGAGTTGAACCTCCTCTGGGTAAAACCCTGATACCTCTAAATGAATAGACAGCAACAAAATAAATCCAACTTTTTTCATATTGACTGTTTTATAATGTGAACACAAATCAGAACGGAGTTAAAGGTCAGTCTTGAAAGAGGATTTTTTATCTGACCAAAAGTGAAAATGTATGTGTTGGTATATCACATTTGGTGCCACTCATAAAGAAAATCCACAAGCACATGTGAGACTTTTTCTTTGGTTCTGTTTTTGGGGTGATTTGACCTTTCACTTGATTGAAACACACCGGAAACCAGAAATGCCACTGGGACAATTTACGACAAAAACAAGTATATGAAACGGAACCAGCCATTTTCTTGTGAAATCACATAAATCTCACGTGACACACCACAGGGATCCAAACTTGGCCCAGTTCAAATCGGTGTTTAGTTTCTGTGTAAAATCCTATAAAAACTTTCTTCTTTTAAACCCAATCAACACAGTAATGACATTTTAATAGTCATTTGATGATTAGCCACTCATATTATGTATGTATATATATATATATATATATATATATATATATCACAATAATATCAGGTTAGGTCAAAACACACCTGCAATTATAGTGGAAGACCTAAGAGATCATTCTGTTTGAAATGAAACTTAGTTATACAAAAACATTTTTCCCCTTTAGGGACATTCCCTTTTGGGTTTCATATGAACTGGTCACATGGCATTTCTGTCACAACAACCAGTTCTTATTTTTATAACTTCCCTATTTTGTTTTCAATTTTTCTTCTACATAATTTTTATTGAATTAATCTGTGCAAAACAAAATGGAGATCAGATCAAACAGGTAAAGCTATTAAAACATAGCAAATGAATGATGATGTGTGCTAATCTATATCATTCTTTAAATATTTTTATTTGATTTACTTAGTTCTCAGTTAGCCATTTATTTATTTCAGTTTAATTAATACATTTTATGTGCATGAATTCAATCCTCTTAAATGAAGAAACAAAAATAAACAAAAAATGAGATTCAACAACTGACCCCTAAACAAGAACTTGGAGATGATGGGAAGAAAAACATTAAAAAACAAATTCTAGAAAGCCAAACTGCTTTCCCTCCGTTAAAGTTTATTTTTCGGTTTCAGATGTTTTTTGTTGCTACAAATCTTCTGTGCTCTCCATCAATCCATTTTCTTCCGCTTACCTGGAGTCAGGTCACGGGGCACCAGCCTAAGTCGAGAGGCCCAGACTTCCCTCTCCCCAGCCACTTGGGCCAGCTCTTCTGGGGGAATCCCATGGCGTTCCCTGGTCAGCTGAGAAACATAGTCCCTCCAACGTGTCCTGGGTGTTCCCATGGGTCTCCTACCAGTTGGACGTGCCTGGAAAACCTCACCAGGGAGGTGCCCAGGAGGCATTCTAACTAGATGCCCAAGCCACCTCAACTAGCTCCTCTAAATGTGGAGGAGCAGCAGGTCTACTCGAGCCCCTCCCAGATGACTGAGCTTCTCACCCCATCTCTAAGGGAGAGCCCCAGCCACCCTTCGGAGAAAACTCATTTTGGACGCTTGTATCCGCAATCTTGTTCTTTCGGTCACTACCCAAAACCCGTGACCATAGATGAAGGTAGGAACGTAGATCGACCGGTAAATCGAGAGCTTCGCCTTCTCACTCAGCTCTCTCTTCACCACGACAGACCGATACAACGCCCGCATCACTGCAGATGCAGCACCAATCTCAATCAATCAAAGGCAAATACGACCTTTGACACAGAAACCCATACTTCCTCACGTTACACAATCAATACTTTATTAATCCCAGAGGGAAATTAGAGTTTCAGTACACACAATTCAGAGATCAGACATACATGGGCAAGACACATGACAAGAATTGGTGACTGTGGTCATTCGCAACCCGAGTCGCGCTACCTTAATAGAGATAAGAGGGTTTACATGAGGATTGGTTCAGGTGGAGGGAAAAAAAACGCACTTCAGAGTTACCCTCCCACCAGGAGGGCAGCTTTGGTCTGCAAACAAACACCTAAACAAATATGTAACAGACTTCAGACAACACAACATAACATGAGTTATGGGGTTTTCATGGGTTTTCATAGCATCTGTCTGCATTCCTTCGTGGGGGTTTGTTGCTTGCCGCTCAAGGCTACCAGGCCGTCAGATCCAGATAACAAGAATTTGTTTGGGTCAAGTTGAGATAATTTTCCTCTCTGCCTTCAGTCTTTAAACTGATCATTCCAGTCCTTCAGTGAAGCCAATTTTGGGTTTTTAAACCTGTCCATACCGTTCGGTGACTCCCTCCGAGATGACATCCATTTTGTGCACTAATACCGGTATCGCAGCTAGAACATTATCCAGCTTACGATTCACCTCGAGTAACGTCCCAGTCTGAGAAGTCTCCACACGGACGGTGCTTTCCGTGGGTGCGGGTCACCCTCCAATTGCTCCCGTCTTCCCAAATTTCCAGAAAACCAGATATCCTCCCACTCCAATCAGGAGAAATCCAGTGATCATCAGGCCAATTATCCACACGTCTTCGATATCCTCAATGGACAGCTGGCTGAGGCATATGATCATCCACTCCTTCCAGGAATCCAGCATATATCCCACCGGGTGTGTCCCCTGTAGACATGTGGGAGCCCCCTGCTCCGTTCTCATTGTTGAAAAAATCTTATCAACCGCATTGAATGACCAATTCATCAAATCCACGGTTAGTAAAAATAGGGTTTTTCAGAAGAAATGCAGAGAAGCGCTCTGTGGGCAGACAGGACAAAGAGCCTTGGGAAAAAAAGATAAGGGATCGAAAGAGAGAAGCGTCTGTACTCCGCGAGTGCCTATCCATCTCGCGCTCCAGCTTTCCCTCACTCGTGAACAAGACCCTGAAATGCCTAAACTACTCCACTTTTCTGTGCTCTTTATCACATAATTAAAATGCCTTTAAATCTTCAAACTTATTTGTTGACTTAGTAATGTGTCTGTTTTCACATAGCACAGAAAAATTATTCTCCCTACAAAGCAGGAAAATGTGTCTACATTAATTTAACCAATTCAAACAAAAGCTTAAAATGCTGTTAAAGTGGGTTATTTGTTTAATAAGTGCTTTATTGAATTTAAAATTGTTTTACGTGAGGATTTTATTTTGAAGTTCACTATAAGATATGTAGACATTCCAATAAAAACAGTTTCAAATAAGTTGTTACGGAGACTTTAAAAAGAACAAAAATATGTAATTTTAACAATGTGTCATTTATATTGAAAAAAGAAATTCAGGTTTCAATAACTTGTGTCATAGAAGAGAATAACATTTGTACAAAAACAACAACAACAAAAAAAAACATTTGCAAAAAGAGGTCATGCACATTAAGTGGAAAAAAAACTCTGCTACATAAACAATCTGACATTTGTTAGATAAAATTTTGCAGATGACAGATATTTGTCTGATGATTTGTGACAATCTGGGACTTTTTCTCTAGTTGAAAGAAATGTGTTGTCTCCTATCAGGTGCAGAATCACCTGAGGTTAGGAGATCACTTCCTCTTCAGTTTAATTCTGACTTTTATTTATTTACAATGATGTTTACTCACCACTCTGCCCACTCTGCCTCGAGGCCCCCTCACACCGTGGTCACCTTTATTACCCTGAAATGGAAGAAAAAGTAATAAACTAAGTGGAATTGTGATAATTCTGTCTTTTATTTTGAAGGAGGCAAGTATTTCCTGTAGCCTAGCTGCATCTGAGACTTGTTAAAACTTTTTATTTTTTTTGCTCATCAGACAGTGGTGCTTTTTTCAGACTAGAGTGATGAATAGCTGATTTCATGGTGAGTCAGACAGTGACTCAGAACTCCTGCATGCTCAGTCACTTCTAGAAAAAGAAAACTGAACTTTGTTTTTCTTTCAGTTTAATTATAAGATCATGTTCATCATTGTAAAACTTTCAAGAAAAATACATTTAATTTGCTTTCTGACTGTGTTTTTTGCTAAAATAACTCAAGAGACTAAATTATTTAGTGCTATTTCTAGAATTACATAAAAACTAAACATGCAGCACATTTTAATAAACACAGCAAGTTGTAAATTGATGAATTGAGAAAATATCATTGTTATATTTAAGGTAAACAGGATAACTGGGTGTTTTGAGGAGAATAGGGAGGAAATAAAATGTTTAATTTTGTTACCTTGACACCAAATGGTCCAGGCTCTCCCATCAACCCAGGGGTTCCTATAGGACCCTAAAAAAATTTATATGAGATTAAAAGTTTCTAAAAAGTTGAGGCCCTGATTTTCAGCCACTTACGTCCTCTCCAGGTTCACCATCGCTGCCTGGAAGGCCACCATGACCTTTAGTGCCCTGACACAGGAAGTAATATAACAATTTAGAAAGCTGAAAAATATTCAAGATTCAATAAAAAAAATTCTAAATGATATATTTAAATTCATGTAGAAAGCCCATATTTAATATTTGATGTACAAATCTGATGAAGTTGCCATCAAGATTACATCATCATTCATTTGATTCAAATTTATTTAAATTTTGCTGAAACAAACTCTTAAGTCATTTTTGATGTAATGTAGTCTTTAAATATATTTTCCCTTTTTTGTCTAAATGTACAATTCAAAACTCCACTTTTCTTTTTCTGAGTCTGTAAACGCAACATTGCTAATCTTAAAAATCATACAGACATGTTTTTATTTCTAGAATACCAAAGTTTCAAGTGAATAGGAAATTTAAAAGTAATACAGTTCTGGTTATAAATCTGACTCAGTACTGCACTGCGCCCTATGGTCTTCTGTGAAGTGCACTTGGAGGAAGTGTGCAGTAAGGCATTGCGTAGTACACAAGTGTGCAAATAATTGCCAAACTGAATCACGGAGCAATGCGTCATCGACCGCAACTCATGCAGGGAAGCTGGTCGTTGTGCTACTTTAAAAAAAAAAAACCTTTATTAACAACTTTCCAACAAACAACCAAATAATTATTTGAAATAAATTTACAGGAATTTCTGCTTTATCTAAAAAAAATCCAGAGCATCATTTAATTGTCCCGAAATCAACTACTTTAATTAGAAAATACATATTTTCACAAAAGGTACTTGAGCTTTTTCTCCCACAGCAATGGATTAATACACTTTACCCAAGTCTGCACTGATTTGGACTTGGGTGAAGTGCAAACAAGGGTGCAAAAGGGGTGATCAACTTCCGCACTTGAGAATCGGGACACCCTACGCACTCGCACCCCTGGCTGGGAACGCGCAATTGAAGGGCACAAGTGTGAAAGGGCGAGTAGTGGGATCGGGCCTTAGTGTTCTCAGGCTTCATTAGCAGTTCACTCCTGCTTCTTAAAAACAAATTCCCCCCAACCCAATAAACCAGATGAACAGGTTACTGGTGACTCTTGTTATGAATTGGTGCTATATAAACAGAATTGAATTGGTTTGTTTCTCTAATAATAAAGATAAGTGTAAAAAAAAGATAAGGCTCACTTTCAGCTGTGCTATATTTAACTTGGTCCAAGGACAGTTTTAATTATGACATATATGCAATTTAATTTTAACTAAGTGTGGTCAATAATTTAAAAAGATATGACTAAAATACAAAGAAATCAGCATTTGTGGCAATGAAATGAAATTTTAAACATTCTAGAAGTGAATAATTCTCTTTATGGTGTAACACAAATGTAATCTCACACACCCGAGCGAATGGAGGGAGTTTCAGAAACTATTATGATTCACAGCTGAAAGAGTAATAAATAAGCCATTAATAAGTCATACTTTTATTTATTCTATTAACCTCTTTTTCTTTCTTTTCTCCTTTAGTGAACGATCACAGCGTTTATAGTGAAAATCAAAGCCCCTGTGTCCTCGTGACACGTGACCTGAATGTTTCTGGGGCAGCTCTGTTGTCATTCCGGACAGATGGGAAAAAGTAAATCATTTTAAAAGCAGGAAAAATATAACAAAAGTTTCAGTTTCACAGGGGAATTACAAGCAGTCTAATGTGTGTGTTTACTATCAGATCCTGTTAGATCAAACAAAAACTAAACACGTTGAAGAGATTAGATATGACACATCAAAGCCTTCAAAGTTATAAAATAAAGAAGTGATATTATTTTGTGTTTAGAATCAGAAGATCTGACAAATAATCAAGGACTTTTCTACTTCCTACCTGAAGTTAATGCTTGTTACTATTATCAGACTTGTGAAAATGAAAATTACCACACGTGTCAACATATCAACCATTACAAACAGATGTTATTTCATCAGGAAAATACCAGACTTACAGAAACGTAAATGAAAATTAAAAAGCTCAAACATCAGTTTACCTTTGGTCCTGTTGGTCCGACAGATCCTGGCTGTCCTGAATAACCCTGAGAGGGAATGAACAGTTTAAAAAATCATATTATACAACTACAGAAGGAAATTAAAATGTCTCAAAATAACTTTGAGTGACTTGAGTTGTGATTACAACTTTTTCTGTTTACACAGTTGTATTTTCCAAAGGAAGTAAGGGTTAGGGTCACATGTTGTCTTATTGTACGCCATCATGGAGCTCAACAAGGGGAACTGTAACTTACAAATACACCTTAAAAGATGAGTCTCACGACCTGATTTAACCTTTTAGATGTTAAGACAACCTATAACTCAGATCAAAACTGACCAAAGTTCACCAAGTAAAGTTTCAGACGTTATATCTGACGGACTCTGGTCTTACAGTGTATCCACGCTCGCCGATGTCACCTGGAAACCCGGGTGCACCTGTTTGACCCTGAGAGAGACAATAAAATTATAAAGAGTAATAATAAAATGCCTCATATCTTTATTTTTTTTTACTCTTCTTTATATTTTATTTCTCTACCTTTGGTCCATCTTTCCCCCGAGAGCCGAGCTTGCCTTGGTCACCGGGAGAGCCCTGAACACAAAACACACAAATGACAAAATATTTTATTTAAACAATTACCACTGAGTTCACTGCAAAAAAAAAAATCAATTAAATAATGGGGTAAAATACATTTTATCTATGTACAAAAACCCAAAAAGGTTACCTTAATACCTTTACCCCCTTTTGATCCTGAAGGACCCGGGTCACCAAGAGGCCCCTGAAATAAATACAGATTTAAATAAACCAACTATTAAAAATTAAAACTAATAATAGTAAATATATTAAACCCAGTAGGTTTTTTTAATTGTGTAAGAAATAGAATATTGTATTTTTGCAATGCAACCTCTAATCTTATTCAAAATAAATACATAAAGTAATTAACATTTGCATGTAAGAGAATAATGTGAAAGCAAATAAATAAATAAAAAACTGAAACTATAAACATATAAAATTAAATGGGTAAATAAAAATGAAACCATGTGTAGTTTCCCTGGCAATAGGGGGCAGTACATACCTAAATGATTGCAAGCAAGCAATACTTTTGTGTTCAAGTAAGACCTAGCCAACAAATGGCCATTAGGGTCAAAAATCCCTGGGAGCACAACCTCCAGAAAAATAACAAGAACATCATCATCATCATCCCTTCATCACTGGCAAGGAGTGAAGAGGTAAATGTGTAAAACAACAGTGCTAACCTGGGTCTTTGTCTTTATTCCTCTGGAGCGAAGTTGAGCAATAACCTCCATTCTATCTTTATTTCCAAAGACAATAACTGCAGTCTTGTCTTTAACTGAAGGAAGTTTTTACTGCATCCAGTCATTAACTTGCTCCAAACACTGACAGAGTGAGTCTAGGAGACCACAGTCACTAGGTGATAGAGCTAGGTAGATCTGGGTGTCATCTGCATAACTATGTACATGACCTGACCCAAGGGGAGCATGTAGAGATTGAAGAGCAGTGGGCCAAGCATTGAGCCCTGAGGGACCCCACTTCCTGGTGATCTGCTTTGATCAACAATAGATATAACATAACCCCTTTCTTCAAGATATGACTGGAACCAACGATGGTCTGCCTGTAAATCCCACCCAGTTTATGAGCCTATCAAGAGGGATGTTGTTGTCGACAGTATCAAAAAGATGCACTGAGATCGAGCCTCACCAGAACAGATGTTTTGCCTGAATCCTTATTGACGTGAATATAATTTAATGCCTTAATTAGTGCAGTCTTAGTACTGTGGTGTTGTCTAAAGCCTGACTGAAAACCACCTAGGATGTCGTTTGTATCCAAAAAGCTGTTCAGCTGGATTAAAGCTGCTTTTTCAACAATTTTCCCAATGAAAGGGAGATTAGAGATTGGTTTGTAATTATTCATCATGAAATATCACTTTTCTACTCTAAATAATTAGTCTAATATAAGAAAAGCTCTTTAGACAAAGATGCCTTTAGAATCAGGTGTTAATTGGAGTTTCTGACGTCAGCAAAGGCTTGAAGAACCTTAAATACCTAATAAAAAGATTAATAAATGTGGTATAGATTTGGGCCTATGAGTAGCAAAAGGAGATGAGACTTCCCACAGCAGACAGGAGGACAGGGAGCAGTGATCCTTACAGTCTCACCAGGAGCACCGACTCCTCCACGAGGGCCCTCCATACCGATGTCGCCCTGACAACAGGAAGAAACACTTATTCAAATAATAAATCAGGTCCTAATAACGCTGGAGAAGAGCTAGTAGTGAAAGACAAAAATGACAAGATAACAATAAATGCTTAAATATATGAAAGCTTCTCTGCTGAATAAAACTCAGTGAAACAGGAATAAATCAATGTTATTTTCACATTAAAGAACGAGAGACAAAAAAGACATAATTTTGAAGTTAATGCTAGGAGATTGTCTTTTATTAGTGTCTTTTATTAGTTCTGTACTAAAGGTCCTAAAAATGCAGAGACCTTTTATTATAATGAAATTCATTACAGATGTTTGCTCATTAGGAGCCAAACATACTTCAGTTAAACCAGACGTTATATGACCTGTTAACAGCTTGTTTTATTAAAGTCAGTCGCTGAGCCGTGGAGTTCCACAGGGTCCTGTGTTTGGACTAAACAGTTTTCATTTCCACTTTTACACCAGGTTTAGAAGGTATTAAAGTATTTTCAAGACATCATAGCATAAATTTTAATAACCTTCACACATTGACTCTGTTTTTACAAGATCTTAGACAAGTCAGAGTAGTTTTTAGACTTGAGCACTGCATAAAGTCAATTTCCAGGCATGTAGCCATTCTGACTGGCCATCAGCAACACCAGTCATTTTAGAAATTAACACACATATACTTTTTTCACTTTATACTCCAAAATGGTCATGATCAGCAGCTGATTTTATATGAGTATGCATTGTTCAGCTATTTTAGAGATGATTGTTAAGCGCTAACTACAAGGTAGCGTGACATCGTATAGTATGGTATTATATTTATTTACCTTCAGTCCCAGTTCTCCTTGCTCGCCTGGTTCCCCTTGAAGTCCCGGTTCTCCCTAAAAAATAGAAATCTAATTATTTATTTTTGAAACAAAAGTTTTATAGATATAAAAAAATCAAGTCATTGTATTTTATTTTCCAATTTAATGATTATAAAGTGATTAATTTTAACCAAAACCCTAAGTAACTTTAGGGGGGTAAGTGGGGTTAGAATGGTGAACTCACCATCCCGCCAGAGAAACCAGAAGCTCCATCTTCTCCTTCAGGTCCAGCATCACCCTGCAAACGCCAACAAAACTCCTAACAATTTTTTACGATGACATACAGCAGAAACCTGTGCCTTATTGTCTCAGTTAGATGCTTATGTATACAACAATAAAATAATATTTACCCTTTTCTACTGTTCAGACATGGTGGAGCCTTAATCAAACTAAAAAAGCTTTTTTTTTTTTTTTTTTTGCATTACCTTCACTTTTACTTGCTGCTCATTGGCTGCTGCTTCTATTAATCACAAAGTGTGAATGTTGGTTTCAGTCTTTATTTTGGTGTTTCCCCAGGTCTTACTTTCACTTTCATTTATTGTTTACTATAATACTGAGATTTCCTGAACTGAGTGTGAAGTGAAAGTAAAACAGAAACTGTTGATAGAGGATCTACTCACAACTGGACCAGGGTCCCCTCTTCTTCCCTGAACTCCTTTGGCTCCTTTGTAACCCTAAAATAAAAAACATCAATGTTCAAAATAAAATCAAAAAGGCAGTTTTGGTTTGCTCTGTCAACTATTTAGTCCTAATTAAAACATGTACTGGAGGAGTTTTACCTCTCTGCCCTGAATCCCTGGAAGACCAGTTTGACCCTGCAGACCTCTTGATCCCTGAAAGACAAAAAATATTCAGCTTACATTTAAATAAAGATGAAATCCACTGATTTAAGCAGTTTTCACACGCATTTCTGACTTGAAATGTTCTAAAGATGTCACAGAAATGAATAAAATCCTAAGCTTCAGGGAATTTCAGGTACAAAAAACAAGAAACATTTTATGCAAACCAATAAAAACGAACAGCACTTCTACCTTAAATAACACTGTGATTTTTACTAAAGAAAAAAGAAAGGGAGTGTATTTAATAATTTCTGTTAGCAGGCTAGTTTATTATAAAGCAGACTTGATACCTTCGGTCCTGCAAAACCAGCAAAACCAGGTTGTCCGGGTTCACAATCACACTCCGTTGGTCCCTCCTCTCCAAGCGCCGCATCACCTCCAGATTCCTCTGAAGAGTCCGAGTCAGGCCCTCTTGGGTATTTAAACGGTACCTGAAACAGATCATCATTACAGTGCTGCAAATTTAAATCAATGCCTACACAGCTGTGGTCACTGCTGCATCAATTTATTAATGTTTTTTTTTTTTTTTGCATTTTCAAGTTTGAGATATTAAAGTTATTCCATACAAGATAGATTTATCACAGCTTCCTGTGTGTTACATCTATACTCTGCCTTTGGGGATTTGTAGAGGCGATAAAAAGGCATAACCATTTAGTCGTGTGTGTGTGTGTGTGTGTGTGTGTGTGTGTGTGTGTGTGTGTGTGTGTGTGTGTGTGTGTGTGTGTGTGTGTGTGTAGGGGGCCGGTGTTCTGTTCAATCACCAGAACACCTGGTTGAAATGTCTGCTAAGGTAATGAGTGTTTTGTTTACATCATCCTGTATGTAAATCGTGTGTCCAGCTTCTATGATTTAACTTCTGTCTTAATTTTGCAATAGTTGATTTAGCGAGGAAAAGTACATTATTTGTTTTTAAATTAAACTAATGTTCTTTTTCTAAGTTTCTTTAGCTGCCGTACGGATATCTAGCCTTCAGTCGTCCCACCTGCATGGTCTCTTTGTCCTCCTTGGCGTAGTGGGACTCGGTGGTGGCAACAAAAGGAAAGGTGTCCTCAGTGATCATGGTGACCCCGGTGGGGTCGTAGTCTTCCTCCGGCTGCTGGTCCTCATCATAGAGGTGAGTGGGCTCTGGATGGTGCAGCAAAAAAAAAAGATTTTTAAACATTTTAGAAATTTAAATTAGACTGCATGGTAGTGCAGTAGGCAGCATAGTTGCCTTGCAGCATAAAGGTCACAGGTTCAAGTCCCTAGTGCAGCATTTCTACATGGAGTTAGCATGTGCTTCCCATGCATGCAGGAGCTTTCTCCAGAAACTCTGGCTTCCTCCCACGGGCCAAAAACGAGCTTGTTGGGTTAACTGGAGACTAAATTGTCCCCAGGTGTGGTTGTCTCTGTGTTGGACAGGAGACTGGTCCAGATGAGTGAGGACATCGGATCCTGGATCCTGATCCATCAGGTGTTTTGTTTTTGGTAAAGTTTCTTCTTTTTGTTTAATAAAAGATAAAAACTATTAAAGTTGTCTCACCAGGTTGATGAGAATCGGTGCCGTCATAGCGGTCGACCGCAGGCGACTCTTCATAGATATGTTTCTCACCTGCACAAAACAGACGAGTAATGGTGCTTTAGGAGTTGCTCATGCAAGCTGGTTTTGCATCAAGTGCAAACATGGAGTGATGCTGGTGGCCCGTGTTGACTCAGATTAGATTAAAAGTAGAAGAAACCAGTTAAATGGTGACAACACATCATATTGTTTGGTCATTTAAATTCATGAAAATGTTTTTTTTGTGATGATTTTTAGATTAAATCATTTTTAAAAAAAATACATCTTCATTAGAGTTCTTTTACATACATACTTTTGAAAAAGATGCTAAAATGTGACGATGTGAAAAACAGGTGGAGGAACCGAGTTCTGACCTGAGTGGTATCCAGAATATTCCTCCTGGCAGAAACAGGAGACGATACACAGCGCCAACATGAGGAGCTCTGAGAGGAAGGAAACCTGCTGAAAACACATAAAAATCTCATTTCTGAAAGTTATTAAACAGACTAAAGCTAAACTGGCCTCCTCTGGTCCTTAAACAACCTCAAAATGCTGCAACAGTTATTCTGGGATCAGTTAGAAACACCGTAAAGGATCATTACTGAGGTATAAGATCATCCAGATGAACAAACTCATGGATTTAATCCTTTAATTTACTTTAGTTGCAGTGAAAAGGTCATGCTTGGGAATTTTGTCCATTTTTATACTCAGGATGGCATTTAGACGATGGTGTGGACCACTTCCACCCATTTTCCTGCCAGTTTTGACACCATGTTTATTTATATTGGGTTTAAAATTGTAATTTATTTTTCAGAGGTTGCCTTCTTTAGTTCTGCTGCCAGTGGATGAGATGTTTTGGGGATTTGGGTGAGAACTCAGCAGACTGAGGTTTCTTTGTCAGGATGAAACCGTCTGGGCTCTTCTCAGACTCATCTGACATTCCTGAAGCTGCACCGTGAGGTTTGAACGTCAACCAAGATAAAAACGAGCCTGACCAGACACACACTGCTTCAAACCGGTGCACAAAGTCTGCAAAACCTCAAACAACGTCCGACGTAAATCTTATCCAGATCTTTGATTTGTCAAATTATGCAAATTATCTAAATATTTTAATGACGTCAATCTTTAAGCATCTACTGTACGTCACTTTTTACTTTCTTTCATTGATCAATCGTGTAAAATCTGGACATGTTCATGAGAAAAATCAAGATTTGGCAGAAAAATCCTGAACTGCTGGAATGTGAGGTGAGAAGTACCCTCCTCTGGCTGAGATTCATCCTGTTGTTTCTCGACGAAGGCTGTGTATCTTTGTTTAGTCTTGAAAATAAAACCCATAAAGACTCAAAATCAACAACAGAAAAAGCTCAACAATAAAAGTTCTGTGAAATCTAATCGAATTACTCTCAACTCATCCTGAAAAAGTGAAACATGTAAACAAATGATGCCAAAATCACATTTAAAAAAATGCTGGACAGAGCTGCAGAATGATTCTGAAGCATTTTGTCCAACATTCTAGCTATAAGTAATAATTATCTAACTGATAAACTGAATCCCAAATAATCCAAGTTTATCCCACATCCTCAGACAAAACCACCATTTCTCCACTTACCTTGTCACAGGAGGCCCCCATGATGCTGCAAAGCCCGTCTTATTTGAATCAGAACCTAAACAGAACTATTTCAGCAATAAAACTCTCCGTGGACCAGTTCACCTCAGCATGATCGCTGTAATGGATCTCCCTGCCCTACCAGCCTCGTGGCTGCCTCTCGAGGATCCGTCAGGCTCCCCGGCACCGACGGAGTCCTCCTGGTCTTTTACCTCTGCTTCTCAACAGGGTGAGAAATACCTGCCCCTGAATGCAGCATCTGCAGGGAAAGACCAGGTTGGAGTGTTTTAATTATCATTTAAATGAAGGGATTAAAAGTTAACAATGACTCAATCTGAAGTTCAAATAAAAGCAATAAAATTAATAAATTCAAGCTAAATATTAATCCCAACGTGTTTGTTGTAACAATAGATGTTAGCATTCCTGCATCTGTAGAGTACATCTGGATTCATAAAACTTTAATAAGGCATGTCGTAAAAGTGTTCAAGATGTTTTTAATTGTTAAAAAGATTTGGACTGATTTTCTTAACTTGTGGGAGCGGGCTGGGTAATCCTAGAATTCATAAAACCCCTCCCCAAAGACCCAAAACATCACTAAATGTCACTTAATCCTAATTGAATGATAAATGACCCGCACTTGTATAGCACCTCTCAGAGTAAGGACTTCAAAGCGCTTTACACTACAGTGTATCATTCATCCATTCACACACTGATGGTGATGAGCTACAATGTAGCCACAGCTGCCCTGGGGCGCACTGACATGAGGTCAGATTTTTCTTGATTTTTAATTATGTTTTATTTGGCTTCTTTGTCATATGATGATATCCACAAGTGACAAAGGTAAAAAACTCAAACATCACCTCATGTAGACTTCAGTGTGTACATTTTACACAAATGGAGTAAAAATAAAGCTCGCAGTGACCTTTGACCTTGTGCCAGCCATTCATGACACTTTTGCTAAACATTCCTAAATGTTTTTATTTGACAGGACAATCAAAGACACACATGAGTGGTTTACCAGTGGAGATGAAAACAACGTGAAAAGAAACAATAAAAACAAGTTAAAACGATGATTGTTGATGTAGAAACTTTATTTTTATTTGCATCCATAAAAAAAAACAAAGGTTTAGTTTTCATTTCGTCTTTAAAGCAGAAAACTTCACAGCGTTCATTCTTGAATTTGTAGCTTCTGGTCCGGCACGCTCACTTTTCCTTCTCCGTCATCTTTCCTCTTCTTCTTTTTCTTCTTCTTCTTCTTCCGCTCTTGGTGGTAATCATCCGGGGAACGGGACTCTCTGCAAAGATCACAGGTGATTAAAAACATCTAAATGGATTTTGCATTTTATTAATAAATAAATATATGTAAAACGTGTTTTCTCTATCTTACCTTGTCCTCTTTTTCTTCTTCTTGCCACCCCGGTCTCGGCTCCGCTCTCGGCTGCGATAGCGCTTGTTGTGGCGAGACTCGGTAGATCTTGACCTCCTTTTATCCGGCCAGCGACTGATTAAAATAAAGATATGCACGTCTTTTACACATTTAATTGCCCTCATTTAATTGTACTTGGATTTTTTTCCCACAACATTTCCTGATCAACAACAAAATCAGAATAAACATTAGGGTTAATATTTTTGTACCTGTGGGGGGAACGATCTGATCCTGAGGAATCTTTCTCATCTTCTTCCTCCTTCCACTGTCTGGAAAGCTCCTCTGAATGAACGTTGATCACCTCTCTGATCACCTGTGGGATCATCATCATCGTTTTTAATTTAAATAAATAAGGAATAAACTCAGCCCGGCAGCTGGAGACCATCCTTTACCTCCGTGTAGGATTTTTTGGTGATGTGGACATTCTTGGCTCTGTAGGACTGACGCCGTCTCTTGTAGTCCCTCATCTCAGCCATCAGCTCCAGGTGACTCTTTGGCTCATTTTGCTTTTCATCTGCACACAAATGACCACAAGCTCATAAAAACGGCTGGTACAACACCTGATCTGATCAGATGTTTTTGCCCAGGTGGCGTGCATACTACCTTTTCGGAGTTTGGACACCAAATCTACGTAGAGATCGTCGCTGGCCGTGGCTGATTCCTTCTGCTGGTTGAGGGTGCCGACCACATAATCATAAAGAGCCAATCGGTCGGCTACAGTGAGGTCACACACGGCCCTTTTGTGGTTCTGAGGCACATCAACAGGCTGGACAGAGTACTGACCTGATGGAGGACCAAAGTGGTTTTAAAAACCCAAAACTGACTCAAACATCGGCCTGATGTGTGTTTATTCCTACACAACCCTGATGTAACGAAAAACACAAAAAATCCTAAGATGTGTCAAATAATTCCAAAGGTTCTATTTGCTACTAGAAACACTTCACAATAAAATAGGAATCTGCACAGAGACAATTATTCTGTAAATTAGTACCAATATTATCTTTGGTTAGCTAACTGTTGTGTTGAGCTGTAGATGAGATTATTATCAAATACATTTTATTATCATTAATCTTCTTTTTGGGGGTGGGACAAGATCTGAATCTGAAAAAGAAAAAAAATCTAAATATGAAAAATTACAAAAATGTAAAATTAAAAAAGCTCAAAAAACAAACAAAAAAAAAATTCTATCTGAATTAAATTGAAATCTACTTTAGTTTAACTTATTCTCTTTTTTCAACATTTAAAATTAAAACATCTTTTTCAGTTTTAAGTTTTATCTCTTCTTTAATTTCCCCTCAAATGCTCAAACATCCTGGCTCTTCTTTAGCTCCACTCCAGATGGCCACTGTCCTTCATGTTTTAGTTGGATCCCTGCTCCAGCACACCTGATCCAGAGCTTAGACCACCTCTTCAGCATCTCAAGTACTGCACAAATCTGTCATTATCAAGTCAACTCAGGTGTGTTGGATCTGAGAAGCATGTAGGCCATTGGCCTTTGGGGACCCGTACTGGACTTTTCCCAACACGTAAAAGGGAAATGTTTTTGCTAACATGGATACGAGCGTCCTGGAGAACGGCCCAGTGGCTTAAAAGGATATAACGTTAAAAGGATACTGCACGTAATCAGGCAAGCCTGAACCAGAGCAGCTGAACTGTCTAGACCCCATCTCCTCTCTAATACTCACCACTGTTGCTGCAAACAAAACACACACAGATTACACACTCAGACTGTAAATCTGAAAATCTTCAATACTTTAACGCAACAGTGAGACCTAGTGGGGTTATTGCCTCTGGGTGTAAAAGCTGAAGTGTGCTTTTGGGGGGCATCTGAGTTAAAAGCGGTACAAATGGCCACGGATTAAATGTTACCTTGCCATAAAACTCCTTTCATCTTCATTAGAGGAGCTGCAGATCTGGCTTGTAGGATGACTTGATGCTGGGTAGATTTGTCTGTAAAAGCAAACGAGATGAGGAAAAAGAAATGTACAATTACATTACTGAGAGATTAGTTCACTAGAAAGTGAAAAGTATGTATGCAAAAATCCAGAACTGATTATTAAATTAAGGTGAAAACTTGGTAGCAAAACAACTAAAAAAGCTTAGAATTGTCTGAACTTGTATAATAAATAAAAGTAAAGATTTCATTAGGCTGGCTGAATTTTATAATGATTGTATGCATATTTTTTCCTAAAAGGTTCACATAAAAATCCTACCAAAGGTCTTCTCAGTGGATTACAACTTAGAAAATAAAAAAGAAGGGCACATTTTGTCAAGTTTAAGAAATGACTCACCCATTATAAAGCTTCTGATGTTGCTGTTTTCATAACACACAGATGGATCGTACATCTCTGCCTGCAAAACAGTGATAGAAAATAAAATTTGATGCAACATTTTGTTTATTATGAGACCTATAGGAAGAATGCAGCAGACACCTAATACTCAAGTCTAAAGAGTTTGTTATTTCTAGATATTGCTGCGTTTCCACTGGATCATATCCATAACTGTCACCTGCTCTTCAGCGGTGTAGCCCAACTTCTGGAGCCTGCAGGAAGCCTTGTGCTTCTCCATGGTCCTGACTGGGACTTTGTGGTTGGGGTCATAAGGACACTGCTCCATCGGCTCCTGAAATCACACAAAAACGAAGAGTGAGATAAAATAAAGGACACAATTAAACCGTATAAGCTTTATCGTTGAAGCAAACTACATGAGCTGTTATAATTTACTACACGATAAGACAAAGCATCGTAAAAGAAAAGTAAGCTAATGGTTGATATGGTCCTGACTAAAAGAGCTAAAATATGCTAAGTGGTGTTTAAATGACAGGTAAAACACTAAAGTAGTTTTAAGGTTAGTGACAAAGTTAAATCTGAATTTTCTACATTGTTTTGTTCTTTCAGGCTACAGTAATTAATCATTTTTAAACTCAAACTACGTTACCGGATCTTTGTAATCCTGCGACCATCCTAACTCATCAAATATGTCGTTTAACTGTTTTTTGCATTTTTCTGTGAATTCTGTCAACTCCTGTAGGTCCGGGCCCTCCGGGTAACCTTCTGACATTATTACGCTTTTAGGTCAACATTAACGAAAACTGTAAAACGAAATAATTTCCTTTCTTTTTCGCTAGCAAACAGAAAGAAGCTAACGCACAAGATGATGACGTAATAAAAAGTGGTTAGACCTGCGCACGCGAAGCATGCTGGTAGTTGGTGTTTTATCCGGTGAAAATGTGCGATCTGTTTTATTTCCTTGAAAAATGGGAAAGCTGCGCCATCTGCTGGCAAAAGCTAGAACAACGCTTTCGATTGGTAAATGGGGAGTTGCTGCCCTCCAGTGTCTGAAAGCTGGAACTACACATTTTTTCTTTTTAGACATTTAGAAAGCCTCCTTTATTTAAGCTTTAGTGATCTTTCTTTTTGTCCTCTCGGGAATATGGATATTAAAATGGAAAAGGATGCATCATAGTAGAAGAAGCGGAAACTGGATTTATAAAGTTGCAAGTTAGAAACACTTTCTCTGAATTCATTCAAAATGAAATGCAATGGCATGTTGGTGCTGGCAAAAGGAATACTTGCTCTGGGGGGCTTTTATTTAGCTAAAAAAATAAAAAACAATTAATAAAAACATTTCAAACTGTACTTATGTTCCAGTGTTAAACACACTGTTTTGTTTTTGAGTCAAGGTGCTGAGCCCAGATGGCTACATTTTGTTTTGTTTCCATTAAACAACGGGAGATTTTCGCTCTCCACTGGCAAAAGCTAGAACAACACTTTCGAAAGGTAGGTGGGGTCGGGAATTGCGGCCCTCCAGTGTCTGAAAGCTGGTACTACAGTTTTGTTTTGTTAGCCTTTTACAACAGAATATTTTAGTCTCCTTATTTTAATGAATCTTTAAAAAATATCTTTCTTTCTGTTCTCTTGGAAATATGAAAATAAAGAAGGAGAATCATTCATCATAGATGGAGAAGAGAAAACTGTATTAATAAAGTTGCAACACTTTCTCTAAACTCTTTCAAAACAAAACACCATGACATCTTTGTGTTGTCAACAGGAAAGTTCGCTCTGAGGGTCTTTTCCTTTCATTTATGAGCTAAAAGAAAGCACTAAAGCGCCTCCTAACCCACAATTACATTCTTTCTGTCAAGAAATAACACGCTGGGTTCAATTGCTTCTAGAAACTCTCGTTGTGGATGCAGGTGAAGGTTCTCAGTCATCCAGGTTATGATAATTCAAAAGAGTTCAAATGGAGGCAACTTGACTTTTTTAGTTTCTTGAAGATGTCTCGCTTCTCGTTGCTGTCGTTTGAACCCTTTTGGGTTCTCGTTTTAGATAGCTGTAATTCAGTTGTTACTAATAAAACTTTGATTTCAGACAGGTTAAATTAAAACCCTTTTTCTGCTGTCTGTAATTTTATTTTGGATATCCAAATGGATGTAATGTAGGAACCTACCCAATATGGCGGCGACGCTGTGTTACGTAAAAGCGATAACCGAAAGTCACGTGGCTCACGATGTCCAATCATGTATATCTTCCTCTCCTTAGGGGCGTGGACCTGTGTGCTCTCGCTAACAACTTCGAGTCGGATGTTTTGGCTTTAGACATTTAGTAATTTTTACTAGTTTGTTTACAAACTCGTCTTCTCACTTCTTTATATAGAGTTTGTGTTAATCGTCAGAGTTTTTAGTGAGTTTTGTGTTAGTCGGAAGGCTCTGGCAGTAGTGCAATAATCAAATGGCCTATCCCGGATATGGATCCCCCTACGGTGGAATGCCAGGAGGAATGGTAAGAAATTGTAAAATAAAGTAATAAACATCAAACTTTGAATGTTTTTCAAGATTCTCGTTGAAGATTGTCATTATCTTTGTAGGCGTTAGGCTTATAAATAGAAAGGCATGTTCATAAATCGTGGGTGGGCATGATCTACACCCCGATTACCAAATAAACGTATTTGTTTTATATAAACTTCTATTGTTGATCTATTCAACATGTGAAAACAGAATTAAGAATAGGTTTTACCTACAGCTAAAGTACTATTATCATAACTTCAAATAGCTCGATGACGCTTTTCTCAAATGTTTCTCAAATCAACCCAAAAACAAATGATTGTAAATAATGCAATAACCTTAAACCGTTTGTCTCACTTGTAAGTCGCTTTGGACAAAAGCGTCTGCTAAATACATAAACATAATATCCATCCATCCATTCATTTTCTTCCGCTTATCCGGAGTCGGGTCGTTGGGGCAGTAGCCTAAGGCGAGAGGCCCAGACTTCCCTCCCCGAGCCACTTGGGCCAGCTCCTCCGGGGGAAACCCAAGGCGTTCCCTGGCCAGGTGAGAGACATAGTCCCTCCACCGTGTCCTGGGTCTACCTTTATGTCTCCTCACGGTTGGACATGCCCAGAAAACCTCACCAGGGAGGCGTCCAGGAGACATCCTGACCAGATGCCCGAGCCACCTCAACTGGCTCCTGTCCATGTGGAGGAGCAGCGGTTCTACTCCGAGCCCCTCCCGGATGACCGAGCTTCTCACCCTATCTCTAAGGGACAGCCCAGCCACTCTTCGGGGAAACTCATTTCAGCCGCCTGTACCCGCGATCTCGTTCTTTCGGTCACTACCCAATCCTCATGACCATAGGTGAGGGTAGGAACGTAGATCGACCGGTAAATCGAGAGCTTCACCTTCTGACTCAGCTCTCTCTTCACCACGACAGACCGGTACAACGCCCGCATCACTGCAGATGCAGCACCAATCTGCCTATCGATCTCACGCTCCAGTTTTCCCTCACTCGTGAACAAGACCCCGAGATACTTAAACTCTTCCACTTCGGGCAGGACCTCATCCCTGACCCGGAGAAGGCATTCTACCCTTTTCCGAATCAAGACCATGGTCTCAGATTTAGAGGAGCTGATTTTCATCCCAGCTGCTTCACACTCGGCTGCGAACCGCTCCAGCAAAAGCTGAAGATCACGTTCTGATGAAGCCAACAAGACCACATCATCTGCAAAAAGCAGAGACCTGATCCTCAGGTTTTTAGAAATGGGTTTAATTTGTTTGAAAGGTGATTTTCGTACGTTCCCACCCTCCTTTATTTTTTTTTATTTTTTTTTGATGAACTTTAAACTCATTATGTCTGATTTATCTGATTGACTGATAGTTTTTAACCACTGAGGCTGTGTAAAGTGTTAACTTGAGGTGTGTGTGCGTTAATTAGTGACACTGGAATACCTGTGAGGGCGGGAGAAGATATCTGAGATCATAAAAGCACAAAGTACAAATAATCATTCGTATTTTCTATTAGTCATTATGGCTATTGAACAAAAATCTTGTGTAAATTCACTAAAAAATAATTGCAGTTGTTAATTTTTTATGTTCACGATTGAAATCTAAATTTCTTGTTTATTTTTGAATATAATATATGACGTGTACATGCAATAACGGAACACTCAGTAAACCAACTTCATCCTTTTTTTTCAAGCCTCAGCAGCAAGATCCTCTTTATGGATATTTTTCTGCAGTTGCTGGACAGGTAACACCCCCACGCTGACCTTTAAATCGGCAACCGTATTCAATCACTCCTTCCTCATAGACACAGCATGCATAAACTTCCTGCATTTGTGTTGTGTGTCACTTTTAAAACTCTGACAGGATGGACAGATCTCGGCAGATGAGCTGCAGCGCTGCCTCACACAGTCCGGCATGTCTGGCTCGTACCAACGTAAGAGCCACAGTTTTCCTCCCAATGTGTACACAAACAGGAGTAGGATGTGGAAAAGTCACTTGTAGAATCCCAGAATATGTAGGAACTTGATTTATTATTATTTTTTTAAAATTTGGTCTTGTTAGTGTAGAATTAATTTGATCATGCAGGTTTCTTTCAACAGCCTTCAGCCTGGATGCGTGCAAACTGATGATCAGCATGTTGGATGTATCCTTTTCATTCAGGAGTTTATGAAAGTAAGTGAGAAGTAATGGTGAGTAAGAGATCCTTGACTGAAAGTGGTCCCTCAGAGGGACATGTCCGGCACCATGGGCTTTAATGAGTTCAAGGATCTGGTCCAGGCTCTGAACGGCTGGAAGGCAACATTTGGGTCTTTTGATCGTGACCACAGTGGGGCGGTAGAGGGACCTGAAATGCAGCAGGCCATTCGATCGATGGGTATGTACCACTGCAGGTTTTTAATTCAGAGGAAGTCACACACTCAAATGGAAGACTGAGAAGTGTGTCCACCTTCATGCAGGTTACAATCTAAGCCCCCAAGCTCTGAACTGCATCATGAAGCGCTACAGCATTCACGGCAAAATCCCGTTTGATGAATTTGTGAGCTGCTGCGTGAGACTCCGCGCCCTCACAGGTGAGGAGGTTTATGACAACAATGGGTGTTGGTGGATGATTAATCAGATTCAGTCCATTTTTTTATCAGATTTAGCTGGTCCACTCTGTTTTACAGTTGTAGGCTGTTATTATTTTTTTTTCTTTACATGTTTGAAACTCTTTCAACACATTTTTGATTATTTAGTGAATCGGGTTAGGCCACGATCATTTCATCACATCGTTTCAGATTGTTTTTGAAAATGTTTCTCATTTTTTAAGATCAATTCCAAAGGAGGGACACGAGCCGGAATGGAAACGCTGTGTTTCAGTACGACGATGTGAGTTTTTAGTTTTCTAAACACTGAGATCTAAAGTCTGAGCTGTTAAACCAGCAGATGGTGCTCTAGCTGTCTTTAAACCGTTTGCCTTTCAACATGTTTCTTTAATATCTTTTATGACCCAATTTAAAACACAGTTAATGTAAATAAAGTTGTTTTGCTTTTATGATGCAAAAAGATCAGGATTACATTATCTGCAACAAGAATTTATTATTAACCAACCTGGGACTAGGGATTTTCACTAGTTAACATATTAACTAGCTGGTCAGCTGTTTGGTAAAGAGCACATTTGTTTTCTTTTTAAAATATTCACCTCTGATGTGAGGCTGATTCCTGTTGGTGGAGACCTGCTAATGAACTGTGACCTTTTCTGTCCCTAGTTTATTCTGGTCACCATGAGCATATGAAGAGGACGAGACTTCCTGCAAACCTGCCAAAACGTCTCTTTAACTGGATTTACTTTTAATTTTTATATAACAAGCTCGGTCTAAACGAGACACTACACTCCACTAGAACCTTTAGTTCACAGTTTGACTCATTTTAACAAACTAACCAGCATGTCTAAGAACCATAGCCTTTTAATATCCATGTTGGTGTTTGGTATATGACTGTAAGCATATCAAATAAACAATGAAACGAGCTGATGTCTTTTATTTCCTCTGCATTCAAAGAATAACAGAACAGTTTGATGAAACGTTGTAAATCAGCTCACTTTCAATTTTCCTGTCTAAATTAATACTTTTACAGTGATTTGATGCTTTTATATAATTTTGTTTAGTAACTAAATTAATGCACATGCAAAAATGTGGGTTTTCTTACTTAATTGCAAAAGATCTTTGATTTAATTAGCACGTTGACTGCAGATGAATCTCCTTCCTATGAACCTGCTGAGCTGTGATGAGTTGTAAATCTCATAGATTGGCTGATAATGACCTAAATATAAACATTTTCTCTCTCATTAAAGATGTTTGAGTGCCAGTTCAGCTGCATTCATCTGTGGCTCATAGAGTTAATAATTCCCAGAATGCCTCGGTGGCACAAAGAAAACAGTCTTCGCCCCTTTGTTGTTGCCTATAAGAAAAGTCCCATCCGTTTGGGTGTGCATCCTCCAGATTTGACTTGTTACTGACTTCAGAGAAAACACAGCATTTACATTTTTGTTGTTTGGTGCAGAAAAGTTTGTCTGAGCTCCTGCAGCTGCATAAAGGTTGGTGCAAAGGTGTAACACCTTTAAAAAATAGGTCATCAGTGCAAAATCTGACAAACTTGCTTGACTCGTTCTGTCCAAGAAAACAAGGAAGCAGTCACTTATTTTGTCATTGTTGCTTCTGACTGGATCACAAAGCTGTCGAGGACCCTGAAAAGGTAAAATAATATATTATTATTTCTGTAACTTATTTTTAACACTAAATGTGTGTTCTCAGCATAAATCACTGGTTTCTTGCAACAGGTCTCTACTTTAGGTGAAACTTTGTTTACAAACCAGTTCGATGCTTAAGAGGAAGCTCGATTTGAGGATTTACAGAGAAAAAGTTTAGTGTGAACTTTTCAAATCTATTTTTAAAAAGAACGGGATAATTTTATATACATGATTATAGTTGGGGCACACTTCTGTCTCCAGTCTCTTGAACGTCTGAAGCCACTTAAAAATATCATGAACCCCCTGAAATGTGAGTTGAATCTGCAGACATATGACATTATTTATTCAGATTTTATGATTTTAGGGAATGACAGACTTTTTGATAACAGGTCGTGTTACCTGAAAGAAAGAGGCTTTGTCTGATTTTACGTAAGCCAACAAACTAGTTATGTGACAGGAAATGAGAATGAATAACATGGAATGTTAACTATTGTTATTGTTGGTCATGCTGGAGGTGTTTTCCTGAAATGGTGAAATAACAAAGCTGCAGTTATTTTCTGTAAAGATAGTTTCTTAAAACAGTATGGGCATAACCTTTGACCTTTTGTAGTGAAATGTGATTGAAAGATGCTTTTAAACTTCAAATAAACATAAAAATGTTGCATTTTTACATGTTTTTAACATTAATTCATTATGTCTAAAACCTCAAATATGTTTGCATGACATAAACATGCAGAATCACCATTTCTACGAAGAAAGCTTGATCCCCCCCCCCCCCCCCCCCCCCCCCCATTAAACAATTTTAATGATAAAGTTCTTCTTTTTTACTTTTCATGTCTTAAACATTCATGTCAAACACATTTGGGGGGGGGGGCAAAAAAATATGTGTTTGAGTAAATTAGAAAATAAAAAGCTTTCAAGTTGGAAAAAACTATTTTCTCTGCTGGTCCCAGAAATACTCGAAACCCATGATGGACCATGTGATGATGCTTCAGATGAATTGGTGACGATCAGCGCCTGTTTTGTTGGAGATTTCACAATGAGTCAGTCTGAGAGGAACAAGAAGCGTCTGTCATCAACTGAATGTTCTGATGAAAGCAACAGGCGGACCAAACCTGAGAGGTGAAAAGAATGAGAAGCTTTAACTCCACATCCTTAGTCTGGATTTTGTTGCTGATCGTGTTTCCATCAGGACCGAGCTGAGAAGATCAAAACCGGCCGCCTGCATGTCCCAGAGGAGCCACAAATCCATTGATTACCCAGTTGGTTTCAGAATATAAGATTTAAATTATTTTCATCTCCCATATCTGTTAGGAATCACAGCTCTTAGTCCTTTTCTTGAATCGTTGGACAATTCTTTTTGACCAGAAAGGAGAAAAACAGTTTACTGCACTGAGCCGCCCATGCATGGATTATCCTGTTGGCTTTACGGTTTATTCACAGCTCTTTGTCCCTCTACTAACACTTTTCTAATTTCCCATCAGAAGTTCTTCTGCACCGAGCCTCATCTCCAGTAAATCCATGGATTATCCTGTTGGTTTTAAACAGGATTCGCTTTCACCGTGAGCCAACTTTACTTTTATTTATGCTTATTGTTTATATATTTATGTCTGTTAATTGGTGCATCCCTCAAGATGTTCACAGTAGGGATTGATGCTGTTTCCTCAGAGCTCACCGAGAGAAATTAGCTGAACTCACCAGTCAGACAAACCTGGACTCCGTATATTTTCATGACCTTGGGGAGTTTCCTGACCCAAGACATGCAGAATCACACTATAGGAGACATAGGTTAGAAAAAATAAAATGTTTTATTTTGAAAGTGAACTAAAGGTGCACCGCCAGACGTGGCGGTGATGCTGAGCACAGCTCCGGGGCCGGGTCTGCTGAGACAAACACTGGTCAGGATTTGGACAGAGTGGAATAAAACTAGGAGGACTCAGAACATACAGTCTATGTTCTGTACATACAGTCTATGTTCTACAGTCTGTCTACAGGTACAGAAGAACGAAAACATGATTAAAGTTGTATTGGAGCAGTTGGTTAAGGAGCAGCAAAGAAGTGATGCTGCCGAACGACACAGCAGACGCTGGAACCTGCGGCTGTATGGCAAGAAAGAAACACCAGGGGAAAACATCAGAGAGGTGATAATGAAGCTCTTCGTTGCGCTTGCACCAGAGGATAAGGAAAAGTTGGATTTCCTTGTTGATACTGTGCACAGGGTTGGTGTAGTCCGGGACAATTCCACTCGACCTATCATTATTCAGTTCACTATGCGAGCTTTCAGAAACAAGATCTGGAAGGTATCCCGTGACAACAAAACACTTAGAGAGAAGAAACTGTTCCTGAAGGAAGATCTGACACAGGCTGACCGGATGGAGCGAAATCGGTTGTGGCCGATAGTGGAGGAAGCTCGGAAACAAGGAAAGCGTGCTGGCTTCAGAGGCCCTCATGCTTACATAGAAGGGAAAAAAGTTACTCGCTAGATGTTGATTTAAAGCTGTGTAACGATGGATGCTGGTAAAATTATTTTCAGTTAATTCTTGAAAAAGGTTTAAAAATGCGCATAAAGCAAATGGGTACTTGCAGTTAAGGTTAAAGGTTCGTAAGTACTATTCTTTTATTATTTTTCATTTTTCTTCATATTTTTTCTTCTCAGTGAGTGTTATTGACATCAGCAATTTGTTCAAATATGACAAGTTTTAGTTTTAAGGCACTAAATGTTTGTTCATTTAATGTTAGGGGTCTACGGGAAATCACAAAAAAGGCAATTTTCATATTTTGTAGGAACTGCAATGCAGACTTAGTTTTTCTGCAAGAGACTCATTCATGCAAGGATGACGAAAAGTTTTGGAAGTCACAATGGGGGGATTCCATATTTTTTTCTCATGGCTCAAATCACTCTGCTGGCACGGCAATTCTGCTTTCAGTCCTCAGTTCTGGGAGAAGGTCCAAGGGTAGAGTGGACTGGAAACAGTTTATTCTATTCTCTTCTCCTCGTTTGCTCTTTGGTAAAACTCGGAATAGTTAGTCTCCGGTGCTCTCGGTTTTTGGATTATGGATTTGGATAAATTAGGATTTGACCATTTGGCTATTTTGACTTTGGACCGGCATTTTGACTTTGACTTTAGGATCTCCCCTTTTGAATCTATATCCATTATTATTCTCGGTTTTCTTCCCACCCCCTTCTGGGGTGGCGCTTTACATTACCTCCTTTTTGAATATTGCTCCTTTGGTTTTGTTTATAGTATTGGTTTTAGGTTCTTTGTAAATATACAGCGTTTTGTAATAAAATCCTTTGTTTTTAAGTGACACGACACGTTGTTTATTATTTAACCCACACACTATTTTTATTACTCCGCTCCTCATCTCTCCTAGAGAGCCGGGGACGTAATAATCACATATTTTATGGTGCAATTATATAATTAAATATTAAATTGACCCTTGGGAGCTGTAGATACTTCACCAGAGGTCAATAGACATATATAGGACTGGACATGGGTGATTGATGATGACGGTCCTAATCCTGATGCTATGTTTGGCTGTTTAAAGGATAGAAGCTTTTTGATGAGATTTTGGGATCTACACGTGGTTATACGTGTAGCTTTCAGGTGGAAAACAACTTTGGTATCCAGAGGATTGATTTGAATTACATTGTTCATGTGTAACATTCTACAAATATAGCTAAATAAATTAAGTGTCTGTGAATCTAAAATGTTCAGGCCAAATTCCAATTAAAACTTTTTTTTTATATGACAGAATGAAAATCAAATGAAAAGTTAGTACCTACTACTCCCTGTTGTCAAAACTAAATTAAGACAAAGCACCTGGAGACTATTAATTGTGATGCCATGGTATTTATGGATTACACATGATGCTGTGAAAGAAACTGCAACAACTCAGTAGACACACTATTATTAGTTTTCCCTGAGCGCTCTGGTCACACATCGATGAAAGGGCAGGAACAGCCTTGTGCTCCTTTAATAGCTTCTTTAAGTTGTTTTATAAGTTTCTGGTCAACACCTGGATTCTGGACAAAGTGTGAAGCAAGCCTCCGACCACACTGTAGACAAAAACAAATTCACATACGTTCTCAATCTGGCCACACTATTATCATGATCAAAATATATTAAAAAATGTAATCATCAAATAATCACAACATCAAAATTGATATTCTTAGTGGTTACAGTCTACTGACCACCTTAAGAACAATCTATTTTATTCACTATTTTTCCACAATTCACCAAATAAAAAAGGTACACCCTAAATGTAACTTGGGCTGTAATAATATCCATGACCTAATAGTATTTAATGCAAACATTTATGATCTAGTATCACATACCTGTTAAAACCTGAGTTTATGAAATATTACAGGACAGGGTGAAAAAATTAATTAAAAAAACAAACAAAAAAAAAAGCTTCAGTCATGAAGTTCATACCAGTCACGTACCTGCAAGGATTTTTGATTCCATAACGCACATAAGTGGCAAGGTGCTCACAGTTGTAGGTCCAAAGAGCATGCTCTGTAGCTCCATACTTCTCAATTTGGCTTTTCATGTTCTTTTCATCTTTCTTTAGTTCATCTTGACTGTACAAGATTCCATCCAGATAATTGTCTAGCTCATGCTTATTTTCATTTTTTAGACTTCCAAATACACATTTGGGTTGGGACTCTGACAAATGTCCAAGATTTGGTAATTTTGAAATCGTTTGTAGGAAGTACGATCTGATGGTACCAGTCATCAATGTGAAAGCACAGTTATTTTAAAGACAACTGCATACCCCAAAATCATTACGGGTTGGTACTTTGTAGTTATATTACTGAAAGACCAAATATTTATGTTGTGTATTTTGTATATATAGATAAAATATGTTCAGAAACTTGTAGGTTTTTTTTCACATAAAAGTACACATTCACAAGAAAAAAACAGAATCATTTTTATAGATTCAACTCTGCAGGTTTAAAGTTATCAACAGATGCTTTACCTGTGAAGTGAAAGTAGTCTTCATCTAGCTTTTTTTCAGAGAACTCTGTAGTTCCTACATAAACACCATAGTGCTTGTATAACTTTCCTTCGAAAGCAATTATGTCCCCAAATTCGTATGCTTCCTAGAAGAGACAAAAGAGCATTCACTCTGTTAGGACCAATGGAACCAACCAGAAAACTCAAAAACCCATTTATACACAGTACAGCATTTAGAGATCAAACGGGAATTCACTTCCTATTTAAGGCTTTATGTAAGTTTCCAGTATTTAAAACATATCTGAATGAGAAGTTAAAATGTAAATTGGATTATTAAGGTAAGAAAATCACTCACATTAATTTCTGTTGCTAAGATTACCATAAGAGTTACAGCAATCAAGATGACGATCTTCATTTTCTCAAGGGTCAAAAACTGAAAAAGTAACACAGAATAATTATTTTTTGAAAAGTACATTAAACCAAGTCAATTATTCTGTAACATACCTTCAGGAGATGTCAGAAGAAACTGTGATCCACCAGAATATGGAGCAACCTAAAAACATACAAACATATTTAGATGTCAGGCATGGTTTCTATTAACAACAAAATGCTCAGCTGTCTGGTATTTTCTAATATTTGATCTTGCAAATATCAGCAACTAAAATAGTGTCAGAATCATCTGTTGGTGTCTGCATAAAGTTCTGTTCCCTGTCTGTGACAGATAAGCTGATCAGAGGAGGACTTTTTATTGAAAAGACCCTCCTAATTTGACTACTAGTCCTGACCCTAGAAGCAACCTCATTTGAATGCTTTATGCAAGAAAAATGGTTCATTAAGATAAAAGCATTTTTATTTAACCTACTCTGAGATAACTGAACACAGTTAGTATGATAATGATGAACTATGGTGGCACTTGTTTTTACTCTGTTAATTTTTATGAAGCTCTCATCCTAATGCAGTTTGCTTCTTTTAGCTTTCAGTAGAGATTAGGATTGTGCTAGTATAAAGATCTAGTATAATACTTTTGGTTAGAAACAACTCATTTTTAGTTAGTTACATAACCTAAATTAATCTTTTTGTTTTTACCTTGTCTTGAATCATAAATGCTGGGCAGTAGTTTTCAGTTAGTGTTGCGTTAATCCTCCATTACACCACTTTACCTCATTATACTTTTCAGTTTAATGGTTTGAACACACAAGCTGCAGTAAAAACAGCAGAAAAGACAACAATCAACATATTATGAAGCATTCCACTTCAACAACGTGTGAATGTGCGAGTGTGTGAATATTGGAAAGCTCTTTGGCTGCCTCTAAAAGGGCTTTAAATCTAATTCTTTATTATTATTACCATTAGGACATGTCTGAGACTCCTTCCCCAGGAGAAATTCAACAAACATCCTACCAGAGGATGCCTAAACCATCTTGGCTAATGAGATTTTTTAAATGTAGCTTGGAAGAACTGGCATTGGGGTATTTAAATTATACCTGTCAATCAAATTCTAATAAAACTGAATGGTAGCCATGTTAGATAAATGTTGAATAGAGACTTAATTTTTTTAATAGAGTGATGATAAACTTTTTTTTTTATTACAGAATGACTTTTCTAGTGAGCTTGCATGCAGGTGGTTAACAACATGTAATAATAAAAAAATATATAATAAAAAAATAGGGTCTTAGCTGCCAGGACCTGATGCAGTTAAACTTTTCTACTTGAAACTCTTTACTGGGTGTTTATTGCAGTGATATTAGTTTTTATTTATGGAAGACTGTTACGGTTAGTTCTTAAAACACAAAGTAGTTATTAACAAAATACATTTTTATTTCTGCATACTCTCAACATTACAGATGGTGCACCAAAAAGGGATCCCCCATTCTGTTGACTGGTGCACTTAAGATATTACAATAAACCTTTCCAGTTCAGGAGAAGAACTGGAGTTTTGGTATTCAAATGACACCTGTCCATCAAATTCAAATAAAACTGTTAAGCTAGTCAAATGTTGACCACAGACTTGAAATCTTTCAAAAAATGTTAAATCTGTCATTGACCTTAGTAATTACCTTTCTATGGAACTTGCATGACAAGAGGACAGTTGGTTAACAACATGGGCGATGCTCTGAAGGTGCAAGTATGTTTTATGTTTATTTATTTGGCAGACACTTTCATCCAAAGCGACGTACAATTTCATGTTTTATTGCTGTCCAGTAATTTTTGTTTTTGCCACCACATATTTCACATCGTCCACTTACCAGATTCTTGCTTCCCATTTTTCTGTGCCAGACTGGCTCAGCAGCATCTTTGTACATTCTGCATTTTGAGTCCAGTCTGGTGCGATAACCTCTGCTCTCCCACCTTTTGCATAATCTGAAGGTGCTGGACTCTCCATCACGAGAACCGTCATGCCCAAAAGCAGCGTTGTATATTAGTGTATCATTCATGTTGCTTACTGTACCTAAAAACTGCAGAAAATCTAATCCCTACTGTAACTGTCCCTGAGACAGTTAAAATAAAGTTGTTTATTTCAAATGTTTCTGTGATAGAGAGATGCTTAATTTGGTTCATTTAATTACTAGATAAGATGATAAAAGTGTAACATTGATTTAAAAAACATGTCTAAAATATGTGATTACAAAATATGGGTTTGTTAAATATGTAACCTGCTGTAAAGTTTGTATGAGGTAGTTTGTAATGGTCACATGATCAGAGTTTGTTTGACAGCGCTACCATAGCAACCATAGCATGGATACATGGCTACAGATGCGTCTACAGCCTCGACGTTAATGTCATTCTGCATGTGGTCCAAGAGGCGCACACGGTATGGTTTCATGTATAATGTTTGTATAATGTTGCATATGTGTTCTACACTGGTAATGAGAGGACATTTTTGTGATTCATTATTGCGCATTTTCTTTCTGTTCTGCGAGACTGTTTATGGACAATGACATGAGAGACTGATAAGTTCAAACAGTTATGGTGTAAACTTTGTGTTTCTTCAGTTTTCACGGTGTCTGAAGATAACAAGAGAGAGAGAGAGAGAGAGAGAGAGAGAGAGAGAGAGCAAAATAAACATCCGAAGACATCAGTATGATGCGTGGCCATTCTTTGTTGGACCCCTGTAGTTACAGTGAAAACGTACCGCCAACGTGCTTGGAAGTTCAACGTTAGAAGCAGTGAATGTTCCAGAAGAAGAAAAGAAGAAAGGTTCTTGACAGCGCAGTGTGTGTGGTTCGAGAACACAGCGGAAAGGAGGCTTGCAAACTCGAAAAGAGGAAACATCATTATTGGCGCTTTGGACGGCAACGACCACGACTTCACCAATAGAGGGCGACATTGACCATCATAAACTACAGCTCTGCAACCGTCTGCAACTCTCTGCCGTTGCACACAGCAAAAACTGTATAATCCCCCGTCTTCAAGGAAAAGATAACGGCTCTGCAGTCAACGTCAGGTTGGGCTGTGATATATCCACAGCTGTTAGTAAAGTTTGGAGAGGTCTATTAATATAATAATTTATTTTGTATGAGAAAGGTACTGAGCTAAAGGTAACCAGCCTGTCATAGCCAAACTGTTCCCCTTTAATTTACAAGTGGTGTTGTTTAAAGTGTTCTAATGATGTTTAAGAGTTCAACTTAAAAGAAGACTAACAAGGGGTGTTGTTAAGAAAAATTGTTGCAAGAATCAGATTGTATTGAGAATTATATGTTTGCCAGGATCGCATATACATATAGCAACGACTTGTTATGCAGCAGGTTTGCTGAAACATGTGCAATGTCAGTAAACACAGAAAAATCACATATTGAAGAATTCTGAGAACAAATGGATTCCCTTAAGGAAGAGCTAAGTAGATTGAATGAACAATTGAAATTACAGACTGATGATGTTGAAAGGGAGAAATTGGAGTTACTCATAGGTGATATTCATGCTAAAATAGAAATAAAGCAGAAGCCTGCCACTAATACTTCAAGACTAGAGCCCAGGAAATCCTCAAGGGAGCGAAAGTTAACACCCAAAATGTTAGAACTTAAGCAACAAGAGTTTTCTCAGAAGGAGAGTAAATTTATCAAACTATATGAAACCTGGAAAGAACAAGTTAAAGCTACACGTTCCAAACTTAAAGAAGAGTGCTCTGACCAGGAATTAGCTGACATGATGGATACTGTCGAAGGGCTGGAGTCACAAGTGAAAAATACATATGAAGATATAAGATCGCAGGCAGCCCCTTCTACTGAGACTAGAAGAAAAATTGATTCCTGCACAGCAGTAACAGCGGACTTGATGAGAATACTTAAAGTACGTATGAGCGAAGTGGGGATAGAAGAGTTTGATGCTAAGGCAGAAAATGCAAGACTTCACATGGTGCTAGACAGAGAATATGCTCAGTCAATATTTGGGACTACAATCTCCCGACCTTCAGTACGTAGCCACCGCTCAAGCTGTTTATCGGAGCAGCAAAGCATCAGTGTAAAAAAGGCAGAGTGTGCTGCACAGCTTGCTGCGAAGCAGGCCGAGATAGAAATGGAGGAGGCTATTGCTACACAAAGGCAAGAGCTTAAAAGACTAGAAAATCAGCGAGATCTTCAGGTAATAACTGCAAAGCTAAAAGCTTATTCTCAAGCAGATTCAAGTGAAGTCTGTGGAGAAGTCAAAAGTGCACACAGTGAGGTAGTCAGTTGTCCTCCGTTAGCTCCTGAAGAAATCGTACCAGAGCAAACCTACAAGAATAATAACAATGAACAACCAAACAATAACAATGAGTCATTGTTAATGCAAGCATTGCATGACACAATGGTCCTCACCAGACTTCCTGCACCTGAACCCCCAGTCTTCTCAGGGGACCCACTTAAGTTCTTAGAGTGGAGCACTAGTTTCAAAGCTTTGATAGAACGGCGATGCACAAATCCAGCCGACAGGTTGTTCTACCTACGCAAATACATCAGTGGAGAAGCACAGTCTGTATTGGAGGGAAGCTTTTACAGAAAAGATGACCAAGCATATGACCAAGCTTGGGAAGCTTTGAATGCTCGGTATGGTCACCCCTTTGTAATTCAGCGTGCATTTAGGGAAAAACTGAACAACTGGCCAAAGATTGGTTCAAGAGAGTCACTTAAACTGAGACAATTCAGTGATTTTCTGACAGCCTGCAGCAATGCTATGCCATACATCAAAGAACTGCAGGTGTTAAATGACTGTGAAGAGAATCAAAAATTGCTCCGAAAACTTCCTGACTGGGTGACTTCTCGTTGGAATCGTCATGTCACGGTGCAGTTACGGCAAACAGAAGAATATCCAAGCTTCAAACAATTTGCTGACTTTGTTACACAAGAAGCGGAAGTTGCATGCAATCCCATAACATCATTTAATGCCTTGAAACACACTGAAGCTAGAGACATAAAGCATCCAAAGGCTAATGCATACATCACAAGTGTGGAAGCATCAGACAGAACAACCACAGGATACAGCAAAGTGGAGAACAATTCAAATGAGGCTGATATAGAAAGAAAAGCACATGCTTTGCCATCAAACTCAGTCACATGTATTTGCTGTGGAGAAAGCCATTCTATTCATAAATGCCAGACCTTTGCTCAAATGTATGTGGAAAACAAGAGAAAGTTCATACTTGACAATAACCTGTGTTTTGGCTGTCTCAGAAGAGGACACAATTCCAAAGACTGTAAGCGCAAGGCGACTTGTGGGGTTTGTAAAAAACATCATCCAACAGCTCTTCATGAAGACCGTCCAACAACTGCAGTGAACACATCATCACATAGAATGCAGGCAGAAGAAAACATATCTGCACTTTCTTGCTGCATGGACAAAGGAGATGGTGGGAGCACATCCATGATAGTCCCTGTGTGGGTTTCTTCAACCACCACTCCAGAGAGAGAGACCTTAGTGTATGCTTTATTAGATACGCAGAGTAGCAACACTTTTGTAGATCAAGAGGTATGTGAGGAGATGGGGATGAGTTTAGAGCCAGTGAAGTTAAAGCTAACCACTATGATGGGAAGAGATTCCATCGTTCAGAGCGAAAGGGTTAGTGGGCTCAGAGTTAGAGGGTTTTACTCCAAAGTCTTTATCAACTTGCCACTTGCCTATACCAGAGACTTCATCCCACTTGAACGTTCACACATTCCCACCTCTGAAACTGCCAAGAGATGGAAACATCTAACCAGAATAGCACAGGAGATGCCCGAGTTAATGGATTGCAAGGTCGGGCTGTTAATAGGCTACGACTGTTCTAGAGCACTGGCACCACGGCAAGTAATCGCGGGAGGTGATGAAGAGCCATATGCAATCAAGACAGACCTGGGCTGGAGCATTGTTGGCAGTTCACAAAAAATGGCAACATCAACAGAAGTGACAGGCCTGTGCCATCGCTTATCTGTTAAGGAGCTTCCACCTCTGACACCAGCCACCATCATCAGAGTACTTGAGTCAGATTTCAAAGACACAGCTCCTGGAGAAAAGAGCATATCACAAGATGACATACAGTTCATGCATCTGCTAAATGAGGAAATACACCAGAATGCTGACGGGGACTTAGAGATGCAACTTCCCTTTAAGGCACGCCCTCAGCTGCCAGAAAATAAGCGTCTGGCTCTGGTGCGACTTAAGCACCTGAAAGGGAAGTTTGAGAAAAACCCCAAATTTAAGGACGATTACATAAGGTTCATGGACAATGTCTTCAAGGAAGGTGATGCTGAAAGAGCTGAAGATGATCCCAGAGAAGGAAATACGTGGTACATTCCACATCAAGGCATCTATCACCCAAGAAAACCAGAAAAAATCAGGGTTGTGTTTGACTGCTCTGCAAAGTACAGTGGCACAGCTCTGAATGATCACCTCTTGACCGGACCGGACCTCATCAACAGTTTGACTGGAGTACTCTGCAGATTTCGCCAACACCCTATTGCAATAATCTGTGATGTAGAGAAGATGTTTCACAGATTTCATGTGAACAGAGAAGACAGAAATTACTTGCGATTCCTGTGGTGGGAAAACGGTGAAACAAACACAGAGCCAAAAGAATATCGCATGAAAGTCCATCTTTTCGGGGCAGCATCCTCACCAGGCTGCGCAAATTATGCAATGAAGTATCTTGCGAGCCAAAATGAAAGGGAACATCCGACAGCAGCCAACTTCATCAGAAGTAGCTTCTATGTTGATGATGGGCTAGTCAGTGTAAAAACTGTGAATGCAGCCATTGAACTAGTGAGAGATGTGCGGAAGGTGTGTGCGAAGGCAAGATTACGGCTTCACAAATTCATATCCAACAACAGAGAAGTCCTGGAGTCAATTCCAGATAGTGAACGAGCTAGTGGAGCCCAGGATGTGGACATCAGTCATCATGAACTCCCAGTTCAGACTGTGTTGGGAGTAAGATGGAGTGTAAGCTGTGACACCTTCTCCTTTAAAGTTGCCCTGGAGGAGAAACCAGTATCACGACGGGGAATTCTTTCCATTATCGCCTCTGTGTTTGACCCATTAGGCTTCTTGGCTCCTTTCCTTCTAATAGGAAAGAAAATTCTACAGGAAATGTGTCTAAAGAGCATTGGATGGGATGAGCCACTGCCTGGTGAATTGAAGCCACAATGGGAGAGTAGGGTCACTGATCTGAAGAACCTGCAGCAACTCCAAATCCCAAGATGCTTTGTACCTGAAAACCTTGGAAAAGTCCAAAGAATAGAACTCCACCACTTTTCAGATGCGAGCAATCGCGGGTATGGTCAGTGCTCATGTGTCCGGGTGATGAGTGAAGACAGAGTGCATTGCTCCTTAGTCATGGGCAAAGCACGAGTTGCACCCACGAGAGTTGTTACCATACCAAGGCTGGAATTAACAGCAGCAGTGGTGTCCGCAGCAGTCAGCAGAATGCTAAAAGAGGAACTGGAGCTCAAAATTGATCAAGAGTATTTCTGGTCTGATTCACAGGTGGTTTTGGGCTACATTAACAACGAAGCCCGCAGATTTCATGTTTTTGTTGCTAATAGAGTGCAAAGAAGCAGAGAAGCAACTGATCCAGCACAGTGGCACTATGTTGACACCAATCAAAATCCAGCGGATCACGCTTCCAGAGGCCTCACAGTGGCAGAACTGATCAGTTCAAATTGGCTCACTGGACCTCATTTCCTGTGGGAAAGAGGGTTTGTCACACCAGACTCAACTCCAGACCTTCTGGTAGGTGATCCAGAGGTCAAAACGACACAAATACTACAAACAAGGGTAGTAGAGGACAGGAACTTCTTGGAGCGACTCAAAAGGTTCTCAAAATGGCATACAGCAGTAAATGTAGTTGCTAGGATTCAGCATCTAGCAAAAAAAGCCAGAATACAACTAGGAAATTGAAAACTATCAAAAAGAGGGTGAAAGGCTCAATAAACCATCCACTCTTGAACGCCCTATACATATATTAGTGGTCCTAATAGAGAGTAATTAGAATGTTCCAGTGGAACTTCTGTAAATGTATATGGGATGGTTAAAATATTAGACTTGACTTGCAAGATTGTCACAACTGTTTGGTTCTGAAAAATTCTAGATTTATTCAAATTATTAACAGTTCATAAATCTTAGTAATTTGGTGGGAGTGTAACTGTCCCTGAGACAGTTAAAATAAAGTTGTTTATTTCAAATGTTTCTGTGATAGAGAGATGCTTAATTTGGTTCATTTAATTACTAGATAAGATGATAAAAGTGTAACATTGATTTAAAAAACATGTCTAAAATATGTGATTACAAAATATGGGTTTGTTAAATATGTAACCTGCTGTAAAGTTTGTATGAGGTAGTTTGTAATGGTCACATGATCAGAGTTTGTTTGACAGCGCTACCATAGCAACCATAGCATGGATACATGGCTACAGATGCGTCTACAGCCTCGACGTTAATGTCATTCTGCATGTGGTCCAAGAGGCGCACACGGTATGGTTTCATGTATAATGTTTGTATAATGTTGCATATGTGTTCTACACTGGTAATGAGAGGACATTTTTGTGATTCATTATTGCGCATTTTCTTTCTGTTCTGCGAGACTGTTTATGGACAATGACATGAGAGACTGATAAGTTCAAACAGTTATGGTGTAAACTTTGTGTTTCTTCAGTTTTCACGGTGTCTGAAGATAACAAGAGAGAGAGAGAGAGAGAGAGAGAGAGAGAGAGAGAGAGAGCAAAATAAACATCCGAAGACATCAGTATGATGCGTGGCCATTCTTTGTTGGACCCCTGTAGTTACACCTACTAAGGATGAACAAAACAACATATGTTGTGTATGAGGAGCATACTTTCTTTAAAAACTTTTGTTGCTTTTCCTAAAACTGTTTATTCTCTGTAAAGACTCTAGCTGCCAAGGATGTGTAGACAAATCTCCATACTTGTTTAATTCATTACCAATATGCAGCCTGCTTATTATTTTTATTTATTTTTTAAATTATAAAAATTTTGATATGAGCTTTAACCATGATGTCTAATCTTTGTTCACTAACTAAACAAGTTAAATGTTTTATGACTTTGTCACTATCCTTTTGTTTTTTCTTGTCTGCATGTCTTGGACTCATAATAATTAAACATGTCTAATGATGTGATTTGGAAGTTTCATGCTTGTTAAGGAACCCATTCATATAAATATCAGTGGCCTCGTGGTAGAGAGTCCGCCCTCAGACTGGGAGATCAGGGTTCCATTCCTGGTCGGGTCATACCAAAGACTTTGAAAAAATGGAACCCAATGCCTCCCTGCTTGACATTCAGCATTAAGGGGTTGGATTGGGGGGTTAAGCCACCAAAGAGTTCCCGATAGTGTCTGCAGCTCACTGCTCCCCCAGGGGATGGGTCAAATGCAGAGAACAAATTTCGCACACATCAGTGTGTGACAATTTATGGGACTTTTGACTTTGGCTTATGGGTGATTAATAATTTTTATTCAGTAGCAGGACTTTTGCACTGTGCCTGGTTTCAGATGGGATCTTATTTTCTCCGGTGACTGCAATGAAAATATATTTTTATTAATATTTATTCAATAATATTTTCTTTAAATCAGTAAAGTCAGGTCCATTTTTCACCAACTTCTGTTTCAGAACCACCTTGACCAGTTTTGAAAAAAATAAGCTGTAGTTATGAATTTAAAAAATCTATTTCTATTACATTATATTTTTAGCTTTGAATAAAAGCCTGTGGCTCAAGAATATAAACCTCAGTGTATTACTACTACAATCATTACTACTATTATCAACCTTACTACTGTTACTAAAACCTGTAAACACTCCAGCTACTACTAATGAGAATGATCAACACTAACAGCACTATCAACACTAGTGATAACACTAGTAATAAAACCATTTCAATTGGTAATGGATTCTTTAAACTCAACCCCATTTCTGCTAGAACCAAACTACCCTTTGCAGCAACCAACACAGCACAGTGAGTTTCAGCTGCTTTACTTCAGGAACGTGACAGGGAACATGAACAGGTCTCATGACCTTTGTAATACTAGGTTTTGTGTATCACGGTTTAAACAAGCTATGAATGAGGACTTCACCTATACGCCCCTTTCATTCTCAATCCACGCCTCAAAGCCAGAGTTTCAAATGTCATATGTAAATGTCAGGACCTGATCCAGTCCAACTTTTCACACTTGAGGTTCTTTCATGATGTGATGTTAGTTTTTGTTTTGAGAGTTTTTACTGCTGTTAGCTCTTAGATCCATGTGCCGACTGGACACTTTAGTGGGCTGGACCAGCAGTAAAAACAACACAACAATGGCGTCAGCTTGTTTCTCAGCATTAGCCAATTAGTGTGGGATTTACTCATCAGAATTAAAAGAAAGTTGTGTAATATTAGAATAAAAAACAACAGCAACTCTACCAGCACACAACAGCACCTTACATATTTCCATCCCTGATTAGACAAAAGAAGAAGCCAGTGATTGTTCATCCTAACCAGTCGAGCAATCGAGGAAGGACCAACTTGCCCGTAGCTCCAGCCTTTCTCATAAAACAATGGGGCTACATTGCTGCAAAGCTGAAGCAGCACCAGGAAGCCTTTGCTCATTTGATCATGTGTTTTCACAAAGATGGTGGTATAAAGTTGGTGTGGGACCATCTCCATGCTGTCACGAACTTCCTCTTAGCTTTAACATAACTTGATTTTTTATGCCAATTGAAACTACGCACCTTAAGTTTTTTCACAAGCTGCTCCAAAAGGTGGCTGTCCCCTTTACAGTCCCACGTGAACTATCTGGTGATCTGAATTTCAGATCTAAATGCTAGAACCTCCCGGATCTCTGCATCACCATCTCAGTTTGTTGTCTCAGCTAGCAAAAGGTATTTGGTAACTTGAATTAATGTGTGCTGAAATAATTTGAAAGTATGAAAACGCTATGATAGGGGAAAACAAACTTCAACAGTGAAAAAAATGCACCAAAATAGTGGTAACTGTGGTAATTATAATTATTGCTTAATAATCAAACCAAAGGACCCTGAAAAATCAAATCTTGAGGGAGCTGACATCACAGACATATGAACACTCTATTGGTACTGCATATTGGAACTGCTGTAGTGGCTGGTCGCCATCTTGGATGGGTCTCTGTTTGCCCCCAGTGCATTCATTTCTACTAAGTGTGGCAGTGTGAGTGTCCTGTCACAGTGTCCCGATAGATGATACGCCCTGGCTACTTGGCCAAGGGGTTGTTCCTTTGGCTGACTGGTTAGAGCGTATGACTCTCACCCGGGAGTCTGGGGATCGAATCCCGCCCAGGCCCTCGTTTGTCCACCTTGCCACATAAGGAAGGTGTTTAACTCAACTAAAATAACACATATTTTTCCCAAAATCAGTATTACGGTATGGCATAAGTTAAATAAAACAATATATAATTAAACAAAAGCTGAAATAATTAAAATATAAAGCTGTAGCATCATGAAATGTCCTGTTTTGACCTAAAGGTCATGATCTGCTGCGTCTGCTCGAGCAGATGTCTCTGCGGTCGGGACGTGAGCGCCTCGATCGATACCCTCCTCATGGGGAGGATCCTCCGTACCTCGTGTCCCTGGCCATGGTCCGATCTGCGATGCTCGAGTGACATCGAAGGACCCGATGGCCCTTCAGACTCACTTGGCTTTCTCATTGGGCAGTGCCATTAAGTGTCAATCCAGATGCTAGAGAGCTAGCTTTCATCATCAACTTACCTATTGTATCTCCAGATGACATCTACCGACTAAAAGATGTGGTAAATGTAGGAAATTGGGTTGACGACACTCATGTCAGGTTACATACGCCTCCAGTCGTTGCGTTCCATGAGGACACGCCGCACGTCCGGTTGGTCCCGGATCTGCGCGTGTGTTCTCTCACACGTGGCCTGCACTTCTTGTGTCCAGGCACACCTTTTCTGCGTGGCGGTGCCACTGGTGTGTGTGGCATTGATGAGTTGTCGGTTGATTCTAAATGTCCTATGACTGTGACTCCACGTTCACATGTGGTTCAAACTACGACTGTTGTGGTTGATGATCGATGGCTAGTTAATACCCCTGCTCGTGAAGCGGATGTCTTCTATGAGCGTCACAGTGTGTCCACATGTGTTTTGCTTCCGTCCCAAACCCTATGGGTGACAGTTCCACGTAGTGCTACGGTCCATGTAGGTGAGGTCTCTCTATATTACTTGGATCCTGGTGAGCATAAGTCTGTTGTGGAGTTTTCTTCTTTCTATGATAACATCTCCTTTGCTCTTTCTCCAGCTACGGTGGATCGTGTTATGTTCAGTGGTCCAACCATGGTTCGGGTTGGTGCGGTAAACAGGGTGCTGTGTGAGTTGTCGGCAGATCCCGGTCTCAGGTTTAAACCAGTGTCTTACTCCTGGTCCTCCGCTGATTCTTTCGTGTTATTCACTGCATGCTTAAACTTTTGTCTGTCATTGGGGTTGTCATTTTTCCTGTTCCGTTACTTCTCCGCACGGATGACCTCTCTACGGGACTCGGTCCGCAACGCCTGTGGCCGCCCATCTCGTGCCGGTTGTCCGCAAAGCCCCGGCAGTCCAGATACTGCAACCTGCGCCGGACGCTCCTGCACCTGTACCTCCTTTGTCACCTCCCGTGCCTTCAGCTAGGCCTTCTACCTTGCAAATGGGGTGATCTCTATTTTCCGTCGTCTGTCCCATGGTCCCGTTTCAGGTTACACAAGTTTGTTTGTGTGTGTGCATGGTTGTCTTTCCTATTTATACATGACATGCAGATTTGGGTGATTTGAGATGGTCATGCTGTGGGTTTCCGAAGTCAGGTAATGAGTAAGTTTTAATTGTAAAAGGGTTTATTCCACATTATTACGTCCCCGGCTCTCTAGGAGAGATGAGGATAGGGGAGTAATAAAATTGGTGTGTGGGAGAAATAATAACAAAGTGCAGTGCCGCAATAAAACAAAAATTTTATTACAAAAAGTAATATTTACAAAGGACGTGATAATTAACTATATACAAAACAGAAAGGAGTTATATACAAAAAGGAGACACCAACCCAGAAGGGGATGGGGGCAAACTACCAAAAAGGAGGAAGCTCTGGGGAGATCCTAAATCGAAGTCAAAATAAGTTCCTAAGTCAGAAAAGCCAAATTGTCAAATCCTATAAATCCAAATCCGAAATCCGAAAGAGTGTGTAACGATTACTAGCGAGCGAACGAGTTTTTACCAAAGCAGACGAGGAGAAGAGAATAGTACAAACTCCAGAAGAGTCTATACTACCCTGTACCTTCTCAAAGACAGTGGGCAGGAGAGCAGCTTTTAACAGCTGCTCCCTGATTGCCCATTACCCACAGCTGTGCAGGAGATGGACGAGGCTGAAGCCACTAAGGCCATCTTGTGGCTGAAAAGGGACAGAGCACGTAACACACATTCTGTTGTGTTATCCAAATTTGTTTTTATTTTCACTAATCTTAATTCCTTATGGGGTACATTCACATATAGGATGATTACTAACTTCACTGATTTACATTTTAGTGCTCTTTGACACTCATATATCTACTTTTATATTGTTATTTACAGTTGAGTTTGATAACTTTTTGATTAACTTGTTGATTCACCAGTTATGGACTACAACCATTTTTGCCCTCATTTTGATAACATTTTTGCTTAGTGGCGTGATTTTCCCCTTACATATATTATAGTGTTTTGTTATTTTGCTCTTTTACACCACTTTTTCCAGTACACGTAGTGTATTGCATCCATTTCTTCATTTGGGCTCTGTTCACATAATTGCTTCACATAGTACATACAGGCACACATGTTGACAGGTTTCTTTTTATTTGTTGATTTGCATCAGATGCCATTTGTTTGTGTCTACAATGAAGTGCCCTGTGTTGTGCTCACTCTCCTCTGCTGAGTTTTGCCGATAAGCCTCGATTCCTGGGGGTGGCCCTATGATTCGTCATCGGACTCTGCTGCTTGCTGCCTGGTGTTCGGCATGTTGGACCTGGACATCCGTTGATTTCGGCTATGGCTGCTGGGATACTTCGTTCGCTGGGACCTGATCTGTTGCCTGCTCATCTTCTTCCTACTCTGGATTACGCTAAGTGCTATTACAAGGATCAAATTACTGTTTGAATTATTCCCTTCCCGTGGATATATTAATGATCTGCTGACTGTTGATTAACTGCTTTCAAAGGAAATTATCCGCGACTGTCTTTCGGTGTGGGGTTCGTTCCTCACCACTTTTGGCCTCTGCCTGGGAAATTACACCTTGCTTTCTCGACGGAGTCCTTCTGGCCTCTGGTTTGTTCAACGTCAGGTGGTCTCTGCCTGGACCACCATGCCCTTGAAAAGGGGGTATATGTAGCGTCATGAAATGTCCTGTTTTGACCTAAAGGTCATGATCTGCTGCGTCTGCTCGAGCAGAGACATAAAGTCTCTGACACAGGCCTAATCTACATGAGATATTGGTCAAGGTCTTTCATGCCCTGTACTCATCTGAACTGCTTCACCTTTACAGCTGAAGACGAAGACAAAGAACTCTTTTGATAAATACATAATCACACAACGTTTGTTATTGCCAATAATAAGGTGAGCCCAATGTTTAATCATTCTGTGAAATGACAATGTTATTACTTGATATTATAATCCTGTGATCAGTAGTATTTTACAAGTAATTATAATCCTGGACATTTGCACTAGACACTGATGACACGTAATGCTAAAGTCACATGACACATTTCCTTTTGTCTGATCCAATCAAAACCTTCGTTTCTGACACGAGGCGTGGTTTTATTTGGTGTTTGTATAAACCCTCTTTTTGCATTACAAATTCTGATTCGCCAGTAAACCAAAATATGACAATTATAAAACCTATTCCACGCCACCTTTTCTTTAGTTCAAAGCATTCTAGAGAAGTCTCGGACAGGCCATCCGGACTTCCTCTTCAGCCAAATGAACCTCGACAACATGCAACCATAGGCTGCACAAAAAAATGGTAGTTGCTCGATCTGCTTTGACTTTGGAGAATGAGGAGACCCATACAAAATGGCGGTGACGCTGTTATGCTCTCTAGCGCCAAATAAGGCATTTCCTTTTGTCTGTGCCTAAAGTGACACACCCCTAATAGCATATTCTACAGTAGCTAAAAATAGATTGTGACATTATGTCGCAATGCATTGTGGGATGTAGCCAAGCCCCCACAATGCGGCTCAAAAATTGAGGCCAACCCGGAAATACCAAAAATTGCAGTTCCACCCTCATCCGCTGGGGGCTGGTGTCAGAAGCGAGCAAATCCTTATTGACTCCCATATTAAAAATACCAGTTTCACAGCAGAAATAAACATGCTTACAGCCTGGTACCAGACCATGTTTTTGGTTTAAATGATCTAGTTTACACTCATGACAACTCTGAGGGGGGGTGAATTTTTTTTCTCACTCTTCTGTTTAAGTGTATTAAAAGCCTAAAATTCTGTATAATTAATGAGCATCAGACCCACGTGACCACAGAGCTAGCTCCGTGGAAAGGCCTCAGTAGAGCCTCGGTCTGGCTTGGAAACTGTTCCGGGATTTTGAGTCTCTGTGTTTGTGTATTCAGTTTTGGATATTTTTTGTGCAATTGTTGGACAAAATGACTTGCTGGGGCATTAATTGCACTAATAGAGCATCCAAGGAGTCTGTACTTCATTTATTTCGGAAATTAAAATCATATTTATGTATTTTAGGTTACTGCCGAGCTGAGCTTAGATTTTAACATGTACTGTTTAACCATGAAATTTAAATGTAATAGGGTAAACCCCAGTGCATTTAACATAATGCTGCGCTTTAGAAAATAGGTTGAAATATAACATGTTGGTGGAGCTGGGTTCCGACTATCGGCTTGTGGAGCTCTCGGGAGACCTCTGTTTTCCACCCGTTTCTCCCCTCCCCGCAGCTCGGCGCATCTCTGTCTGATCGCGGCTGCTGTCTGCTGCGCGGGCTGACGGCTGGTTCTCCCCGCAGCTCGGCGCATCTCTGTCTGATCGCGGCTGCTATCTGCTGCGCGGGCTGACGGCTGGTTCTCCCCGCAGCTCGGCGCATCTCTGTCTGATCGCGGCTTCTGTCTGCTGCGCGTGCTGTCGGCTTGTGAAGCTCTGGATGGAAACCGATGTTTTCCACCCGTTCTCCCCTCCCCGCAGCTCGGTGCATCTCTGTCTGATCGCGGCTTCTGTCTGCTGCGCGGGCTGCCGGCTTGTGGAACTCTGGGATTGAAACCTTTCCACCCGGTTCTCCCCAGCGGCAGCTCTGCACATCTCAGATCGCAGCTGCGCTTGTCTGCTGTGCGACTGCCGGCTTGTAGAGGTCTCGGAGACCTCTGTGTTCCACCCGGTTTTACCCAGCGGTCAGCCCGGCGTATCTCTGACACAGAAGCTCTGGTGTTGTGCACAGTTAACTCTGGTTGTAGCTAGGTTGCTACCTCCATTAGCTTATCTCCCACCTCCGCATTAGCTTTGGGTTAGCTTCAGGTTAGCTTGTAGCTAGTTCGACCGGGCGTCGTCAGTTGATCCCAGCCTTACAGCCCCACCCTCAGCTCCACCTCTCTTACCTTTTGTGGAATTGTCTGGGCTTGACTGAACCTGTGACACGGTCAAAATGGCGGTGGTGGCCACCTCCCATTTGGCCTCAAAAACGTGTTATTGGAGCCTATGGAAATGAATTGTCCAGTATTTATATGTCGATGGATGTAGCCCTAGACAAACAAGCATGTATTTTGCATGGGTGTCTTTGAGTCGGAGTCGCTCATCTCGTCTCAAAGTTATAGTTTTGTCTTCTAAAGATGTTTAAATGGGAAGGAACTAAGCAAGGCTGTTGGGAGAGGTGCTAATTAGAGTCTTGATACCCAGATTGGTTATCAAAGGGGACATTTTTTTTATCCTTTATTCAAAGCCGGGTAAGGTCCTCTACCACATGAAACAGCTGGAAAAGGAAACGGGTCAAGCAAACGTAAAGTGGTGGGAGTATTTATGTGGAAGAGCAGATTTTCAGTGTGTAGAAGATGAAGGGGTGTGTGTATATTTGCTCCATAGATTTTTCCGGAGGGAAAGCTCATCTGAGAATGATGAGCCGATTCTAGAAACGCTTCCCGATGTGGAGTTATCCAGGAGGCAGCGGTGTAAAGAAGAGGTCCAGCTGAACGTCTTGCCCAAACAGCATCCAAATATGGATGAAACAGGCTTTTGACCAGAGGTTGGTGGTATGTCAAATGTAGTGACACAAATAATAACCTAAGTGTAAAAACTTACAGAAACTGTTACTTGAGGACTGTGAGTCATGAGTAACTGTGCGTAAAATTTTGAATTTGGTGTCTTTTGAGTTGTTTTTATTCCAAGTTGAGTTGTATTTATTTATTTTATTCCAAGCGCTCTGTCTATGTATTTTCAATTGGTTAATGCAGTTCTTTGTTTAGCATTAGGACCCAGCAGCACTGCATGGTGGTGCAGTTGTTAGCACCGTTGGCAAGGCCCAATCTCAATACTCGCACTGCACCCTGCAGTTTTCAGCAAAGTGCACTTGGAGTAGGGTTCGAGTGAGTTGTACACAAGTGTGCAAATAATTGCAGAATTGAGACAGGGAGCATTGCGTCATCGATTGCAATGCATGCAGGGATACTGGTCGCTGTGATACTTTTTTCAAAAACCTTTATTAACAACTTTTAAACAAACATCCAAACAGTTATTTGAAATAAATTTATACTTATTGCTGCTTTGTATAAAAGTTTAGAGTATCAACTAATCGTCCTAAAATTAACAAATTTCATTACAATATACATATCTTCAGAAAAGGAACTTGTGGGCAATGCCCTTGCCTGAGGTCCGCATCACTGCGCACTTGGGTGAAGTGCAGATTAATGGTGCAACAGGGGCGTGGTCAATTTCCGCATTAGAGATTTTAGTGCCGGCTGCTTCACAATGCTGTCTCGAATTGCCCCTCGGGGACTAATAAACCCCTAATAAACCCCTAATAAAGTTGTCTTGAGTCTTGAGAATCGGGACACTCCTACGCACTCGCACCCCTGGCTGGGAACGCGCAATTGAAGGGCACAAGGGTATGTGTGAGTGTATGAGTATTGAGATTGGGCCCAAGAAGGTTGCAGGTTCAAAACCCGACTGTGGTTTTTCTGCGTGGAGCTGCATGTTCTCCCCATGCATGCATGGGTTTCCCCCACAGATCACAACATTCCCTACAGGTTAACAATTGTACGTCGCTTTGGAAAAAAGCATCTGCCAAATAAATAAACATTAACACTTGCACTGTGACATCAATTGTATAATACAGTATTTATAAGTAATAATTTTTTGTGATAATTTAGCCTAATCCCAAATGTGGAACTAAATTATATGACTGCATTTATCTGAAATTGATAAGAAATACCGAGACAAATTAGTTTATATTTAATGAGATAAATACCTCAGATAACATTTTTTTCTCGCAAAACAGATATATTTTAAAACATATTGAAAAGCTGTTGTATCTAAAGGAACTAACTGAATTGATGTTATATTGTTGTAATTACTCAATAAAATTTGAAATACTTTGTAGTGTAGTTAGTAGCGTGCCTGCATGTTTAACAGGGCAAACCTGTGTAGAGCTTTAAACAAGCATTTTAGTTAAAACTTTGCTCAAAATACATAAATATTAAATAAAGTAAATCAATGAATTAAATTTTTTTTTTTGTACTTTATATATCAGGATGTCAATGTTCTGCCTGTCTGGGTCTGGACATTCTTCAATGTAATGGTTGAATATGAAAAGATTTAAACTTCTCAGAATTATTTGACAGTAAATTATAATCAATAAAGGTTTAATAGTGTTAGAATACGTTTGTATACCGTATGTTGCACACTTACCTGAAAAAAAAAGAAACAGAACAAAAGAACTGGACACAGTAGAGTTAGATAAGTGACTCTTGTGAGCTTCAGATAAGACAAAGCTACTTAAAGTGTTATTCAAATATTACCGAAAAACATTTAAATAAAATTGTAGGACTGTAGGAGCCACGGTCATATTATTCAAATGTTAACTACAGATTTCAAAAATTTCAATAGACTGATGATGGTTCAGTTATGATAAAAATTATCATTCTGATACGCTTCAGGGACATAAAGACAGTTGAGTATGCAGCATGCAAATAGGCTGAAAGCTCAGTGTGAATGTTGTTTTACTGATGCCCATCACAATGTTCTTAATTTACAACACCACGTTGGCTAAATTGTCATGCACAGTATGGTCATATGTTGCTTGTTGTGGTGTAATGATCATGTTTGGGGTTGTCTTCTAACTTCAAGCAAACATTGTTTTCTCAGCTTTAAAGGTGCTGTAGCACATCTGGAAAACAAATTAGCTTAAAAAATGTTTTCATGCCTCTTAACTACGTTCTAACATAGTATAACTATAAATTTATTGTGAAGATTTTAAAAAAGGATTTTAAGAAAGTGGTTCTCTTGCATTTGTCTAAAAACACCCACCAATAACACGTTTTGGACTGAAAGTAACTATTGGACCATGGGAGGAGCTACTATTTCAGGGGAGCTTCTGAGGAAGCTTTATTTTTATAATTAACAGTGAAGTAGGTTACACACACTGATAAAAGTTGTTTTGATGTCCAAATTCAGCTCATGACCTCCAACTGGATCACTGTTGTTATGTTTCCACTCATCCTTTGCCTGCAGCTCTATCTGCTGCTGAACACAAGTATAGCTCTAGAAACGTGATGTGTTATTAACCAACAGGCCCCAGATTCCTGCAGCCATCCAATTAAAATAAAGTAAATATACGTTACACTCTGAAACATGGCATCATTTAGAAGATTTATTTTATTTTTTCCCAGTAAAAAAATATGAACTCATAAGAAATTTTTGGCAATTCAAAAACAAATAGTCATAACTGATTCCTGGGGTTACAATAAAATGTTTCAGTTTAATTTTGAGCTTCTTTGATGATCCTCAGATTATTGTTGACTTCATGAACTAAAAGGGACAAAAATGAAAACCTCTGTTAGCATAGCAAAGCGTAGTCTCTAGATAAACCAACATGAATTAGAAAGAGGATTTTTTAAATATTCTAACATGTAATAAACCTGATTATAAACAGTTCATTTACCTGCTGTTACTTATTCTGTGGTTAGTGTCATTTGCACACAGAACAATGTTTAGACTGCTGCCACAGAAAATAATTAGGACTAGAAAGAAAATAACACAAACGTACCTGTTTGAATGAAAAGCTGGCAATTTTACAGTCACAGGACAAATTCAGCAGATGGGAATTAAAACGATCTGAAACAGGAAAAATATGTTCAAACTAGCTGGAATCAACCTAAACATATGGTTATAAAAACATATCTTTATGTTTTGATCAAATATAATATATAAATTATATATAAATAATTTATATTGAAAGCTACAAGAAATACTGTGTGTGTGTGCTTGTTAGTGTGCCTCAAGGCAGCTGTGGCGACTGTAGCTCATCACTACCAGCGTGTTTGTGATGTAAAGCACCTTGGTGGATTATAGAAGAAGGCACTACAGACACAGGCCATTTACTACTTATTTTGTGTGTGCATGTGTTCGTGAGTGTGCGTTTTGTGAAAGAAAATAAAGGAAACCATCTTTTATATAGCTCCTCTCAAAAATCACAAGGCGCTTCACAAAAATGAAAAATCTAAAATATAAAAAAAGATTTGAAAAATGATTAAAAATATGTTTAAAGTAAGAAAATATATTAAAAAAAGTGTGATAAAAAATGAATATGAAAGAGGGGAACCAGTGGATCACGGGAAAGGTAGAAAGAGCAGAATAAGGAGAGGGGTGGTCATGAAGGTCACCCAAAAGCCAGCTTGAATGGGTGAGTTTTCAGCTGCTTTCTGAAGGAGACCACTGCGCATGTGCATGATTGTATGTGCATGTGTGTGAGTGTACTTTTTGTACCAAAGTGCTCTTCTGGAGGTTGTGAATACCTTTGAGAATTTGAAGTTTTGTCAGAGCTGCCACATATTTGTCGTAGTCGATCCCACCCTCGGCGCTGTACTCATACCACAGAGCTCTGAAGGTTTCCTCGTCCAAATCAAAATCTGCAGGAAACAAGAAGCAGGAATGTGTGCAAATGAAAAAAATACACAGACGTTACAACAAATTAGGAAATTTACTGCAGATCTTTTTGTGATGCATAAAAACACAAATCAGCTGATTTGCTGTTCAATTAAACAGAATAAATTATTGGGAGTAAAGTTGGGATCTTTTCTAAATTCTTACGCTTTCCTACCATGATCAGCGACAGCCTTCATCAGTTGTGGTTTTGTGACAGCATTAGGATCTCTGCTGTTGTAGTTCCCCACATATTCTCTCCTGATCACAGCCACGTGATGCTCCAGTTTGAAAAACTCCACCACGTCCAGGTCTCCTGTTTTATCAGCCTAAAAATTTCTCGTTAAGCAGTTTAAAACCTTTCACAGAAGAAAATTAAAACAACATAAAAATCCAACAAACCGATCTAAACCACTCGTCCACTGAAGGATACGTCCATGAGAGTTAACAGCAGGCGTGCCGTCTTCAGAGATAGGGCTGTGGTTCAAAAACAAACAAAAGTACAGAAATCATTGTTGTGTAAATCAATTTATTAAATAAGTAGAAGATAAAACTGACATTTGCCATGAACAGTGTAGCCGCCAGCATTTAGTTTAGCAAGGACGCCTTCTGCTCTTAGCATCTGCAAACAGGAACAAATAAAATCAGAGCATGAAAGGAAAAGTAAAACAGTTAAATCGTTTATGCAATAATTGTTCAAAAAGCTCAATTCTTAAAGACCAAACTTACTTCCTTCCTGTCGTCTTCCTGTAAAAGATGACATTGGTCAATTCAAACAGATATCTCAGAACGTTGCTGTTATAATGTTACTAAATGAACATCTGATTTAGTTTAAGTCACTCACGGAAACACACATTTCCTCTGGGAAAGTGTAACACTGCAGCTCATCTGGCCAGAAGACTCCAAAGCTGTTGATCAAACCTTCACAGTTCCTTTTGGCCTTTTCACAGAGCGACCTGCAGGGCGGCTGCACCTGCCCCTCCACACACTGGGGGGCGTAAACTCTGCAGAGGAACAGCTGAATGTCCGCCGGGCACATGGTCTGCGCCAGCGAGCTGAAAAAGGACATCTTGCTGACCGCTTCGACTTGACTCGTGTGTCCCAGAAGGTTGGGAAAGACGGTCTGGTTGTAGGACAGACCCTGGCACATCGGTATGGTGATGGGCTCGCAGATTGCCCCGCTGCTGCTCACGCCGTACTGCGGACACAACAAGCTCATTAGCTGACTCGTTTCAGGGAAGCAGCTGGAGTCTGCAGCAGATTTGTTTAGCTGTGGCTGCAAATTTAGATAAACTAGGCTGTGCCAGTAAAACAAAAATCAAACCTCAAGAATATTTATTTAGTTTTCAGATTTCAACATTCAGACCAAGTTTAGATTTCAAAACCAGACTATTGTTTTTTATCTTTCTCTTTGTTTTGGTGGGTTTAGATCCTGTAACAGTCCCAGATTTAACCAGTCAGAGGAAAATCAGACTCACTTGTTCACATGAATTTGTGGTAAAAGCTTCACACTTGAGGTTCTCGGGCCAGTTCAGACCAAACCTGTTCATCAGCTGCTCACAGCCCGACCGAGCCTGCTCACATAGGGTCCTGCAGGGAGGCTGTGCTTTTCCTGACACACATTTGGGAAAGTAGGCAGAGCACAGGAACAGCTTCAGATGAGGTGAGCATCCATACTGCACAAGTGGCAAAAACACACTCAGAGCCCGGTTAGCCTCCTCCTGGGTGTTGTGACCGAGAGCGTTGGGCAGCAAAGTGTCTGAGTACGGCAGGTCTTTGCAGAAAGAAGTGGTGATGGGCTGACATGTTAATTTGGATGATTCAGTAGGGCCGGGGATCAAAGCCTAGATTCATGGAAACACGTCATTAGATTATGAACAAAGTCGCTCAGTTTGATCTTGCTACTGAGAATAACGACTGAACTGTGCTGTTTTTAACATATTTAGAGGGATGAAGATGGATTTCCCCTTTAATGAGCTTTTTTAATCATTGCATTTAGTTTTGAACTGTAAATTTGAAAAAAACAATGCTTTTTCATGCTTTTTTCATCTCCCGATGACAGTATATGTAATAACATTTAACATATTTCAGATAAACGGATACTGAACTTACGTCTTCACAAGACTCTGTGGTAAAGGCTTCACACTTCATGCTCTCAGGCCACGGGACGCCAAACTTGTTCATCAGCTGCTCACAGCCGGCTCGAGCCCGCTCACACAGCGTTCTGCAGGGAGGCTGAGGCCTTCCTGAGACACATTTGGGTGTGAAGACCGAACACAGGAAGGGCTTAAGGTCAGGGGAGCATTCCACTTTTACAAGAGGAAAATACTGATGCACCTCCAGGCCTGCATCCTCCTGAGTTCTGTGACCTAGAATATTTGGCAGGACGGTGTCTGTGTAAAGCAGGTCTTTGCAGAGCGGGACGGTGATCGGCTGACATGTTCCTGTTGGGGCACGTGTGACAGTTACTGTTTGACCCTGGAGATGCAAAAAGAAACAAAAACAGTTAGTGAAAAATGCTCTGCTATTCTCTTTGTAATTTACCAAAGAACTGGTGGCCTTCAACCTAATATAGGACGTCTGGTCATGATCTATTAAGATGTCCAAATCTCTCCTTCACATCAAATGAAATGCATTATTATTTATTTTTTCTAGATTTTTCTCATTAGCTGCTCAGGTGTGATATAAATCAACTCAAGAGAAGTTAAACTGTTTTTAAAGTGTAGTTATTGTATTTTTCTGCTCAACACCTTCCTGCAGCATGCATCAAAACCAAAGCTTATTAAGACGAAACAGCTGTTGTGTTCTAATTTACAAGTGCTTTTATGGGACAGTGATGGGGCAGTAGTGTCAAAATATGTGCACTCAGTTCTAAAGTAAAGGACTAAAACTATTATTTTACTAATTTAGTGGATCGAGTGTTGTAAGTTTAAGGTGTGCAATACCTTCTGCTGCCAGTGGTGGCAGTAGTAAACAGCTTTAATCAAAAAGGTCTTTCATATTTTAATGCAGTCAGTAGCGGTTTTAGGCACGGGCAGACAGGGCAGTTGCCCGGGGCGGCATTTTTTCATGACACAAAAGGGGCGCACAAGCGCTGAGTAAAAAATAAAAAAGAAAGAAATCTGCGCCGCACCGAGGTTTTCTATTCTATCTGTCGTATCACAGAGTCTGGATTGGAAACAGCAAGTTGGCGCCCCCTGCAGCTGCAGGCGCTCCTGACTGAGAGGGTTCAGGGTTATTTTAATGTTGATGGTTCAGGTGCACCGTGTGTGTAAGAATAAGAGGAAGGGGAGGGATGCGGCGGGGTAATTCACCTCTGGGTCTTTCCCAAATGAAATGAGCAGAAAGGGGCTGAATCAACTGTATTAACATGGCTAAAGTCAATCACATCTTGATGTTCTTCGATTTAACGCACATTTCATTCATAATATCATAAACACAGGCCTATCATTCTTTCAGGTTTTTCTGAATTGTGTGAAATGGTCGAATAAAAAAAGGAAAAACAAAACGATTTTGTGGTCACCCCCCCATCAAGGTCAAATTGTTTAGTCCTGACTAAAGGAAACTTACTGAGTCAAGAGCCAAACAGAAGAGATGAACATAAAAAGGCTAAAACCACCAGGTGCCTGATTCAGGAAAAATAAAAGAAAAAAAGAGGAGAAAGATAAAGGTATGTACACTCTCAGGATGCATGTTTTCAATTTTTTGAACCAGTTAACTGGGATTTTAACGGTTAACTTCGGTCAACTAATTGCTAACACAGCTAATAGGGCTGAAATATTGAAACGAATATTCAAATGGTTGAAAAAATTCCTTGAATCGTTTTTCACTGATTCAAACTAGGATTTGTTAGCCCGTGGCCTGCCTGAACAACAACAAACACATGTTGATCATGTTCACATAATAATAAAACAACTCTACAAGCAGAAGAAAACTCCCCAGTCACCACTAACTATCCTGTTTATTTATTGCAGATGGCTGCACTGATTATTTGTTCTGTAAAAGTTGGCATTTTTAGGTAGTCTACAGGGGGCTCAAAGGGGGCCTCGCCCAGGGAGTAAATCCATGTAGAACCGCCACTGAATGCAGTGGTCTGTAGTAATGCCTTGTAAGTCGTACTCTGGGTAACACCCATGTCAGGAACTGGAAGATTGCCAGATCAGACGGCAGGATTTGGAGTTTTATTTCCTCATATTTGGACATCTAACCTCTAACTGGATAACAGCAACATGACTCTACCACTGACTCCTTTTCCTTTGCAACGTTGATGTTTTATCTCCACAAATAACACAAGTTAACAGTTAGCTTCTACTAGCCTTCGCCATTGCAAATTTAAGTGGGTGAGCCCATAAATGTTACGTGACTGTGTGACGTAGATCCGTCAGGCTTTTCAAATCCTAGAGTTTCACCATCTATTTTCAGTTTGATGCTGAGGCAGGAGATCGGCGTAGGAGACCATTATTTAATGTTCAGCCTGCGTGTTAAACTTAGAGAGACCAATTTTAATCAGAAAAAAATAATCATTAAAATGGGTTTTCATTGAAACAAACCTTTACTGAATTTGCACTCATCTTTTCTACGATGGTAAGATGCAAATACCTAATGTCCCTGTTTTATTTATTTATTTTTTGTTAATTAAACAAATAACCTGATAATCAGATATCTGACAAAACTCCACTGTAAGATTTCTAAATCAGAAAAAAATCTAAGTAACATTTTCTTCAGTTCATTCATGCAAACAATTGGTCATATTATGCAGTTATGTGGAACCACAGCTTGTTTCCAGTCATTTTTGTTATCAGCTGTATGGAAGTCCATTTATGCTACTCTAATAAAACATTTGTATCTCAAAATTAAGATTAATAAGTCCAGTTGCCTTCATTTGAACCCTTTGGATTACCATGACCTGGACGACTGAGAACCTTCAACAGCAAATTAAGATTAAGATATCTCATAAGATTTAGAAATATTAGTCTTAATTATGATTTTTTTTCATCAGAGTGGCAGAAATGAGCTTCCATACAGGGTATAATATAATTTTGTAAATTAGTAAACTGTAAATATTCATCAATGAAGCTTTCTTAATGTTTCAAATATTTTCTTGGTTTCAGATCAAATATACAAGAGTGACTTTTCATCTACATCTCAACAAATATGATAGAAAACACATTTTCTAAAGTTGTTGGACTTTTTTTCAGACAGTGTAAAGAAATTCCCTCTAAAATGTAAAAGCAAACACCAAAAACTCTTCTGAAATAAGCTTTACATCAATACTAACCTGAACACAGTTGGACTCAGGCAGAGATTCACACCGGAGCTTTGATGGCCAGGAGAGTCGTTTCGCTCTCAGAGTAGATTCACACTCACTCTTGACCTTCTCACAAAGAGATCGGCATGGTTTCACCCGGCTGTCATCCCCTGAGCTGCATTCAGGCACAGCCACACGACACATGAGCGTAGCGACGTTTGGAGAACAGGCCGTCTCCACAATCTGACCAATCGGCTGCAGGGTGAAGCCTTGAGCTCCGCTCGGATGAGGACTAGAAGTGTATCCCAAACCCTGACAAAAGCTTGCTGCTATTGGTTTGCAAGTTGTCCTCTCATTAATCCTCATTTGTACCTGTTGAGGAACAATCTGCATACACACAAGCATCAATAATAAAAGCTTCATGTTTCTTAAAAAGCAGCCTAGGACTGTTTCTAAAAACCTTGCTACTATGGTATTCTACTCTTCTCAGGAGGAGGAGTCTGCAAGTGGAAACGGTGCTGATTTAAGACTTCTGGTAAGGTCACAAAACAATACGATGCTCTACGTGCAATAAAAACCACAGCAGGAGCACTAGCCTGAGAAATTCCAGCCCAAGTGACCACAATCCTTGTAGCACAGAGGACATCTGGTTACGATTGAGTGCTCTCTGAGTCGCCCGGCGGCGGGGGTGATGGAGGAATGGGCGAGTTTATTGTGCCAGCTTGAAGTTGGCACAATAAACCAGGAGATTTATTGTGTTGGATTTTTATTGTTTTACTAAAAATTACAAACTCATTCCTGTTTAAAAAATGTCTGACCAAAAACATTTCCCTTGTTTATGGCTGTTTACTTTCCAGAAAGCCTTGATTTAAAAATAAATTCTGGATGACCAATGTGATTTTTAAAGAAAACTATTAATGCAAGAATTTAATACATAAAACTCTGAGAAATTTCTAAGTTTTAGTCGCCTTTTCTTGTTAAAGCCAGAGGCACCATGTGCCAGGAGGCAGGGCAGGTGATCGCTTAGGGCCGCAAAGGGCCCCCCCTAAGGACTGACAAAACTTACAAGTCAGAACCACAACAGGACGGAGACAGAAAAATGTTGTCATTTGACAGCAGCGTTGGCCATTTCACACTGCCTGACAGGGACCTCTTCTTCCTTACCAACTGCTCTGCCGTTCATTTCCTCATCAGTACACCCCACTCCCGCTCTGATTATCTTTGTAGGTGAATCAGGCCGCTAACTCCCTCCCAGCTTCCTATGGGTGTAATATATCGTAATATATCGTATCACCAAATTCTTGCAAATGCAAGAATTTGGTGATACGATATATTACAGTACTGGGGAGACAATACAATAGGATACAATACAATAGGATATGACGTATGATCGATGTATCGCGGTACTAAAAACCAGAAGATATTTACAACTTTTAAGGTTGAATTTATTTGGAAAACTCAGGCCAGAGTTTCAAGACAATCAGCGTTATCATGAGAGCTCACACTGTCAGAAATAAGGTGGCAAAAACTGCTGCCACCTAACAATCGGAGTTTGAATTACATGAAATATCACAATTTTTCAGTGCATCGATATTATCTTACATCCCTACTTCCTAGTCTTTGACGGGCAGCTTAACTTTGCAGCACCACTGGTTAAACAGACTTACCTGCTCACAGGACTCAGTGGTAAAAGCCTCACACCTCACAGTTTCAGGCCACTGGACGCCATAACTGCTCATCACTGACGCACAACCAGACCGGGCCTGTTCACACAGAGTTCTGCAGGGAGGCTGAGGTCTGCCTGAGACACATTTAGGGGTGTAGACTGAGCACAGGAAACGTTTCAGATGAGGGGAGCATCCCACTCTTACAAGCGGGGCAAACTTCTGCATCTCCGTGCCTGCCTGCTGCTGAGTGCTGTGCCCTAAAGTGTTTGGCAGGATGGTCTCTGTGTACGGCAGGTCGTTACAGAGAGGGACAGTGATTGGCTGACATGTCACAGGGGAAGCTTGAGTAACGGGGATTACTTGGCCCTGGAAGGAAAGAAAAGCCAAAATTACAGTTTGATTTATCTACTAAAAAAATAGTTTGAATTTAAGTTGTTTTAAAAAACTTTTTTATATCAAAGTTCAAAATAATACATGAAAAAGTCATTTATATACTTATCTCTTGTAATTAGCCAGAAAATAAAGACTGGCCCTCTTTTTCCTCACTTGTATCCCTGACTTTGCTACACATTGATTTCCTCCTGAGGTAACTATAGATTTGACTACTTTTGCAGACTGTAACCAAGTCTAATAAATTAGCCTGTTTTGCTCAGATCTGTTGAGATTCAACAACCAGCACATATGAGCTAAACAAAAGCAGAAATGCAGTAAACACAGCAACAACTAATCATCCGTCTGTCTGGTTGTCCATTTTACAGCAACAGCAGCAACAACTGTTGATCATCCAGCTCCTTCTGGGAGATCAAGACCCTTTCAGGCCAGCTGGGAGATAAAATGTAGACAGGGAGCCCTAGGCTGGCCCCGCAGCCTCCATCCAGATGGTCCATTAAAGCTTTGGGTGTCTCTGGGGTATCCTGAACAGAGTGAAGGTTGAGCAGACCTGCTGTTGTCCTTTAGGATTGCTGAATTTTTTTACTTTACCCTGAGACTCAGCTGGGAGTAAGCTCTGCTTATTTACAGAGGAAACAAATAATTTGCTGTTTTGTTCTTTAAATCCGAGTTTATGGCCGTGCACATGATAAACATGAGGTTAAGGATGAATAGAAAATCTAAAAGAAAGAGTTTTGAATCATAAATCATCCTCTTCACCACAAACTGCCTCAGAGGAGCTGTTACATAAATCCTACTTCTCGTCAGTCCTAGTATATCCCTGTCATTATTTTCCAGCAAACAATCGTGGCTTAAAAACCGAAAACACAGATCTACATTCCAGATGCACTGCAGTTTCCCAGTCTTGCCAAATACAGAAACAATTGATGTGATTATGCAATTTTCATGCCAGATGTGTTTAAATTGCCTCTGTAAAAACAGGAGAGTAAACATGGTTTGTTTAAATCAAATGCATGAATTTTAGCTGCAGAAAACAAGGTTTTTAACTTGTTTATTTTTAAATGTGGTCCCTCCAACATGAAACTTGACCCTAGTTTGTCATTTTGCAGGAAAATGTGGTGGGCATGTAAATCAAAGCTGCACTGGAAAGTGTTTCGCATGGATGCAGCGACTCTGCAGATTCAGCAACACCATAAAACTCAATGATTTTTATTTTATTCCATAAAACATGTTTATGTGAGGCAAAAGCTTCATATTATACCAACCTGAACACAGTTAGACTCTGGTAAAGCGTCACACCGGAGCCTCATAGGCCAGAACAACCACTTTGCCCTCAGAGTGGAGTCACAGTCTCTCTTGACCTCCTCACAAAGAGCTCGGCACGGTTTCTTCCTGCTTTCATTCTCTGAGCCACATTCGGGTACAACCACACGACACATGAGCGTGGCGATGTGTGGCGAACAAGCCGTCTCCACCATCAGACCAATCTGCCGCAGGCTAAAGCCTTGGGCTCCATTTGGAAAGGGAGAGGAAGTGTATCCCAGACCCTGACAAAAACTTGCTGTCACTGGCTTGCAGCTCGTCCCCTCATCACTCCGGGTTTGTCTCTGCTGCAGGAGCAGACACACAACCAGCAAAAACAAACGTTTCATGGTGCGCAAATGCAATCCTGGACTGATGTTTGGTACTAAGTGTGCTGTTTTTCCTAAGGAGGTGGGGTACTAATCCGCAAATCCCCCCCCACACACACACACACACACTCCCCCACCCCAAAGAAAGAGTAAAGATTTAGGGAGACTTGTATGGTCATTCATCAAGAAGATGCTGAAAACAAAATGTGTAGCAAGCACGTCTCAGAGCTGAAGCTTTCGTCTGAGGAATTCAATCCGAGGCGTCTGTGGCGCGCACATCTGGTTGTGATAAAACGCTTTGTGTGAGGACTTCTGTCAGAAATCTGAATGGAAACTAATTTCAATTACCTGGTTGGCTTGCATCTAAAATTTAATTAAATGCATTAAATTATGTTTATTTATAAAACACAAATTTACAGCCAGAGTCAAAGCAAAAGCAAAAAAGTTCAGTTTATATTAAGATGCAGCTACCAGATTTTATCCCATTTTATTTTTCAACTTTTACCATCTATTCACATTTTGTTTGTAACTCATCCAAGTAGAAGCAATCAAATTTTGAAATGATCAATACTTAGGGGAGTGTCTATTTTATTGACAGGTAGCAGGTCGGTGTTAGCGTTAGCACTAGCGGATTGCCCCTGCTTGCTCCAAGGACGGCCTCAGCCTCGGACTCACGTAAAAAATGTTACAAAGTCCCTCAATCGCTGTTTTCCGGCTAAAAGCGCCCGCCAAACTGTAAGCTCTTGTTAGCTCAGTTAGCTCGTAGCAACATCAGCTCAGAATTTGATGGGTATCAATCATCTCCCCCCACATTCAGAGCCTCACTCTGAGCTCCATTTTTGTATTTTTCCAGGAGTGACAAGATACATGACGCAGCCAAGATGGTGGTGGGAACTGCTCACTGTGCTTGAATTCAGCTCTTCAGAAACCTACAGGTGATTGAACCATCGACATATGGCTTGAACAGAGGGTATGTTTGTTTGTTGTTATGCTAATTGTAAAGCACATTGAATTGCCCTGTGTTTGAAACGTGCTACATAAATAAAGCTGCCTTGTCTTATATTAACAGCCAATGGTTTCCAGTGGTTCTCAATCCTGGTCTTGCAGGGCCGGTTTCCAGCATGTTTTAGTTGTTTCCCTGCTCCAACAACTTTGATTCTATGTTTGAATCACCTGTTCAGCAGCTCATTAAGCTGCAGAAGCTTGCTAATCACCTGATTGAAATCAGGTGTGTTAAAGCAGGTAAACAACTAAAACATGCTGTTTGCCTCCAGGACCTGGTTTAGATTATCGGGATCCTACGTCATTCCCATCTACTTCCGATCCCTGGGCCCCTTACAGCCCCCCCCCCCCCCCCCCCCCCCCCCCAAAAAGCTTCATTCACTTCCGTTCATCTTTATTTGGGTCAGGAGACCCATGAGCCGACTGGAATGGGATGAAACTTGGGACCCTCTTCAAATGCTACTTTTCTCAAAGAATCATGGATTCGCCAACAGTGTTGGGAGGTATAGTTACTTTTACCAGGAACGATTATTCATTACTTTTTAAATAAGGTAACTCAGTTACCATTACCCTAGCGCATTTATCTGTAACCGCTCTTAAAAATGGGTTTGGAACAATATGAATTTCTATCAGTTTGGTACAATTAATGAATTAAATTGTGAATAAATGCTACTCAGTTGGCAAAATTATTTTTATTGTAGCCCATAACAAAGGTGTTTATCAAAAGAGAAATTTAGAGTTATAAGCATTTTTATCTGAACAGCCACCAAAAATACATACAGCACTCCACCTACCCACAGCGATAAACAGTAAAAGCTGAGTAACAAATTCCCTTTAGCTAAATAAAGTTTTAGTTTTGTCAAATCAATTGCACACATATGCTGTATGAATGCTAATGAGTGAAAATAGCACGGTGGTGTACAGCTTTAATGGAACGCAGACGTTACAGTTGAACAATGTTTGTTTATATTTTGGAGCGGTTTTGTTATTTTTACATTTTACTCATTTATATCGTCTTTCTAATGATTTGCTGGTATGAGTTGAATAAATTAGTATACTTTGTGCTGAGTTTAAGATTATTTTTAATACAGCAATGAAATTAGGTTTTAAGAGCATTAACAGGAGTATTTTTTATTGATGTTCTTTAAAATACAAACAAAAAGTTACTTTTAATAGTAATGCATTACTCTTTGGCATATGTAATCAACAAATTAACTGAAGACCTTTTTGAATAAGGTAACTAGTAACTGTAACTTGTAACTGTTTTCAGTAACTGGCGCTGAAGAACCTGAAGAAATCTAATTATTAAAAACAAATCAGTGTCCAAAAACAGAAAACACATTTTATTTTAGAAATCACAGAAATGTGAGGTTGCACAATCCAGACGGGATAACAAAATCTGTGTTTCTGTCAACAGAATGAAAAAAAAAAACCTGTCAGATTTGTGAAACAGTAATAAAATTTCATCACATCCAGAAAATGCACAAAACAAAACAGAACATTTTCTATTTATCTTGATGTGCTTAATTAAATCCATTTCTGCTTTCCCTTTGTGCCTCACTATGTAAACATGACTGATTCAGCATTTTGTGGATTTGTAAAAGAAGACTTGGTTTGGTTTAAATGCCATCTAGTTTATAAAAACCACATGTGCTGCTGCTGATTCCACTTAAAGGAAAATTTCATTCTTTGTGGTTTGTGCACAAAAAAGATGTTTGACTCAGAAAACTCCCATTAAATGAACACAGTAAAACAGAGGAAAAATATAATTTAAAACAAGACAAAATAGTGCATAACACCCCCCCAAAAAATTAGGAAAAACTGCATGATTAGCAGGTAAAAATATGCGAATACATGGAACTTAATGGGCCAGCAGCCAACCTAATATTTTATATTAGCTCGACTGATAAATAAAACTGTGAGTTTCTGCTTTACTTATCTGGACGGCTTCAGGGCTACCAGCACAAAGTTTCTGGGAGAAAAGTTTGGGTTGAAGAGAGGAACGAGCCGACTCTCCACATCTGCATGGAGAGAGTTAACGCTTCAGTTAAAGGAGAGTCAATAAGAAAATAAAATGTTTGAGCAGAATGAAACATTTATTTCCTTCCTGACCAGCTCACCGTTCTCTTGCAGGTAGATGATCCTGTCCAGCAGCACCAACGTCTCCACCACAGGAGCAAGCAGCAGAGAGAGGCTGAAGTACACCACTACCTTGTTCTGATGCTTCAACATGGCCGCCACTCGCTCTGGGTCCAGAGGTAGATCAGGAGGCAGGCCGACCCGAGCCAGACCCAAACAGGCGTATCTGGAAAAAGACAAAAGTGTTTCATGCTGACCTCAGAAGACCCGACGTGGAAGGGGAATTAATGATTAACCCTTCTTAGGTTATAACCTGCAATATTATTGTAGGATTTATAGATAAAATAAACATTTCAGGACTTTTTTATATCTATTAAACTAGTGGCTTGGCTGGAAGCTGCAGGGTTAACTCACTCTGTAAAAGATAACAAGTGGGACTTCTTTATGGTCTGGATTCCAGCCCTGTGGAGATCTGGTCTCGTATCTCTGATGAACGTCTCCAGCATCGCTCGGTAACAGTGCGACCTGAGCAACTCACTCTCCTCCCGGAGCCTTCTCACATAGTCCTCCAAAGCGTGACATGCTCCCTCTCGTGCCTTATAGGACAGTTGGTGTCCAGGCAACCCTCGCACCCAGGAGCTCATCGGGTAGCCGAACGATTCATGGCCTGAGGGGAGCAGATCGGGAGCGGTGACCAGTCCTGGAGGAGTGGGACTCTCTTTGGTTGTGATTTTCATGTAGCAGCATGCCACAGAGGTGATGCCACGAACATGTGGGCAGCTGACAAAGAGGCGGAGGAGGGTGGCACTGAGATCACCACAGGCATGCAGACCAGTCAGGACAAAGTCATTGGACCTTTGTAGATGGCTTTCGTCTGGACTTACACCTTCCTCATGAGCAGAATGATTAAGAGACCCTGCAGACGGGTCCTCTTCAGCATCGTTCTGATGTAAATCCTGGGACTGTCCGCCACATAAACGTGAAGGGTGAGCCACATCAGAACATATCTTTTTGTTGCACAGAGTAACGGGATCATCGCCAACATGATCTGGTGATTTTAGCTGCTGTATAAAAACTTCCCATGATTCTTTGGGGTTCACCCAACCAGCCACATGACGAGGAATGGGCAGAGCTTCGGGTCTTAGTTTCTAAAAGGAGAAAGAGTATTGTTATTATTCAAATGAACAGAAAATCTTACTTTTACATCTGGTTTTATGGATAATTTATGCAAAAAAAAAAAATCATTAAAAAGAAATTCATGCAATTTATAACTTTTGACATTATTTATTTAGCTTTAGTTTACTTTAGATGACTTAATGGTGCATTATGTATGAATGAAGTAAGAATGACATCCTGTGGTCACATTTGGGTTCAGCAGTCCATTTTCAAAACAAAAAAGTGACGCTCTCGCTCCTGTTCCTTGAGTTTTACGGCTGTTGCCAGCTCCGGTTCAGCACCAGAAGATTGTAGATGACAAGCGAAGATGAGTCATTCACACTAAGTTGAAAAGTAGATAAACACAGTAATATCCAGTTGTTGGTAATTGAAAAAGTAGATTGAGATACTTTAAGACTTGACTATTTGCTTCTAATTCACCGCTAGAATTGTTAGCTCAACATTAGCCTCTAACTTTAATTGATATTGGAGTGAAAAAAAATGTTGTGGCTTCTTGGGGTTACAAGAAATAACTTCTGGGTTGCTCCAGTTTACTGGCTTAGTCTTTAAGAAATGCTGCTGCATTTTCCCAGCTGGTGTTGAATTACAAATGCTGGCGCTGCAGAGTTAGCTGTGTGACAACTCGGCAACCCTGTGGGTTCACAGATTGTAAACAGAGACTCAATCCCTTTTTGGCCATTTTGAAAGGAGAAAAAAAACTGACAACCCCCATGCAGGCTGAGAAGGTAATCTGTTGCAATGCAACCTTCCTTCCAACATGAATGAGACAGACGCGTCCAATCATTACCTTAACCACTTATTCCTCATTAGGGTCTCAGAGAACTGGTTCCTAAACTCCAGCAGTCACCGTGTGAGAGCAGGGACACCTTGGACAGGTCTCCACTCCATCACAGAGACAAATAAACCATTCACACACACACTAAGGCTAAATTTAGAGTCTCCAATTAATGTAACATTAAAATCTTTGGCCTGTGGAGAAAAACCAGAGCACCCACAGAAAACTCACGCATGCAAAGGGAGAACATGCCATCTCTTCACAGAAAGGCCAGTCGGAATGGAACCTGCAACCTTCTTGCTGTATAGCAGCAGACATACCACTACATCATCATGCAGGCTCCCTTAAATATATGACAAAAAAAAAAAAAGATCCAACACCAGATTCTTGGCACCATTAGTTTGTTTTTGAGTTGTTTGGCAATAAATTCACTAAACCTGTTCTGTCGTTGTAATGTTTGTAAAATGAACCTTGCTGCCCTCTGGTGACTTAAATCAGCAACTACAAGTTCAATCATCTTCAATTTGAAGAATCATAACTGCATAATGAAACCATTAGAAGCCTATAATAAATGTAGGCTAATTTCACATTTTTGGATGAGATGACAATGAGAATAAATTTAGCAAATGACCAACCTTTTTATGTTTTTCCTTCTCCAGGACCCAAAGTAACTCACCATCGAATCTGGAGGCCATAGCAACAAGAGTAGGATCAGCCTCGATAGCGGTCACAGACAGTCTGAGCCCAAAGGACAGGAAACGTGTTAGGTGACCCTGTGTAGAAATAAACATTAGACATGATGCTAAGTTCATTTTGAGAAGATTTACACATTTGGCTCATGACACACAATGTAGAAATATAAGATACAGAATGATTAAAATGCTACTAATAGAGGATAAAGTAATACCTGCCCAGAGCCCACATCCACCACCCTCCTACAGCCAGTCTGTTCACAAAGTTGTTTAACCAGCTGTGGAACAAAACAACAACTCAAAACACTCAATAAAACAACAACTAAACATTTTATAACCACTTCATAGAGAAATAACTACAGCCAACAAGGATTCCTGTACCATGCCAAGTTTTCGGATCTCATGCTGTTTCTTGGGTTTAACGTGTTTTCTGAATATGTGTCCCAGCAGGGAGCTCTGGCTGTGGTTTTCCAGGAACTCATCAGGCTTCTTCGGCTCAGCTACGCTGCCTCGATCACACCTGGGTTCTCTGGGAAACGTCAGGGCATGAGCGGTGGCACGGAAAGCCAAAAGAGACAGGGGCCACACCGAAGGATACCTGCAATCACAAAGTCTCTGGAGTCATCTCAATACATCAATTGTATTAATAATCAATGACAGTTAATACATGTTGTCCTAAAGCTCCAATGTAATTATAAATTAAGTTAATTTGAAGGTGATTTTGAAGCTGATTATATTCCCGCATTGCCTTCTATTATTATTAGCAGCATCCAGTAATAAGTCTGCTATTTGTGGAAATGAAAGGTCCTGCAGCACAGCCTGCCAGGTTTTGGGTAGCGTGTCCCACAAATTTTCAGAGAAGAACTCCTGAAAAACGAGTAAGAAACAGTTCTTTATTCTAAAGCTCCATTTCCTTTGTAGATCATTTGTGTGCATGGTTTTGTCATCTTATCTTTATATCCTGATATTTCAGATTATAAAGATATGCAGGAGTTTATACGTACAATGATAAAGGAGTCGCTCAGGTGGCTGTACTGAGACAGAAAAGTAATGAGTCTGTTCGCCAGCTCTTTTTGTTGCTCCGAAGAAAAACTCGATGTAAACACTTCCACATTTTCTAACTGCTCTTTTGACATGGGACTTGTTCACAGCTAATGCTACCATGCGTTAGCTTATAAAGGCGTCGTTCCTGCTCCAGTTAAAATTATAACTATATAAATACAACTACAGTGTTACCAATTGGTTAAATACCGCAGAAAATGTTTTAACGTGAAGGAAAGGCTAGCAGCACGCTAACAAGAACCCCTGAGGCTAACTTTCAACCGCTTTCAACTGCAGACTGAATGCGTTCACTTGTTCCTCGTAATTTGTTGTTTCAATTTTATTTTTACATATAATCAGTGATCAACCAACAGCTAAATAAATAAAATGCACATACGTTTGGACTTTTTGATGATTTTAATATTTTGCTTCGAAATAAAGGTTAAAAATGTAAAAACAAAGAGGAAATCTAGCCCCACGTTTAACAATAATTTGACGTAAAATCTAGCGTCCCGACGCTATGGATAGTCCCTGAAGGCAGCATATCCCGGATATGGTTCGTTATTGTGAACTGTTCGAGACGTGCAGCAGGTCTTGTTTTGAGTTTTTCTTTGTTATTTCTGTAGCTTTCCTCATAAATAATTTGTTAGTGACTCACGAGAGTGTTAATTCAGACCGAGCCCTATTTTCCGTTCGGTTACCTTCATTTGCAGTTGTAACGATCGCCAGTCTTGGCTTAGCTAGCTAACATTAGCTTTGGTAAACATTAGTTCCGTTGAGTTAACAGTGGTCAAGAGTTAAGCTACTGCACAGTAACAATATTGTCATGCTTACGATAATAAGCGCTTTATAATACTTAACTAGGAAAACAGCAACCAAAGCTCCAAATATACAACGGCAAGGTAAACATAACGTCTCCTGCCGGTGTTCCACCGTTATACGTTGTCCCGTCGGGAATTGCTTCCCCACCCGTCTATACGCTCTATTTCAGTAATCAAGGCGTGCTCAAACGTACGGGTTTTGGTTTAGAAGAATAACACTCTCAGAATAAGTACCTCATTGATAAACAAGTCATTTGTACGTGTACTTGACACGTTTTGCAACATTTTTACCGGTTGAACAGTAGAAACCGTCCATGATTGCGATGACCTGTCATTGTTTCAGGAGCTAAAAAATCGATAAAACTGGCATTACTGATTCAAGTTGTCAAATAAAATGCCTAACGGAGTTTGCAACAAAAGCAAAACTGAAGGAGAAACAAGTTACTTGAAGCTGTGTCAGTGCTAAAAAAAAATCAGGGTGAAAGACCAGCTTTAATAGTCTGATCTAGAGCTCAGTAAATATGCTAAATTTGAGCAGACAGCGTTTATGTTGTGGTACATACTTAAAAATTACCTTAGGTTAAAAGCAGTGGGCCACCGTCATGCGTATTTTATGGTTTCTCTGCTTCAGCACACCCGTTTTCAGTTAGCGGCTGATTAACAAGCCTCTGAACAGGTGGCACAAGAGGCTCTTAATGGCCAGGATTTGACACCATTGACCTGAAGAATGAGTGCAAAAGGGCAGAGTGATTAGAAACTGAAATCAATTTAAAAAAACCGGGAAAATCTGAGCAAAACCATGGTGGTGAAAATATATAATGGCTACAATATGTTTTTTCAATAACCGGTTTTGTTTTATTTATTCATTTATTTATTTGTTTTTGCAGGGTGTTGCATTTGACCTGGCTTCATCTGATAGCAACCAGAATACAAAGAGAAGGGACCTGTTGAGGCTGTCTGAATAAGAATATCTTTGTGCACAGTCGTAAAAAGGAAAACGTTAGATTTGATGTTAACATGTCAGATCTCACGATCCACATTAGCTCATCGAATGACACCTCACAAAGAGGTCCTCCAGCAGAAAAGGGGAAGAGGAAAAAGAAGCCATTCCATAAAAAAAAGCAGTACTTACAGGCAAAGGGATACCTGAAAGGTAAACAAAATCACAACCACTTTAGGAAAGACTGGGGATACAACCAAACTCACCACCAGAATGGAGCAGGCCCAAATAATCCACAACTTACCACACTCGCACAAATTAATAGTTTACCACCTAATTGTGCCACCACTGTCAGTGCCTCGAAGTCTTCAGCATCCTCTCACAATCTCCCGTCAATGAGCTTCACTGTGAAAAACGATGGTAGCTATGTAAAGCCAAAGAACTCTATGAATGCAAACAGAGCTGCAGCGGTCCCTGGGCCTTCAGCATCAGGCAGCCACAAAGCCACAACAGCATCAGTGGGGAACCCCACAAAATACCTCGCCATTGACTGTGAGATGGTGGGAACGGGACCCAAAGGCAGCATCAGCCAGCTCGCACGCTGCAGCATTGTGTCGTACGATGGAGACGTGATCTATGATAAGTTCATCAAACCTTCCATGCCTGTCACTGATTATCGCACCAGATGGAGCGGGATTCGACCAAGAGACCTCGAGAAGGCCATGCCTTATGCAGAAGCCAGGAAGGAGGTGGGGAAACAAATCATTAACAGAAAAAGTTTATTTTTTTCCCAACATGTCAACATAAAAACTATCTGATTAATTTTTTTTGTTGCCACTTGAGCTGGACTCCAGTGAACAAGAAACAAAATTTGATCTCCACAGATTCTGAGGCTGCTCATGGGGAAGATCGTTATTGGCCACGCCATCCATAATGACTTCAAGGCCCTCAGTTATACCCACCCCTCTGCCATGACGAGGGACACATCCCGAATCTCGCTCCTTAATCTGAAGGCAGGTTTTGGTGAAAGAGAATGTGCATCGCTGAAGAGACTCACCAAAGCCATCTTCAATCGGGACATCCAGGTATGCAAATTTAGTTGCTATGCTAATCAGAGAATAAAACACAGGTGGAGACCTCAGGAAGACATCAGGCGGACTTCAGGGTCTGAGACAATCAGTTGTGGTTCAGAGACAATATTCTGCAGAATTTGGTAACGAGGCACAGTTTTCACTCAGTCTGCTATTAAGACATTTTTACCTACAGTTCTGATCATTGCAATGCTGGCCAAGTCACTCATCTCAACACGCCTGGACAATACAAAAATGAGCAAAGAGGTGTAGAGCAGAATTTTGAGGATCTCAGTCCGCCATTGCTCGCAGCTACAAGCTAATGGAGGTTTACGGGTGCTTTTAGCCAGAAAAATGCAGTTGAGCGACTAATGTGAAGCATGCATCAACTCACCGAGTTGTTGGATGCTGTAAACTAGACTTATCAAACCTAAATTATTTTTTTGAACCAGGCTGTAAACATTTTTATTTCTGCCATGAAGTTGATATTTTTAATATGAGAAGCAATAAGAATTAGCTTTATTTTGGAGCCAGCACCTAGTGGATGAGAGGGGAACTGCAGTTTTTGTCACTTCCTGGTTAACCTCACTTTCAGGCCCAATCCCAATACTTGCACTACGCCCTATGGTCCTCTGTGAAGTGCACTTGGTGGAAGTGCGCAGTAAGGCTTCAAATGCGTGGTACAAGTGTGCAAATAATTACCGAATTGGGACAGTGAGCATTGCGTCGTCGACCGCAACACATCCTGGGATGCTAGTTGCTGAGCTGCTTTAAAAAAAATCTTTATTAACAACTTTCAAACTATCATACAGTTATTTGAAGAAAAAAAAATTACATTCATTGCTGCTTTTTCTGAAACATTCAGAGCACCAATTAATTGTCCTAAAACAAACTACTTTCATTTGAAAATACATATTTTCAGAAAAGACACTTGACCCTTTTCCCCCAAAGCAGTGGATTGTGGGTAATACCCTTCGCCAAAGTCTGCAATCAATGCGAACTTGGGTGAGGTGTGGATCAAGGGTGCAAAGGGGGTGTGATCAACTTCTGCACTTGAGAATCGGGACACCCTGCGCACTTCCTGTGTGTCCAAGCTGCTCACGTGCAGCCGCCCTACTACATGCCCACTCGACCCCATTCCGACTAAGCTGCTCCAAGCTATTGCTCCTACAGTAGCCGCAGCAGTCACACATGTGATCAACGCTTCACTGACATCTGGCACATTTCCCACCTTTCTCAAGCATGCTCAGGTTAAACCGCTGCTAAAAACCCATCTCTTCCTCCAAATCATGTGGAGAACTGCCAACCTATCTCTCTTCTCCCTTTTCTGTCCAAAATCATTGAAAGGGTGGTTTTCAAGCAGATCACAGAATACCTCTCACAAAACTGTCTGCTTGACCCTTACCAATCTGGGTTCAAAAAGGACCACTTCACTGAAACTGCTCTGTTAGTAGTGATGGAATCCTTAAAAGAAGCTAGAGCGACAGGCAAATCCTCAGTGCTTATCCTGCTCGACTTATCGGCTGCAGTTGACACTGTCAACCATGGCTTCCTTTTGTCCACACTCTCGAGCATGGGCATCACAGAGAAAGCACACACCTGGTTTGAATCGTACCTCACAGGACAGTCATTCAGTGTATCTTGGCTTGGACAATCCTCTACCGTGCACCATCTTGCCACAGGAGTCCCCCAGGGCTCTGTACTAGGACATTCGATCACATGGCTTCTCCTACCACTGCTATGCAGACGACACCCAGCTGTATCTGTCATTTCCACCGGACGACCACACTGTCTCTGCATGAATATCAAACTGTCTCTCTGACATATCAAAATGGATGAAATCCCACCATCTCCAACTCAACCTCTCTAAAACTGAACTACTTGTCATCCCAGCAAAACCATCCATACAGCACTATAGCTCAATCCAAAATGACTTCCTATCTCTCACTCTTTCAAAGGCAGTTTGAAATCTGGGTGTTGTGATTGATGAACACCTGACCTTTAAAGATCATGTTGCCTCTGTTGCTCGTTCATGCCGCTTTGCGCTGTATAACATACGTAAGATCAGACCATACCTAACACAACATGCCACCAAGCTCCTGGTGCAATCTACTGTCATCTCCCGCCTCGATTACTGCAATGCTCTTCTAACTGGTCTTTCAGGCTGTACTGTGAGACCTCTTCAAATGGTCCAGAACGCAGCGGCGCGTCTGGTCTTCAATCAGCCAAAAAGAGCACACGTCACCCCTCTGTTCATTGAGCTCCACTGGCTACTGCTAGCTGCACGCATCAAATTCAAATTGCTAACACTAGCATACAAAATCAGAGATGGTACGGCTCCCATCTACCTGAATCCTCTTGCAAAGGCTTCGTCTCGGCCCGGCCGCTCTGGTCATCTCAGGATTGTCGGCTAGCAGTGCCTACACTACGCTCAGGACAATCCAGACTCTTCTCATGCATCATTCCACAAATTTGGAATGACCTACCAAGCACGACGAGACCAGGGGCTTCCTTTTCAATTTTCAAGAAACTCCTGAAGACCCTGCTCTTCAGAGAGCATCTTCTAAACTAGCTCCCTCCCTGCACCCGTCCCCCTCTCTACTGTCCACTCCTTGTTCCCTCCTCTCCATGATTCATCATGCTGCTTCACTACCACCTACGACTGACTAGAAATTGTTTGTTGTTGTTGTTAGCCTCAAGGGCAACATGCCGATTATCACTTGTAAGTCGCTTTGGACAACAGCGTCTGCTAAATACGTAAACATAAACTTCCACCCCAGTCGGGATCACGCAATTAAAGGATGCAAGTATGAAAGTGCGAGTACTGGGATTGGGCCTTAAAGGCTTCCCCTTTTTCCAGCTATAATCATAAAAATAGGGAAATAGGGAAAGTGGCTTGAGATGTAATACATAATTTCCACCTCTGGGTGGTGCCTTGGATAAAAAACTCCAGATTTCTGCTTTAATGAATCCACTTGCTACCATGTGATTGGCTGTTTAGCTATTAGCATTAGCAAGTAATTGAACAGGTGTACTTCATAAAGATGCCACTGAATATTATTTATCAAATTGTGAGAATTACATTTGTTAGCATTACCTTTATAAATGTCCCCACCTAGAATCTGCAATTGTGTCTTTTTTTTTTTTTTTTGGTCCTCAGAGTGGGAAGAAGGGCCATTCTTCTGTAGAGGATGCTCGAGCCACGATGGACCTTTATAAGGTGGTGGAAGAGGAATGGGAGGGAACACTTCTCCTCAAGTAAATGGACCCTTAATGCCACGTTCGATGGAAAACAAATAAATAACACCAGTTGACCTGCCTGATCATTCCAACATTTCTACATGTTTTAGATATGCTTGGAGACATTAGAGTCCTGAACATCAGAGTTTCCACAAGATGCAGGACTTGTTTGAGTTGTTTTATCTAAAATAAGCAAGGATTTGTTGGAAATTAATGTAATCAATCAGAAAGTTAAAGTGTGTTTTAGCATAGGAAAAGTTTCAATCTACAATACTTATGCAGAGTAGCTGATAATCACATCTAAGTGAGTCTGATGGGACTATTTTGTACCGTTTTCTACGTGGGAGGTGTTGATGAACACATGCATGCATAGATGTTTAAATATTGTTAAAAGAAAAAGTTTAAAAGTTTTATTATGGAAGCTTTTTTTAAAAAAAAGGTGCTTCCCTTTAACCTTTTTTTTCCTCGTTGGAGAAAAATACAAATAAGCAAAACATGTTTTTTCAGCTATTTGTGATTTTTCTCAGGATTCACGTTGCGTTCCATGGTGCTTCTCCTACTGGAGGGAGTCGTGTGTTTAACACATTTTTATCATCCAGAATAAAGATGTTCTTTTAAACAAAAACAAGTTATGTCACATGTATTTTTTTATTCCTTCTTGAAAATGATGACTTGCATGTTTCCTTATTTCACCTCTCAAATTATTCTGGCCTTATTGGTTTCAGGTATTAGTCGTATACCTGCTGAGTCTTTGATCGCTGTTGGATCAAACCTCTCCTCACGACACAAACAACTCAAACACACTTTCTAATTTTATTTCTAAATGTCAGTGAAAGTCACACACACACACACACACACACACACACACACACACACGCACACGCACACACACACACACACGCACACGCACACACCATTGCAAACCTAACCCATCATCTCAATCATCCATTCTGTCTCTTTTCTGGTAACCGTTTTGTCCTTAGAGGTGAACGTATCAGCAGTGCTTCCCTGCTGTGAATTTGACACCGGAGCATTAATTATATACCATGTCACCCCACCCTGCAGAAAGCTGCACCAGGGCCTCGCACGCTGGTGCAGAGAAACCCGTTAAACAGATGGAAATGGTCTGAATCAGCGAAGGCTTCAATCCACCAGAACATTCTGGGTCTTTATCTGGAAAAACAGAACTCCTGCAGTCGTGTCATGTGAAAGTGGTTCTAATCTGGATCAGATGTGTGTTCTAAGCAAAAATCTCAGGTACATTTTAGTTCTGGGGGAGTTTTTAGTAGCCTAATTCCTTGTTCTGGTTTCCAGCAGCAGTTTCTTTAACCCTAAAGGTTTCATCAATGCTGTAAGCTAATGAATCTCCTTTAAATTAAATGAACTTAATCAGTAAATTATTATTTTTTGTGTGCAGTTCTGAATGTGCTTTAAAATACAAAGATTAAGTGACCTGTAGTATTATCAATAGCTTGAAACGCAAACACCTCCATGTCATTAATCCAAACTAGATTTTAAGGAATTTATCATCCCCCGGGGTCGTGTTATTGAAAGTTAGATTGTAGATTTCCTTTCATTCTGTATCGTATATCCCCTTACACACACACACACACGCATGCGCGCGCACACACACACACACACCATGCAATGTACATATTAGTCATGGCTCAGCAGGAGGTCTATGTGCATAATTCGGTTTTTATTAATGAAGGCCTTTTCATCTGGAGTTTTTTTTTCCATTCTACACATTTTTGCACAGAGAACAAAGAGGTGGAAGCTCTGAGGTTTTATTACACCAGCAGGACTCAGAATTAAGCTTTCGTTATTAGATTGGAAACAAATGTTGATGTTTGGAAATAAACACATTGACACAAAAATACAATAAAATTGAGATTTGAGCATTTTGCTGCACTGGTTCAGTCTTTTGTAGAGATGATTGTGGTTTTCAGTGAGTTTTATGAAATAAAAAATAAAACGTTTTAATAAGAACTTATGTTGGCTGGTTTTTGTTTGTTTTTGCAGATCAACTTACTGGCATGCTTGATCTTAGCCATATAAAAAAATTGGCTTCATTTTTGAAGCATTTTTAATCAAACTTCCTGGTGACCTTTTTTCTTCTTTGCACGTCTTCTGCAGAAAAACACCACCATTTAAAATCCATTCATTTGAACTTTAAATCACTTTCACCAGATTTTTGCCCTATTAATGAGAGACCTAAACAAATTTGATTATGTGAGAAAAATAATATATCTCAATATGCCAAATGTCCTACTGTTTTCTCCTGCTGAGAACGAATAGAACTTTGCTACAGTCATAAGATAAACGTAGTAAAAGTTATCTGTAGAAGTTAAAAAGCAACATTTTTGCAGCTACTTGCAGGTTTAATGTCAAGGTCATGCTGGATGAACCCAACACACACTAACAGAACATTTTGCGGGTGTTTTCTTCTTCGGTTTATGACGTCATTATCTGGTAATATGGCTGGGAGTAGAAAAAAATCTACAGTTTAATATAGAGTAGGGTTGTTTCAAGTCAGTGAAATTACCATAGAAAATTACAAGTAAATCTGGTCTGATCTTCTGCATGCTGCCCCCTAGTGGTCACACTGCTCAGTGATTGAAATTAATCTAAAAACTATTAAGTCTGATTTTAGTTTGGAAAATCGCTTTTTAAAATGCATATTCGATAATTGCATATAAAACTAACCATCAAGGTTGTTTTTGTACAGATTTTTACCTCCCAGATTTTGTGAGTCTTCAAACGGGGGGCGCAGGGAGGGGAGGATGGGGGGTGGGGTGGGGGGGGGATGGGGGGGGGGGGGGGGGGGGGGTTAACAGTTCTCGTCCCGGTTTCTTCCCTCTTCATCCAAGCGGCGGGAACGAGTCGGTTCCCTCGGCGCTGAACGGCAGCTGGAGGTCCAGAAGCGCAATAAAACCTGCACCTGACGCAAGGCTCCTCCAGAAGACCGCAGCAGCTTCACACAAGGAGACCGAGAGTTTACCCCTTTCAAAATGAAGTAAGTTCGTTGTGTTTTGTGCATTTTAAAAAAGTAATCACTATCGTGAAGGACTTGTTTCTCGTCTTTTTGTCTCTAAGAATGTGCATGCATCTTTGCAGAATTCTGCAGAGAAAATGCATCCAGACCAGGCACAAAATGAGGAGTTAGAGTATTAGAGTATTAGAGTTAGACGGCACCTGCTGAAGCATCTTAGTAATGCACCTTCAAATACCATAACATATATTAATCACGAAAAAGGTAGTTTTAAAACAGAAAATAGCTTTTCCAGTAAGCATGCATTTGTAATTTAATCATTCATGGTTTGGTAAATGTATTTATTTATCTATCTCTGAATAATTCCCAAATAAAAATCTGCCCAGTAATTTAATTTAATTTTCATAGCTGAGTATGTATATTTGATGTTAAATTAAGGTACATACTTTATTAAAAGCCCTAATATTAGCTGACAAACTCATCTGAATGAACTAACAAATCATTTATTCTAATCTAGAATAAAAAAGTGTGATCATTTGGAAATCTGCAAATCTGTACTCATAATAAAACAGTATTCAGTGTTCTGCTGTAGTGTTTTTACTGAGTTTGCAGCAGCCTATCAGAAAAGTGACTGAAACCAAATTGTGAGTGCATACTTGTATTTTTTTAGACTCTTAGACTCACATCCTGATAAGTTTTTGTCTTCATGCTGAGATGCATCAGAAACAGCCTGAAATATGTTTCCCTCCACCACAGCCAGTCTAACCCAAAGCTGCTTCTGCAGACTTACTGGTGAACTGTTCCAATTCATTCCTGTGAACCTAATATCGCTCTCCTCCCTCAGTCGTGCTGTACGGAGCCTCTTTCTTTCTTTTCTTTCCTCTGTGAGGTCTCTCTTGCTTCCAGCCCTCCCTGGCTGCTCCTTGCTTCCTGTTAGATTGTGCCGGTCGAGGGGGTTAAGGTTGCCCCTGGAGATGGGCTTCCTTTTGAGGCGGTGGTGTGATGTGAGGCTGGTGGGCCAGAGTGACGAGGAGGGGCAAAACAGAGAGACGACGTTGGTTCTGTCCGTGAGAAAACGGAGGAGCAGCTGGGAGGTCAGGGTGGTCTAATGGTGGCTCAGCAAGTGGTCCAGAACCTATTCTGAGAGCTGAATGACAGAGGCGTCCGGGGCACGGTCCAGTCCTCTGGTTGTGAGAGTCTCAGGGCCATTGAGTTTATTCGTTTTGATTGATTTTTATATTCAATCAACTTATCAGATCTGAATTATTTTACAAAATGTCCAGAAGTGTTCTTTAATCAGTTCATTAATGAGAACAAACAAGTTATTTTAAGAACAGGATTCACAGAAATAGCGGCAGCTGGAGGAACTAATGTGTTCTCAAAAAGGTTGGTGACGCAGCTGTGGGAGGCTACGGTTTTTATCAAACAACTGGAAGATTTCAAAGCTTAAAGATTGTTAGAAGGAACAGTAGATTTGACTGATTTTCTGGCATCAGTCATGTTCGTGTCTGCAACAGATATGAGTGAGTGGAGATGATAGTCTCAGCGTTGCTGATTTAATTTATTATTATTATTTCACCACTTTTATAGCTACTTTGTAAACTGACATTTAAAACAAGATGGAGTTAAATGTGGACTTGATTTTTAGTCAAAAGGTGCTTGTAATAATAAATTGAGGTTTATTTTTTTTAACATTTCTAAAGCAAGTTTGTCTTAAGTCTAAAGCTGCAACAATACTGATCCTGCAAACCTTTGAATTTCATTTAAACATCATGACAAGTGAATGATTCCAATTCTGTAACATTAAAGCTGCTATAGAGAATTTCAGAACAAGCTAGGTTCTGGACGCAGTCACGGAACACTCACCCCTTCCCTGAGACGCTACTCCCAGAACCGGAAACCCACTTTGCCAGAGGAAACAAGAGAGCACTAAACACCAGTCACTGTTTCTAGGTTCAAACCTCTCTTAATGTCCGTGACTTCAAATGGTGTTTTAATTTTTGGGACTCTGGTAGTTTGTCCTAAAGTTGAAGTGGTGGCAGCCAGCTGTTAGCGGAGAACCTGTCACACCAGTGGTGTTCTGTTGCTAAACGCTTGAGTGTGTAATGAATGGGAGACCCTTGGAAGTGCGGCGTTTTGGCGAGACCAACAACCGGATGGTCCAATAGTTGCTTTCGACAAATTCGAGAGAACCACTTTATTGTTTTATTTTTTTAAATGTCCACAATATATTTATAGCTATACAATAGGGATGTGTATTGGTGAAATTCTGGAGATACGATAAGTAGGGGAGATGATACGGAATATCACGATATATTGTGATACTTTTAGACTGAATTTATTGTAGAAAATTTGAATAAACAGCCCAAACTGATACATATGTTTAACATGAGGTATCTGAACCATAATAGAGGGATTTACATTTCAATGGTGGAAACAAAACCTGTTGCACACCGGTGCCAACTAGAGGTTGGCGTTTGAATTGCACCAAAAGAAAAGAATACATAAATGTTTGCATGTAAATTCTTCCAAAAATTCGATACACAACTTTTGAATATCGATATAATATCGCAGGAAAAAAATCACCATATGTTGCCATATCGATATTTTCTTACATTCCTACTGTACAATGTTAGAATGTTGTTAAGAAGCATGACAAAATGTTCTAAACTAATTTGTTTTCCAAATTTACTTTAACAACTTCAAAGGGATAGGTCCGATCAGATGAACGGCCTCAGCTTGGTGAAACAAAGTTTCAGTGGCTGAGTGGGGCTGGTTGCTGCTCAGTAAAATATTACTTCTAATGGTTAAAACATAAAGTCTCATCACATGAACATTTATATCATCACCATCTTAAAACAGTAATATTAGCACCTTCTTAGGGTTCTACAACCGCCAAAGGCACTTCACAACACAATCAATCATTCACCCATTCACACACACATTCACACACTGCTTATGATGATCTACAATGTACTCACAGCTGCCCTGGGGCGGGGCGAGGCCTGCCGAACACTGGCGCCACCGGTCCCTCCAACCACCACCAGCAGCCAAGGTGGGTTAAGTGTCTTGCCCATGGACACAACAGCTGAATTCTCTGGTGGGAGCCGGGTTCAAACCTGCAACCTTCCAAGTACTGACAACCCACTTTACCAACTGAGCTACTGCTGTCCCATCTTCATAGCCTTGTCAGTGTTGATGGCGTCACTTCCACGGGTAGCAGGGGACGATGTTGCCCTCTACTGCCCACCCCTTCCCAGCCGATCCCCACATCCATGAAGATGGTGACTGTGTGATGCCGAAACTGTCAGCAATTCAAGGGAAAGCTTTGCTAAGCTGTGTATTAAGCAAGAAAGAAAAAAACAATGGAGATTGAAAAGAAACAGAAAGAACATAACAAGGATGGTATTTACAGGTGATTGAAATCCTTGAACCCATTTGAAAGTGCCTGAATAGGGGAAAAGTGCTTGAAATGTTGTAAAACAAATAATAGCACATGGAATAATAAATGTTCTAAGGATTTATGTACTGCTAAAGCATCAGACTATGGTGCTGAAAGTTCTTGAAAACTCACATTGAAAGTGCTTGAAATGATTCTTTAATTTTGCAAATATAAAAGAAATCTGATTCATGCACACATTTGCTTTTCTTTCAGATATTTAAACAGATATCTTACAAACAGCAGGGTACTATAGGAGTTTATGCTGCTTTAAAACTCATTTTATTAGCACTGGCTCCACTCTGAGCTGGTCAGCCACCAGTTTTGTCGTCACACAGGATGGAGTGTCAAAATGGGCCAAACTCTCACAAAGATGATGAAGCTCTTTAAGAATGTAGCTCACAGCTTCCCTTTCCCCTCATTTGCAGCCTCAAATGGCCTTTTCTTGCAAAATAAGTGGTCAAACATCCTCTCTTGGCTGCAGCCTCCCTTCCTTCAAGGTGAAGTAATTGACTATTCAGCCACTTCACGATGCCTGCCTTTGTACTTGAGATGTTGCCTGGGATGCATCTTTAGCCGGAGGAAACCCAGCTCTCTGTTCTTCCCTCTCTCTCTCTCTCTCTCTCTCTGTCTCTCTCTCTCTCTCTCTCTCTCTCTCTCTCTCTCTCTCTCTCTCTCTCTCTCTCTCTCTCTCTCTCTCTCTCTCTCTCTCTCTCTCTCTCTCTCTCTTTCGTCAAGCTTCATGGGATGCAGTCAGACCGGGTGTGTGAGTGACAAGAAGGAAAGAAAATTGATTTATATATTTAAAATTTTAGAAGATCGGTGTACCGAAGCCAAATGGGCTGATAATCAATTTTTATATAATGCAGTTACTGCCTCATTTCTCATATTTTGTTTAGTGCCTTTTAGAATTTGCCACCTTTTCCTGCATCATCATCATCATCATCATCATCATCATCTTCTTCTTCTTCTTCTTCTTCTTCTTCTTCTTCTTCTTCTTCTTCTTCTTCTTCTCTTTGTGGTTGCTTTCTATGAGTAAATGAAACTTTAGAACAGAAGTTTTTTAAAATAAAAGCTCCATCAATCAGAAGGTTTATATTTCTGAGGACTTCCACAAAGTGCTAAAAGTTTTTTTCTTTAGTCTGATGGTGAAGCTAGGAAATTAAAACAGAATTGTTATTATTATTACCTCATTAAAGCCTAAATTCTAAAAAAAAAAGTTAATAATAATAATAATAAGAGTGAATTTATTTGTTTTAACTGACTAAACAAATTTAACAGCTGTATAATATCTTTGGTGTGGTCTTACTGTGTCTAGTTTCTAATTCCATTTTTGGTTCTTTTTAAAACACAGGAAAGGTTTCTCTTTACCTTGCTGACAGTTTTGTTTGCCGACTGCAAAACATCCTCAGAGCTGACGCTGATGGTGGCGTCACTTCCTACTCCAAAAGGCATAACAGAAAAAATCAGAGCAACAATGAAAAAACTCAACATAACACACCAACAAAACCATACACAACAGTTAAAAACAGACCAGTACATCCAAAAGACAAGATACCAGCTCGACTTAAATGTGGAGTTGTTT